TCGGCTATGAAGTGGGCAAAGCGGACGTGGGTGGAGTGCATCGGATCCAACGCGTTGCGGGCCTGTCTTCTTGCCATGCGGATGAAGTGGGAGGAAGAGATGCGGGAGGCGGCGAGGCTTCTTCCCGTTCAAAAGTGTGACTGGTGCCCAGAGATGGAGGGCATACCCGCTCCACACTATCGCATGATCCTTCAATGCCGATTGAATTGCCAAAAACACATCATGGATAAATTCAGTAACGGCTGTTACAGCCCCTCCCAACTACCGCATTGGAGTAAGAGCATATCCTTGGAATTGCGACAATATGGCCTCCACTATCAGCACCTCTGGTACCGGGCAAGACTGCCTGCGTTAACCCATGGCAAAGACGGAGCAGGACCAGCTCGAGATGTCACTTTGGCGATGCCTGCCATAGAACGTGCTGGCATAAGAAAAATCAATCACTATTATCGTTACGATGACGACGACAGCCAGAATGATGCATGGCAACAGTTGGTCAAATCGAGTAAAGAGCTGGAAGATGCATTTGCAGTCGCCCTTTCCGATGTATGTCCTGGTCATTAACCTTCTAAATAGGTTATTGACGCGTGTTACAGCTTAAAGTGCTCGATTAGAATATTCGCAGACAAGCAACGGCTGATAAAGTGAGTGAAAAGACTATTCCTGACCTCGCGTAAGCTAACTAAGATTTTGCTGTAGAGCGACGCGCTTCTGTTGTGAGAGGATGTTGAGTTCTGCACCGGCATCGCCAATGATTCTGGAGCGCAGGTGTCAGCGTGCCCTCCGGAGACATTGATGACTGCTGTTGGCTTGTTTGATCCGATGATTGAGTGCGGTGGACATGTACGGACTTTGCTGATTCTACAGTGTGTTACTCATTTGTTCTATGAGCGGAATTCTGATGAGGTGTGAACATTTCATCCATACTGGAAGCCAAATTCTGCACCACTCTGTCTGACGGAGTGTTGTGCTCCTTCAATGCAGTGCTTAGTAGGTCATCGCCCACAATATCAATCAAGAGTCATGCGCGGGATTATAACGACGCGAGCTACAGAATTGAATGCCTAGTCGCTACGCGAAGTGATTCATCCCATCGCCTGTCATGAGAGGCCTTGGCCTCGCCTTTGACGGCACCCTTGCCTTCTGCTTCACAGAGTCCTCCCTTGTGCAGATCAGGGTTGTGAATGGCTTTGCCGGCAGTCTGGCGAGTATATATCAACATATGCTAATGAGAATGCAAAGCTCTATCACTGCCAGTGGCACGTTGCGTGCCTTGCCAATGATCTTATTCGTCAGCTAAGCCTTGCCTTCAGGAAGATCGCTCTGTCCGCCGACTGCTACACCGCCTGATTTTGGTTTGATGAGATGCAGGTGGTCGTGAGAGGAGATTCAGACAAGTTACCTTGCACTGTAGGCTGCACATTCATAGGTCTGTCGTCGCTGTATGCGTTTTTCTCAGACTGCACACCTGGTGCAGCGGTGCCGGGCATGCCATGTTGACCTCCAGCCATCACCGCATTGTCATCTGTGCAAGCGACGAACGGGCGCTGATTGTTTCCCTGTTAGGTTTGCGAGCCGTTCGTTACGTCCACATTGTATTCCGCTGCGTGGATGTGGTACTCGGGGGGAGGCTGAGGGAGGAAGGCGTTGTCGTTGATAGCAGACACGTTAGGTATCAGAAGAGTGTATAGGTAGAAAGTTGACGGTAGAAATTGTGTGTTTATATACACTCAAAGTCGTGCAGTAAACGCAACACCCGCCACAGCAGCTCCATAACCGATGTCACAAAATCAAGCTGAAAACGAGCACGCTCGCATCGATTGTTCCGTCTGTTCGGTCTATTTTGTTAACTTTGACACATACACTATACCTAGCACGTTATCAAAAAGTAGACCGAGGATCTAACAATAAGATACTAGGCAACCCACGCAAACGAGTATCTGGCGACCCGGTATCCTGCCAAACCCATCTACTTTTCATCATTACTGTAGTTAGTCTATGAATGCGAATAATTTACACTGGCAATACGCAGTTGCATGGTGATAGAATGTGTGAGTACAACGCCATGAGAAAACACATGAGAGACGACCGATGATACTGAGGACGGAGAGGGGAGCAGCACCAGAGGGAGAGCGATAACGTGGTGAGATATTACGAGAAGAAATACAGCGATTCTTTGATGGTGTTCACGTCGAACTCGCCCTTCTCAGGGAGAGGCGGTAGCACGCTTGTCAGGTCAACAAACTTATCCGCCAAGGAGGAATCGGCAGACTCAGTATCTTCGGCGGGAACCTTTTTGCGACTAGCCCGACGCTTTTGAACGATCGGTTCAACCTCCCCGTCCTTGGTGGCGGCCTCCAGGTCCTCAGTGTCTGCCCCGTGCTCTTCCGCCACAGGTGTTCGCTTCTTGTTTCTGAAAATACTGGCAGGGATCAAGTGATCCTTGTAGCGTTCCATGAACTATAAAGGGGTCAGGATTTCACTGAAGGTCAGCCAGACCGCACATACCTCGTCTCGGAGCTTCGACAGAATATCGGAGGAATGGAGCGCAATAAAGGTGTCACGAATGATGGTGGACATCTCATCAATGTTATTGGCGTGCGTCCAGTACGAGTCGTGTACCGAGGCGAACGTCAAACCCCGCGACTGCAATCATACAATAAGCACCAGTCGGAAGACCTGTGTTTGGAGACATACCCGACATTCGAGTGCAGTCAGCATCATGTGCGTCGCGTCGAGACTATGAATGAAGTTGGGCGGGAACGCGGACGCCTGCTTCATGGAGCTCACTACAAACGACCCGTCAACGTCGCCGTACTGCCCGAGTTTAATCGCTACACACCATGCGTTGGAATGCTTGGATCGGAGATGTACACCGTTTGCATCGCTGTGATGATTTGCTTGCGTTTCGTGGCCCTGTACGGCTGCACGATCGGGAGCCCAAGCGGCGTGGTCCACACAACTGACGTCATTTGCTCTCTCTTCAGGCGGTTCGCGGGAGTGTCCTTCTTTTTATTCTTCGAATTGATCCTGTTAACAATGGGCTTCTCCAGCTCCCCCAGACGGTCGCGAGGGATGGACTTCGCGATCAGACGCCCAGACGCGTTCAGCCAGTTCTGAATACTCTTGGCGCCCTTGAACAGATCGCCGATACAGCTGAGCACCTGCAGACGAATGACTTCAATCAAATCACGGGCAGTGCACAGGCGGTAGACCAACCTGCTTCGCGAGATAGGTTGCAGCATTCCAACATTCTTCCGAGGGGATATCGCCTCTGTCCTTCAGCTGCTTTTCGAGCTGGTCCCGCGCGCCGATGAACGTCACGCCATAAACCGTTGTCATAACGGTCTGTTTGACAACCTTGCGCGCCACCTTGCCTGACAGCATCTCCGCATACTTATTACCGTTCTCAATGTCCTTAAGCATGGCCTGCTCCACCATGTTCGCAACATAGGTGTAGACGTCCGAGGGCTTATCTGTCACGTCCAAATTGACCTGCTTCGCGCCCTGGGCGTCACCACCGAGTGCAGCATAGTGCTGCAGGCCATTGCAAGTGCCATCTTGATGCACGGGCAGGGCGCATTCGTACGCGAGCGGATCCGGGGAGTCCAGCGCGGCTTTGAGCTCCTTACAGGTGGCAAGACATTGCCAAGGGTCGTCGGCGTGGGTCCACCATTTCCGTCCCTACATCAAAACCATCAACGCTATCCTGCGATATTATTAACATCAAACTTACAGTCAAGGGGTTTTCTGCACTGTCGGAGATGTCATCGAAATGCTCCTCCGCGAACTTGACACGATCATCGAGACTCGCTTTGTCGTATCCATATAAGTTGGCGAGATGAATTTTGAGCCATTTCAGACCGCTTTCTCCTAGAGGCTTCGCCTCGGCGAACATCAGGAGTCCACGACTGAGGTCGTCGCCGATATGACTCAGGTGCGGTGGGATCGGGTAAGCACGTCCACGGAAGTCGACATTGTGCGGAAAATAGATCGTGTCGCCGAGAAACTAGCAAGGTTTCATATGAGCAGGTCTTCAGGGTAAAAGGAACACGGAATGGCTCACGGCTCGGGCGATCTCGATCTTATAATTAACACTACATCTGTCTGAATGGTTGTGCGCCTTCTCCAAATTATAATGTTTCTGCCTCGTCAGGTAAATGAGCCTTTGGGCCTGGTCCGTATCAATATTTTCTGGCCTCTCCGGCTCAGGTCCATCATATACCGCAGGGGGGATCTTGTTCCCCCGTTTGCCTGAGTTCCACACCTCGAGCACGACATCGAACACCTTCCGGTTGATCTTCCAAGGGGTGCTGCCGAGCACATCCAAACTAGCGTAGATCAGCTCCAGGTTACCCAATTGAGATGCCTCCCGCAGATAGCTTGCTTGTTCCTGGGAATCTTTGAATCGCATGGCCCAAGCTAAGATAACAAATGTGATGATCAACATATTAAAGTGACAACAATTGAGGGACTAACTCACTCTTGTTGTAAATATACCCGCCTTGATCATAGCTCAACCATGGCTTCGGTTCCACAAGCATAGGAAGATGTCGAGGGTGAAGAGTCTCACGCAGCGACTCATTCGCCATTTTTTCCGCAATTTGAGGATTGAGTTTGATGACGCCGAGCTTGAATCCGCGAATATACTCGTACGTGTGGAAAAACGCGGGCTGTTCTTCTGACCTATAGGACATACAGCGTTCACATACTCAGAAGCATGAATGCATATCGGACACTTACACATCCTCCCTAGTTCTGGGGTCATTGCCTGTCCTCAGAATGGTGGCAATATCCACCAGACAGTCAACGAGAAAACTGCCGACCTTGACACGTACAGTCTGCGTCCACTCCGTCGTCCAGTCCTCCGAGTCTTCCACGAACTTTGCCGCCGTAACACGGCGTGCATGTAGATCGCGAACACCCAAGTTCGTGAAGAAGGATCCGTGGGCCGGTCGGCCTGGGGTGGTCGTCGGAATGCTAATGTTATTCTTTTTGCACATCTCGGCCTTATACTCGAGTTCGACGGCCTTTCCGACAGCGAGTAGCGCTCGTGCCGTCTTCATGCCATCCACCACACCGCCGGTGCCCTCGAGGCGCATGAGCTCGAGTATCACGATGAGGGAGAGCTTCTCTGGCGAGAGAAGGCTAAGGAATGGGCTCAGCCCGACCAGACGTTTGGGATCACCTACAACTTGCTTATGAGTAATCCGAATGGACTTCTGGACGTAAATGGGCATACCGATCTTCACGTCCGCCTGTATGTGCCGCTCTTCCGCAACCATATTCGCGATCTCGGCCTCTAGTCGAACCTGCAGCTTCTGGTGCCACTCCCACATCCAAGCGCGGATATCCTTGCTCTTCAGGCCCTTACTGCCCAAACCTAACCCATCAAGTACCTCTGCCTGGTGCCTGAGACGGTCTACGGCAACATCATACACTGAATCTTCCAGCAGCTTTTGTCTGGAAGCAACATCTTCCGGAAGCACGCGTCGAGCGAGCACTAATTGTGATAAATGCCTGCGTAGTGTTTGAATGTTATACGGCACTTCACTCTCCTGTTCTTCTGGTTTGCCCTTGCTCGTCATACTCGCGATTGAACCGTCCTGTCGCTGTTTGACCTCGATATCTACTCTCTGTTTCCCCAAGTAACCATCTATTAAAGCCGCCGGCAGCAATAATGCATTTCAACTCACCTTGGGTCGCATGACCGGTATCGCCTCAGGCACATTCTCAAGCGGATCGACCTCCGTCCGTCCAAGCATCTCTGCTGTGCCGAGCTCGTTGACGACTGTTAAAAGACCCGCCTCTACCGCAGCCTTTGAGAGCACCTTGATTGCCTGCACTGACTCTTCCGTCGTTGTGAACGCCTTGTTGGACACCACAATCGCAACTGAGATTTCGCGATCTAGAATGCTCTGCAAGATTTGCATTGGCCCTCGCACGCCCTCAACATGCAATGGCTTAGCCGATTCCGGATTGTGGCGCATCCAAGCAAGCAGCGCGAGTGCGTACGTATGTTCACTTGGCTTGAGATAATTGCTCCGCTCCATCTCACCGTAGAGTTGCCAGAATTCTGTCAAATACACATCTGGTTCCACAGTTTTCTCCAAGCTGGCCAACGTGAGATATGCATCCAGGAAAGCATTGTATACCCGCTCGCTAAGGAGGGCCTCGCCCTTCTCTGTTGTCCGCATATTATCGAAAACGGCCTTCGCTCGCGGTACGTCATATAGATTGTGCAAACATGCATCCATGACTGAAAGTAAGTCCTGAGTCGGCGAGTCTGTAAAGTAAAGGCTGTTAAACTTGTTAGGCTCGTGGTCCGGCAAGGGCGTAGGGAGGATAGTGTAGGCTGGCCGGCGTTGTAGAAACGCCTCCATGTCGACTTGCGCTACTGTTTGCGACTTCTTCTGTAGCATAAAAGGAGGATATTGGTCAACTGGTGCGGCACCGGTAGCAAGAGCAGGAGCATTCGCCCGTTTTGAAGGAGTAGAGTACAGACGAGCCGGGCGAGGAAGGCTCTGGCGGGAGTTTGACACCCAAGTCATCTCCACCTTGCGAGCAGCAGTTCTGGGGATCATGATGTCTGCAGGTCAGCGTCTAGGTGGCCGTCTTGGTCGAGGAGGTGTCGGCAAGACCTTGCTATAGATCAGTATTTCGAAAATTTGCCGCCACCGGCAATATTTGTTGCGAGCAAATATCAATATACAATCACGTGATCATTCCCTCCACGATTTCCGTAAAGAGCATTCTGTCGAAATCCATCTTATAAAGGCAAAACACCGGTTCACCAGGCATGATACCGAGCACAGCGTTAAGACCCAGGTACATGCATAAACGTTCGTTGAGAATGATAAATGACGGGATAGTACATCATATTTTTCTAAACCAAGCATCCGCGTAACCTTCGATATCTTCAAAGTGTTTCTTTCTTTCCTTCACCGCTTCCTCCTCCAGCATTAGAGCAAAGCCTTTCACATCCTGTTCTCCATTCCTCTCCTGCAGGACGAACATTCCTGTTCCTCCCGACTCGTCCGTCTCGAAAGTCTCAAATGCAGTGCTGTTCAAGCCATAGCCACGTGGAAAAAGCGTGGTAAACTGGAAGTCAAACGTCTCGCCTTCCTTTGGAACCGAACGTAAATGTGTCGACCAAATGCGTGGCCAAGAGGCATACAGGGCTTGTTCGTTCGGGCTGCGAAAGGGAGCAAAGTCGGCGAGCACCTCTGTACAGTAGTGCGAGGTGCTCTCTGGCGAACACAATGTGAAGGCGCCATACCCAAGGTTGCTGTAAGTCCCTGTGTATTTCTCCAGGTCTAGCGAAGGCGGTTCTCTAATTCCCGACGCCCTCTCATGCTCAATGGATCTCGACTGCTCTTCATCTGCGAGTGAGCTATGTAGTTTGCTCAGTCAATATCGCTACCGGTTAAAGAGCGTGAGCACGAACCTGGAGTCATGCGCTAGAGGTCGGTCTACCCGGCGTAGCCCCAAAACGTCCTCAACAACTCGGTACATAATCGCTTCGTTCGCGCTCGCCTTCTCGTCAGCATTTGCGAGCAACACCAATCCGAGGCCGTCCGACGGAAGGAACGCGACGCGAGTAGATATGCCAGGTACCCCACCGGTATGTGAGACGATCTGTTCACCACGCTGTCAAATGAAATTCTTCGGAGCGTGAGATATGGAATGCTCCGACGAACTTCGTGGCCTTGGTATGACCATCGGATCCATCCCATCCCATATCCTTCGAAGGACATGTCTGGGGTCGCTCCAGCGCCCTTTATGATGGAATGAGCAGTCGTCATCTCATCGAACGTTGAGCGAGGGAGTATGATTTTATGTGTTGCCGCATCTACACCGTGATTCAGCAGCGTGATCAGCCATTTGGTCTGCAAAGATAACTTTAGTGAATTTCCAAACGATTTCCTCTTGCCGTCAACACACCATATCTTCTGCACTAGTGATAACACCTCCTGCACCAGCTAAGAGCTCGACAATGTCTTGGTGGAATCCCGACGGAATGCGTCGACCAAATTTGGTCCAAGTTTGAGTGAATTTTCCCGCTTTGGCTGCTTCTTCAGGCCAGAATGTTGATGAAGTCATGTTCATTTGCTCGAAGAGCCGAGACTTCACAAAGGAGGTGTACGTAGTGTTCGCGTACTGCGACACGAGGTATGCTCCCGTCTTATACATCTAAACGGGCCGATCTCGTTAGTTCTGGCAGACCGTGAGGTTTCACAAGAATATACCTGATTGTTGTAATGCCATGTCTTACGCAGCTCATATGCAGGTCGCAGATTGCGCAGGTTGCGCACAACGTCCTGAGTTGAGTCCTTCGGACCATATGAAAAGTCATGCCTGAGGCCAGGTACGTTACTCTTTGGAAGACTGCAGCGGGCAATACTGTTCACCTCGGCAGACCAGAGACATGCGCGAGGATGTCACGAATGTTAGCCTTCTGACTTGCCCACTCGTCCGCGAGCACCCAGTCATCGGGCAGGATGTCCTTCAGCTTCGTATCCCAATCGAACCGCGAGACGCCTGGTGGCAGAGGAGTCACATTCCGACCTTGGCTGAAATCATCCATGAGCAGCCCGACAGAGCTAGCAAGGAATGCCTTGGAGCATGAGGCTATAGTAAAGAGTGACTGGAAATCAATCAGTGATCACGTTCCTCGAGGGTTGCCCGTCGAAGAAGATGTGAAGCATCGTAGAAGAATGCTTACGTCCGGAGTCATGTCATGCCCATCCCCTTCTTCTGTCCTGTGCCCCCATGCTTCCAACTCGATGACCGGTTCCTGCCCTTCCGAAACATGTACGACTCCCAGAGCGATACCAGGAATACGAGCGGTCTTCAGCAGCCTCTCAATGTAGTCAGACAGTTCTGGAGTAATAGCATGCTTGCTTAGCACTGTTGTCGACGGAGGCGCGACTAAGGTCCCTCCTAGGGCCAGTGGCAGTTGATAGAATGCGTCCGCAGATATCGCAGCAAGACTACGATGCAGCAGGATAGAGAAAACGAGCAGCGTAAAGCTCAGCATGGCGGGTTTCTACAGCAACCAGCTGTAGCCTTAGCTCTAACGAGGACGTCCTGAACAGTAGAGCTTCTCCGAAAGTGATGATGAAGCAACTTATCATGAGAACGCGAGTCTCATGAATCGTGAGGTCCGCGTGGCTTGTGGGGATACCGGCTATCTTGAAACTGTCTTGTACGGGTCAGTAAGGTTGCTTCAGACCATAGCAATCACGTCTTGTAAGCATACAACATTCCCCCTCGCAGCATGAAAAGCTGAAAGCACAGCTTTTGAACCCGTTGCGATTTGCGACGCCGGTCGAGATTCTTCACAAGTATCCGAAGGGGACGGAGTTGTTACATTGTTCTCGGATAATTTCTCGAGACAGGAAACGCGGGGTTTGTTACTTGTACATATCCCTAATGCCAGTCGAGCAATGAATTCTATCGGTGGCCCTTTTCAATTCAACGACAGAATAGACGGAAGTGGCCCGTTCGCCCGCCCGCGTTGAATCGGCTCGACAATGGGCGCTAATTGTGCACCGTACTTCTCGTCGACCTTGACCGTTTTTAGACTGCCTCTTTGTTGACGTTACCACTCAGTGCGAGGATTCGCGAGCTCAAGAACATGTCGGACACGTATTCGACACCCAAGGTCGCGTCTGGTGTCGGTAGTTCGCGTATGTTGGCCGCGCTCGACAACCCTGCACTTCTCTCAACGTCCGGTGTGGCGTCGTCATCATTGGACGCGTTGCGCGGCCGTAATATGCCTACAAATGGTCTAAAGAGGCCTATAGAAACCCTACCTGTGTCAGGAAGCGGTTTTAGTGGTCGCAAGAAAAAAAGGACATCAAACAGTCATGTCGAAACGGAGAACCTATTCGGCACTCCTGTCCCAGTTGGACTGTCTGCCGGTATGTTCCCGCAATCCTTCCGTGTTGATGACATCCGTAGACCTTGAGTCTTTGATGGAACTTCTGGCAAGTATAGGTTTATTATCCCAACTTCTTCATAGCCGAGCTGGCAGCGCGTCCCCCCCGAACAAGGCCAGCAGTTCCTCCAACCTGACCAGTGGATTTGCTTTGCGATATGACAATGAAAGCACGATTCATGCCATCGACTATGGAGGAAGGGATCAAGCGATGAGGTTAACGCCATGGATGTGTGCGACCTAGCGTTTGTCTTACATAGCCTACCATCCAGGATTGCCGAGTTCGTGACCAGGTCGATCGACAACTCATCGCACGGGGTGGACGTGCAGTCTGCTATGCAAAAGCTGCAGCTTCGCGGGTAAGTGATTTCGCACTTTTGCGCGACTTCTCTGTTTACAGGTTTCCATAAGTAAAAAAGATCTACTACCCGGTATGGAAGTTCGCTTGCTTCCACACCAGATTATAGGTGTTGCCTGGTACGCTAGGAGTCTCTCGTCTTATTTACGTGTTAATTGGCAATGAGAGCAGGATGCTGGACCAAGAACATAGCAGCCCGCATAAGGGAGGCATTCTCGCGTAAGTAATCTCATCTGTCGTTCGGTCTCGTGCTGACTCTCACCGGTATGTTAGGGATGAGATGGGTCTCGGTACAGCGATGTCTACCCAGGCGACTTCAGTATATCTGACAGAATGTCAGGTAAAACCGTGCAAATGATTGCGACCATGGCGATGAACCTCCCCGATGAAGACGAAAGCAATCGCAGCACACTCATCGTCGTTCCAGCCGCGTTGCTTCTCCAGGTGCGTGCCTCAAACTATCATCCGAAGTCCTTCTCACGTCGGACACAGTGGAAAGATGAGATCACGAGCAAGACGAACGGGATGTTCACTGTGCATATCCACCACGGCAGGGACAAGCTCAAATCAACTTCAGCGATCGCGCACAAGGACGTGATTATTGCAACGTATCACACCCTAAACCACGACTTCGCGCTTCCAGCAGACATCGAGGAAGGCGAGGAGATGCGCTGGTTGATGGATAATGGGTTCGCCTTTCATTACCTCAAGTCATTGCGTAGCAATCGTCAACTTTCTTATTGCTTTACAGGGGTGTCCTGGCACGTACAAAGTGGTTCCGAGTCATCCTGGATGAATCTCAGTTCATTCGAAACAGGTGCACCTGCTTTGTGCTACTGCTAACGGTCTGCGGGTATTGATCATCCATCGCAGAGCGACGCGGTCGAGCCAAGCAGTCGCAATGCTCCGCTCGCGCTATCGGTGGTGTTTGACAGGAACACCCATCACGAATACCCTGTGAGCAGCCGCAGCAGCCGAGCACTACATCAGCCACTGATTCTTGAAGTCAGGGCAGATATATACGGCCTCCTGCGCTTTGGGCGCTTCCGGCCATGGAAGTGCGTGCGATGAGCATTGCAAGTGATATGTCGTTGATCATGACATTCAGTGACTGGAAAGACTTCAATGAGTACATTGCGAAAGTCCAGTTGGAAGATGCACCGCTTGCTGGTATGTGCGCGCATTATGTGGCGTGCTTCTCTATCAGGAAGTTGATTGAAGTGCATTGGTGTAGGCTTGCGTGCTCAGGAGGTCCTAAAGCCACTGATGTTGAGACGTACGAAAAACGCGGAGATCGTATGCGCAGTCTACTTTCATTGCAGAACTGATGGTGAATTGCTATCCCTACCCTGTTAGGAGGGCGAGCCTATCCTTCAACTCCCTGAGAAGCACGTTGACCTCGTGGAGTTGGACTTCTCGGACGAAGAGCGTAAGGTACGCCTCGTCTTGGTTGGAAGCGCACCGGCAAGAGCTGCACTTGCTCAATGAAAATATACCGCAGCTGTACGACAACTTCGAGCGGCGTGCACAAATTCAGATCAGCAGGTTCATCAGGGATAACACTATTGTCAAAAAGTAGGCATTCTGCAATATCCGCGATCATATTGTACTGATGCATGTGGGAACAGCCATTCGGCAGTTCTGGTGAGTCAAAGTGCTGTCCTTCCCTGGTCCACCCTATACATTCAGGTCGTTAGGTCATGATCCTGCGCCTCCGTCAGCTGTGCTGTCATCCAAACTTGATACTGGTGAGCTTAATAGCTGGCCCAGTTGATCAATGCACTTCATAACGTTTTCGATAGGGTCTTGCAGAAGAGTTTTCAGACCCAACGATGCTTGTTGGCAGTAATGCGGACAGAGAGTTGGCACGAGCCACCAAGCAATATGGTGGACGATGGGTCACGGAGATCAAGCAGAGGCGAGTGTGTGTTCACTATATGGTGGGCCTACAATTGATCAAACGTCCAGATTTATGGCTCGCGCAAAAGTGAACTCACTAGACTTTGATGACGAGTCGGACGAACCGGAGCCGACTTGTCCTGTCTGTGGAGATTGTACGTATCCCTGGCTAGGTTCAGTTCTGCTTTGGTTGATAGGATTGCCGCAGTGTTCATGAACGACAGCGGGAGGTTGCTCGGGTGTGGACACGAGATATGTGCAGGTGCGTGCAAATATAGCACGTAGTCCTCACCAACCAATCTCTGACAATGTGTGATAGAGTGTCTCGACGTCCTGGCGACTTCCAACATTGAACATAACGGCGAATTGTAAGTAAGTGCTGTGCATTGTGTCGATCGCTCCTAAGGATCGTATTCGATCAGTGGGAACGCCGATGAGCAAACGAATCTTCGAGTTGAGAAGGAATTCGAGGCAGCTGTAGCGAAGGGCCTCCGTCCATGTGCGTCATGCTGGTCCTCTGCCACTGTTGTGATCATCATTGATTGTCCAACGAAGGCCCGACTTGCAAGAAGATGATGGACTTGCGGCCCGCAAATGTCTTCCGCTCCTCTGCATTTGAGCCGTCAGACGAGGAGCTCCGAAGTGCAAAGCGTCGAGCGCAGAACGCGCGCCACCGGGCGGCTGGGCGCTCAGACGCAGAAACATCTGTTCCCTGTCGCCAGCAGATCGAGGAGATCGTCGACCTGAGCTCTAGCTCGGAGGAGGACCTTCCTGACGTCTCGCAGCTCCTGTCCGCTGCAGCGTCGACTTCACCTAGCTCTCAAGCGAAAAGGAAGGAGAAAAGCAAGAAAACGGTGGACAATACTGAAGGCAGCGACGCTGTAGATGATGTTCGTGTCGTCCTAAATTACGTCCAACAATCACTGCTTATTGTTTTGGCTTTACATCATTAGGACATGGAGATTAGCGTGACCATGAAGGAGATCATGGGCAAGAAACGGGCCCAGCAGAATGGCAATCCAAGAGCGACGCGCTCGGATCCCGAGGGACCGTGGGAGATGTCGGACGCGCTCATCGCGACATGGAAGCGGAGCGATGACAATATGGAGCCGAGCACGAAGATGCTGGCGCTCATCGAATGCCTCAAGGAGTGGGAGGCCTCGGGCGACAAGATCATCGTCTTTTCGCAGTGTGAGTTCACGATCGATCCTTTGTCAACGGTTCGCTAAATTGTCGAATGATGCTAGGGACATCGATGCTAGATTTGATCGAGACACTGTTTTCGCGCTACGGCATTCGCAGCCTGCGGTACGACGGCAAGATGAGCCGCGGGGCGCGCGAGGAGGTCTTGATGCAGTTCAGGAAGCCGGGTGGGCTGAAGGTCGCTTTGATCAGGTGTGTCGCGTTAACCTACGCTTTCGCGCGAGTGTTTAGACTGCCTTTAGCACGAAGTGTGGTGGGGTCGGTTTGAACCTCGTCTCAGCTAACCGCATCGTGAAGTAAACTTGTTCTCCGTTTCGTCGATCTGACCGCAAAGCCTTGACTACGTATCCCCAGCATGGATCTTGGGTGGAACTATGCCTCCGAGTCGCAGGCGTACGATCGCGTCCATCGGCTTGGCCAGGACAAGGAGGTATTTGTGAAGCGCCTTGTCGTGCGCGACACAATTGAGCAGCGGTAGGTGTCGCGTGGAGCAGAAGGGGGCTTGCTGTAGAGCTCACATGTTTCCAGGATGCTCAAGCTGCAGGAGACAAAAGTCGGTGAGTGCGACTCCGAATCACCACACGGCCCTTGGTGAGTGAACGTTCATTGATCTCCAAAATCAGGCCTCGCGGAAGCCGCGCTCGGCGAGGGGACAGGTATCAAGTTGCACAAGCTGAGCGTCAAAGAGCTCAAAGACGTATGTTACTCATCATTTGCTGCGTCTTGCGGTGCCGACCTGATGTTCCAATAGCTATTCGGTATGAACAAGAACAATAACAGCCAATCTCAATAAACTAGAACCCCCCTAGTTGCCCGGTACTTTGCAAAGGAGGCAGTGTGCATGAGATGGCCGGTCCATATCGTTATTCTTCAGTTATGAGGTATGCTACGCCATATGCCGACGTGTACAGTCCATCGCGTCGCGGTACATTACTCCAATCCTAAACCATTGTCCCAGTGTATATACGTTAGATCCTTTCATAACCCCACCCTGCTCCATCAAGCCCATTCCATCAAGAACTTGCTGCGAACCGATCACAGGAGGAGCGCCATGGCGCCCGCTCCAACGCCGAGTGCCAGCTTCCATTGCTCCGCGTGTAAGCCCAACGCAGCAGCGCTTGAGCTACTTGCGGAGGTAGAGGTGGAAGATGCGGTGCCAGTCGAAGTGGTGGTCACGGTCGAGGCGGAGCTCGACGCAGGAATGGTGGCAGTAGATATGCTCCCTGACGCTGTGACTCCACTAGAGGTCGTGCTTGGAACGGTCTCGGTGGGAAGAGTCGCGAATGTAGATGTCGTCACCTCGCTGGAAGTGACCGTGCCTGACAAAGGGAGCGAAGAGAGCGGGGGCGTGGCGGATGTTGATTCTGACACGGGTGCTGAGGTAAACACTGACGTGGGGGTGGTCTCGGTCACACTAGTGAGGCTACGCACAGTCAGCTTGCACGGTGATCTCGAGGTACACGGGAGGCGGACCGGCGAACTCACATCGAAGAAAGCGGAGTCCCGCTGAGCGGTATGGACGGCTGCAGAGACACCGTAATCACGGTCGACGATGTATCGACCTGGGGCAGCGCGCCAACCATCCCGTATACGCATGCGAGCAGGAAGAAGGAGATGCGAGCGGGAGCCATCTCGTCTTTCTCACGCTAGCGGAGCTGGGCCGTCAAAGATGGTGGAGGTCGTGAGCAGACGGGACACGGGTAAGAACCGCTCAGAGTCGCCCTTTTATACAATGGGCACGACGGTAAGTGTGGGCCGAGCAGGTAAGGACTTGCTTGCTGCGCACGGTGTGATTGCGCGCATGATTGACCGCGGCGCGCCTCGGTACACGACATAAACGCGGTCACGTGAGGCAATATTAGCAGTACACACCAGTGTACACCGGAAGTGAGGTGAGTGAGCAACAGTTGTGGCCTCTCAAAAAAACATCGACCCGCTATCAATCATGTCAGCGATCCGAGAGGATGCAGCATCTGTACAGCCGGCACACCTCTGTCGGTCGTGTACAGCCTCGTGGCTGTGTTTAGGACCGCCCACGGTCAGCCATCGCCGGGGAACGAAGCGCTCTGCTCTGTTAAGGTTCTGTAGCTCACACGTAGAGTTATCCGACCCGATGAAACTAGAACAGAGTCTGTCTCCGCACCGCTACAGATCCAACTTGTGCAGATAACCAAGGTAGCATACCGACAACATGAAGTAGTCAACAGCACAACGCAACAGTCAGGATTATGAGATCAATCATTTCAGGCTGTCGGACCCAGAGGCTAAATCGCACACGACACTAGATGTTGTCAAGTTGTGTCAGGACCTACCCGAAGGCCGAGCATGAATGCAGCAATGTACAAACCATTGGGTGACGAGTGCACATAGCTAATCTCCTGAGTATCTGCTGTGACGGCGGCCTCGAACGTCACGCCCACTGATCAGGTGAGAGTTTGTTTTAGCAACGGCCCTCACAGCGTCATGAGCGATAAGTGACTCGCCTCTGGAACAATCAAGCTCAAGGAGGGCACTACGGTTGGGGAGCCGAACTTTACAGTCGCAGTGAGCTCGTTGGTCTTCTCGCCTTGAAGCAGCGCCACGTACTGCTGGCGCGTCGTGGCTTTGCCGTTCGCTGTGATACTGGCGTTGGTCGCAAGGAACAGATCAAGCGCGGCGTTCAAGTCGCTCTGAATGGTGGCTTCGTAGGTGTTTTGGATGCCCTGCTCGATCCAGGAGGCGAAAATGAGCTCGATGGGGCCGCCGGGATTCGTGGTCATGTTCGACCATGATTCCAGTGGGAGCGAGGGCGTCTGTTTGCCTGTCTGTCCGCCCCGTCTCTCAGCCATCTGCCGTAACGATGAGCTGGCGGCAGCGGAAGATGCTCGCAACAGTAACTGATCATCGTTCTCATGCTTTGACCCATCGCGAGGAGGTCATCAGTGCAGCGAGAGGTAATGTGGCTCTGAACCTGCGCTTGTTTCACTGTTTCGAACCCGCTCTCTGTGCACCGACCTCAGGGACAGGTATCGCAGCAAGAGTAATGTGGCGAGAGCAAACGGAGAGTGTTTCAAAACAGCTTTGGGCGCAGCGTGGAAGGCTGGACAACGTACCACATACCGCTCGTTTTGATGCGCCACTACGTTACCGGGCGACCGGGCGCCCGACAGCATTCAGGTTGGCAGGTGCGTACGGCACTCGGAGCGGAGCTACTTGTGTGGTTGCCGAGGGTCCCCAGGCAACTCTCGTAGACGAGATGAGAGATGGCAACAATCGGCAACAATCGGCTTGCTGTCCGTGTTCGTGTATCTGCAGGCACCGTCGAATCGACCGACCTGCATCGATGCCATTAAGATGACAGTTGTAGTTTAGACACGGCAACAGCGTTGTTGCCGATTCAAAACCATGCACTCTGTGCAAAGGCTGCAGCGCGTGAGTATGAAACAGCGATGCAAGAGATGTCGCAGAACAAGTTACTCGCGCCTACTGTCAATTCGACCGGTAATGCACCCGTTTGGTTATATAATCCATGAGGAATAAGTACGGAGTGATGATGTGCAAAGTCGAAAGGGAGGCAAGATACACTGTGACGTCAAAGTGCGAAGACCGGCAGTAGAAAGAATTGCCTCATCAGAGCAAGAATCGCTGCACCTAGAATGTATGTACGTACCAGCAAATCAGCCTTATGAATAAGCACTGAAAGCGCATGATTTTTCTGCCTCCAATTGAACAATGGTTTCCACAACCGGGCGCTGAACGGACAGCATAAATAGGTCTGAGGTAGCGATGCAGGAGAGTTCGGGCTAAGCACTGTCCACATCAAATCCGCAGATCTAACAGGGCCTGCTCTTTCATGGCGAATACCGATGCCATTGTCCACTCACCTTTGCGAATCCTGTCCATCAACGAATCAACCCACGCTTGTGCGGAGACACAGGAAGGCCTCGAGCAATGTATAACACTTATTGGAAGGCGATTGACAGACAGCCCGTGAGTGATGCTATCGAAGGCAAGTTATTCCGGGAATAATTTGTCGGAGGCAACTCATGCAAGGAGTTGAGTGGCATCGACTATCCGGTAACGGTCTGTTGGCGGCCGCCACACATTTCTTCGCGTTCCTTGGGACATCCGGCTGCTGTTACCTGAATCGCATCGACGAACCGCTTTCGAGTGGGAGCTAAAGATAGGTCGACGTGATGCGTTCAATCCATCAGTATTGGGATGGGCGCTGGGCGCTCCAAGATGGCTGTAGCTGCAGCTAGCCTAGTAGCCGAACAATGAGTTGATCGTTCGGTGGCGCGTTTCTATACAAACCAGCTTGGCATCGAGGGGATGATGTGGCGTGATGTCAAGCGCAGAATTGACATAAGGCGCACATTTCTATTTCTGACTCGCAAGGCCAGGCCCCGCGCGTCAAAGGGGCTCACCTATAGTACAGATTTTATTTGCAGTCTTAAGCCTGCGTTCAGAAAACCAAGGTGCTTGGATCATAAATTTTCGACAAAGCCTTTCTCTACGACATGTAGCTTATACTTTCCGCTTATAGCTATCCAAATACGGTGTAACAAAAACAATTATTATTATTATTGTTAACAATTATGGCGAAGTTCAGCCTTGGAAGAAACTTTGAGCCGCAAGCTCGCGACACAAGACCTGATTGCTGTTACGTTGCAACTAAATTCTGTCCTTAAGGAGACGGGATGCTTCTTGTCAACATCTTCCTGCAGGCGACGTTCATGATGCAAAAAATTTTCTGAAGTTGCACCGCCGTTATATGATACTGCCGACACGGTCGTGCCTAAGCTTTTGCAAATTTGCGATCGTTACGGTCTCGAGACATGATGCATGATGCACGATGCATGAGCCACCAATATGTCATCTCGATGTCCGAGCATTTTTCGGTGGAACGCAGAATAGTCGGTATCCACCAGCTGCTACTCGGCTAGTCATGGGCGCTGAGCGCCCATCAACATGCTCCCTAGCGCATTGTCGACGATACGGATGAGGAAATATGCGAAGGCTTTGCTTCAGTGGCTATTAGTTCGTATTGTCCTCGTCGAAATAGGTGCGTGGTACGTGATTGGACCCTTTTCGCTGAGCTGTCGAATTGATAGCAGACGGCGAGGTCTTGACTGTTCACAGCAGGGGTTCGTAGGAATAGCGACCTGCCATGCATTTCCTGAATCAGTAAAGGCCTGCTGATGTATCAAACTGTCTTTGACATGGATCATTCGTTATCCTTGTCAACACAGTCAGATTTAGCCGCACATATATCTCATTAGTCGGTTTGTCGCCGTTCAGCAGTTTCTCCAGCTCGAATCTCAAACTGTGACGCTTCTCATCCTGCTCCCCACACATCGCGATGCGAACAGGTTTCAAAATGCGCTTCGGCTACAGACTGCTATATCTTCTGTTGATAATCGTGCACGTACTACTCGTCCTCATGCATGTGGGCTTGCTCAGCGTCTGGGCTCTTCATGCTGAACAAGCTGTCATTGTTCCCCTTGATCAAGCTGGTGAGGTATCGACCCAAGTCATCTTTGCACTGCAGGTCTTCATTATTGTAAGTAGGGATCCTCATCGCTGATCCTTTCAGCTATACACGGCTCTTCTGCTATTGATAACACAACGTCTCTCTATCAACAGTCTGGTCGACCGCCCTAAAACACTCACCGCTGTCCATGATATCTCGAATGCCTGGACAGGCTTGGGCTCTGCGCTCTTCAGCTTGGGAAGGCAGTTCTCCATACCTGCGGCAGTTTTCGGGACGCTCGGAGTGACGGTCTATCTCGCCTCCCTTTCTGTGTTGCACATTAGCACGCCGTCTCTTTTTACCATGGATACGTACAACCAGACGGGCGCATTGTCTGTCGGCCTCACTGCTGGCATGCCCAACATCACTAATGCTACAATGTAAGTTTGTATATTAGTCGATATGAGGGCGTAAAGTCCTGAACAGACATTGCAGGCTTGGCTATGACCGTGGAGGCGCCTTGTGGGCAATCACAAGCACTATGCTTCCATACCTCATCTTTGTCAATAATCAGTCAACCCTAGGGCTTGCCAACGGTACTTTGTATGATATCTTGGATCCAAACATTGGCACAGGCAACGTCACCGTGAACGCTACGACTGCCTCGGTGGCGTGCCACACTGTCCCAAATGCTGCTGCAGTCTTGACATATGCAAGTGATGAAGAGTACATCTGGACAGTACACGCAATATACAATGATTACAACATCACATTTGACCTCGTTGGCATTCTCGGTAAGTGTTTACATGTTGCTAGAGTTGCAGAACAGCCTAACAAGGCCCAGCTAGTACAGGTGTTATAAAACAGTTTACATGGTATAACGAGGCCGAAAACTCCACGCTGCTCCTCGTAAGCACATTCTTATTGGTCCTTCATGTGGATACCGTTCTGGAGCAATGTTTTTTCTGTTAACGTAGGGCCGCAATGCAATATTCATAACCACATTCGGCGTGGTAGACAGTAAAGGGAACACGGGATCGTACATCTCGGGTGCGCATACTGTAGCAGGGTCCTGGACTCGCGCTCACATGTTCTTCTTATGCCCACAGGGTACAATTACTCGGATCTGCAAATCATCGGATGCACGCTTTCATGGAACTCGACCAAAGTCATCGTGGACTCAAGCACAAGATTTATTGTGGCGATGGAATCAGGAGTTGCTAACAATCGGTCGTCCGAATGGTCTGTCTGGAGTCCTGGTCTGCAGTCCTTCCCACAAGATAGACAGAATTTGGAACTTGACATGGTACGCTTCGTAATTGGAAACAAGCGAACTTCTCACTGAGCATGTCCGCAGTGGGCCGATATGTTATCTAGCTCGACTAGTGGGATGTTCGCGATCGGAAACACAAGCCCCAATAGTACAAGTTCCTCTGAGATAGTGGGCACGCAGACAGAACAGTCCGTGACAGAGCATACGGTCACACAATGAGTGCTGATTTTTCCGCAGGTCTGTCAAGCTGATTCTCCCGGCCTCCATCGATGGCGGCAACGTGACACTAACACAGTTTGAAAATGCCGTTGGTAAGTGACCTTCTAGCCTAGGCAAGCTCACGGCTAATACCAGGCTTCGTATGGAAGGTGAAATGACGGCGGATGTATTTTGGGCAGGTGAGTGCTGTGATTATGTGGTACAGTGTTGTCGCTGACGAGGCAACAGGTACTCACGTGTTACCTGCTGACGTTTGCCCGAACTGTTTGACACTCGCCCGCGGTTCAACTGGCGTTCCGAAAACAGTATCTCGTCTGAATGTACGTCCATTCGATCTGCCTTACCTTCCACGTCCTAAGGCCACTCTTCTTGTAGCTCAATCTGACAGCAGTAAGTGCTCCTGTCACTTGCATGATAATGTGCTGTAATGGTCCATCAGATACTCTTCGGTTTGGTCTCGTCTATCATCCTCCTCATCATCGCGGTCTTCTTGACATTCGGCGTCACAAAAACGAACCGCATGATAGATGGAATGGGCGTATTGCAATTCCTCTGGCTGGTCTCCGATCGTGCTACAATACAGAAGCGCCTTGCCGGCATCGACGAGCCAACAACGGGCGAACTACGCAAAGTCGGCATGTCTGAGACTGTCAGCATCAGAGACAAGACTGCAAGAGCAGAATCGATCGAGATGGAGTACAGTACGCTGGGCACAAAGGACTACGACTGATTTGTACGCGACCCTACTCACGAGCGGACGACGGGGCCGGCAGAGGTCACTGGTTATGCGATTGTGAGTAGCCTTTGAAAGTGACATAGTGTTTGAGAGCCGCCAAACGGAAACCGAGCCGCACTAGTTTATACTTTGATCTTGCATCTACTTGCTCTACTTCTAGTTTCAGGACGTTCTTCGGATCAATTATGATGACTTGACATAGGTCTTATTTCATAAAACACGATAATTTCAATGACCTTTGCATGTGGGGTATCGTTTCGGACGCTCAAAATCCAAATTCCTCTCTATGACGTGTTCAAATGAAACCATATCATCCCGCGGTGGAGACGCCGTATGTGTGAAGGACGCATTAGTGGCCTCGATGAAAGCGTGAGGGATGCGAGACGCCGGGTCTACACATCTCGTGAACAACCATTCGTGCCACCGACCCTAACAGTCTGTTGATAGAGCGTGATAAGCATACTGAGTGGCTGACATTATCAGTACTAGCCCGCGGAGACGGACTTCACCAAGATTACATTCGATTCATATGGGTTCGCCAGCACTACTCGCTTGTATACCTTCGTTCGATGCCATCAGTGCCAGCCGTAGGCTGTTCTCGGGCTTGTCTTTACATGAGCGCAATGCCGACATCAACGACATAGCGCGGGCTAGCCGGAGCTATGATGAGAACTGCAAGGAGGCTTGGAGTATTTATGACGACGAGGGTGTAGGCTGGCGATGCAACGCACCCAATCAGCATGTGTTGCGACATTGACGTTGGAAGCCGCTGAATAGTCTGTTTCAAGCAATTTCAATGAGCATGCGGATGTCAAAGAGAATGAGCTCCACAGAGGAGGTTCTCTGTGGCCATTTCCTTCACCTCACAGGGCGTCTTCCGTAAGTCACGACCTGATGAATATGCACGAAAATTTCACGCTCTATGCCCGCTGGCTACAGACGACCAACGATAATCATCGTCATAAATTCCGAAGCGACATGAACCATCTGGTGTCACCGCATACAGCATGGAACATCGGTTCATCAAAACATTCGTACAAAGTGTCAGCTTAGAACAAGAATCATACGCGTTCAGAACCCTATGTAGATGGTCGGGAGTTATCATTGCTGGGTTGCACTCCGAAATTGACGTCAGAATGCGAGAAACCTCTAGGTTTGGTAATTCGAGTCCTGTCTGTTTCGAGCGAGTCCGGGGCCCCTTGTGACGAGCTGTGTGCGAAGTCCAGAGCACTAAGCTGATGGGTGTCAGGATTGTTCCACCGTGCAACTGCGGAATCCCGCAACAGCCGGACGCGTATGAATATGATGTTGAAGATGATCGATACCATGGGCGACATCTGAGTGAGCTTCCATCAGCATGAGCGTCAAAGGAGAGGACAGAGTGATCCGTACGATGGCAGTCAAGATGTACACCACGCCCAAGGCGCGGATGGCCGAAACCAAAAGAACGATAAGTAGGGAGGTGTAGAGCGCCCCAGATTCGATGACGACGATGCGAATCGGGCGCAGAGTACGGAAGGATGACAGTGTTTGTAACCTGCCGGACCTGCGATCTACCACCCATATCCGGTACGCTAGCGCGGCTATGTAGCGGGAATGAAAAAACATCCAGTTCAGCTTGTCTGGTTCACACCTACCTGTTGCTGTAGCGTTCGCTGCGAGTGTGAACGAGTAGACGAAGATGATCCGCTCTCCGCTAACGATTTGGTGAGTGAATGAATAAGCGTTGTAGAATATGCTTCCTATGGTAAATGAGATGAGATAATGACCAGAGGACGGTTATCTGCGTGTGCACCTAACGATCCAAGATACGCGAGACACGGGAGAACGATGACGGTCCAAGTCTGCCAGACTGTGTAGCATCTGTAGATCTGGACGATGACTATGAGGAGGCAATCCACGAAATCTGGAGGTGGAGCGACGGAACGTACCACCACAGCGTCTCCAATGAGTGTTGATAACGCATACATCCCAACATCGACCAGAAATGTTGGACCCTGTTGGGCGGATAGGTAGTCTTCCGGTCCAGATGGACCTTGTGCATGGTCTACAAAAGCAATGATAGTGTCGAAGACACCGATGGTGACCTGCTATTCGTAGAAATGTATGTTGCGTATCAGCACACCGTTTGAGGCAGGATTAACTGTACCACCAACGATAGTGGGCAAAATCCAGAGGACTATCGCCAACCCGAGCATCACGCGGTCGACCTTCGTGCTGCGTCGGGATAGGAACGTCCACGCTGTTGCAACAAATAGACAGCTTGCGAATCCTGCGAAGGGATGGTTACTTTTAACCGCATATTCTGCATGCCGTGCTCACCATAGCTGATTCCTTGTATCGAGACAGAGAGGATAGGAACGGCTGCGTTTTGCCCCGTGAGGCCCTGCGACATGACGCCGGCTGAACGAGAGAGGGGGGAGTTCGCGCTGTGGATTCATGAAACAAGGTTTGAGCCGTTACAAATATCAATCACTCACGTCAAAGACGGTCTCGGATCAGCATTGACAAGACACAGTGCGATTCCTTGGTGGAGCTTCAGAACGATCCATGATCACCCGAATCCGGAGATGTCTCGTATACTAAAGATATAATGAACTTGAAGTTACCATGTGGAACCAGCATTGCTTTCCCATGACCAACGAAAGAGAAGCTTTGGATATGTCTTGATGAGCGCCGCCACTTGCAATGTAGAGCATATTTCGCCGAGTGGAGACCCGATCGCGACATTCATGATAAAGTTCGAGGGTCATTGTGCTCTCGTTGTCCTCACATCAATCATCTTCGAGATACATGGAAGGTAAATATAAGTAAGATGAAGTCATTCATGCAGTTGCAGACAAAATGGACTCCGAGAGCGTGCACCAGGGTTCATCGTTGGCAAGCGCCCATCAGCCACATCCATGGACAAATAAACACGTCGCGCTTGTGGCTGCGCTTCGACGCCATGCGATACGGTACAGCATACCGGGAGCCAGGATTATCGTAATTATTGCATCGAAGCTGACATTCCAGCGTTCATACATTTCACTTCTCATGTGCATCCGTCGAAGTCGAGATCCATCGCAACATCCTCCCAAGCTTCCATATCTTCCTTCATCCTCTCACAATGTGCCTTTGCCCCCTTGAACGTAGCATCCCCCAGCAACAACCTCGCCGGGAATGGCCTTCCCTTCGCCTTTCCCTCTCCTCTCACGACGTCTACCAGCAGCTCCATCGCCTTGGCAGGATCCCCCCTGACGTGCTTGAAGTGCTCTTCTAACCGTTGAATGGTCGCTTCGCGCGCGCCGTCGTAGTCCTGAACGTGATGGTTCAGCGCATAGGGCCGCTTGCCATTTCCCGGCGTGCGGAACTCTCCGGGGACGATGAGGAGCACGCGGATGTTGAAAGGGGCGAGCTCTGCTGCGAGTGTCTCGCTTATCGCTGGCATCGTCGCACGGCTGAAGGTCAGTGTTGTGCTCCGACGCGAATGTTGTTTTCAGCCTTACTGTGTATTGCGGCTTTCGACGCCATATAAAATGCGGCAGTCTGCGCATCCCGCTCAGCATCTTGTTTGGTACGACACCGGGGATTTCTCTCACTGTAAAGTGTGCGTTCCACACGGATCGACTACCCACGAATACGACAGTTCCTGCCTTACGCTCACGCATGTGGGGGAGCACGGCATTTGTCACACTGATCGCGCCGAAGACGTTCGTCTGAAACTGAGCGATGGCTTCCTTGGTCCTGGGAGAAAGTATTTGGAGTGCATGGCGACTCCTAGACGCAAGATTATCGGACTACGCACCCTCCCTCCTCTACGAAGCTTTTTGATACGTACCCGGCATTGTTGACAAGGACGTCGATACGACCCCATACGGCTAGCGAATCGCTGACCTTCTTCTTGATGTTGTCCTCGTCCTCTGTTACGTCAAGCTCAATGACATGCAGTCGACACTTGTCAGCATTGGGGTAGGTGAAGTTTTCGAGATGGCGGACAGTAGCGATGGCCCGATCTCCTCTAGCTAACACCGAGTCGATTAAATATCGCCCAAGACCCGAGGACGTTCCTGGGAACATAACGGGAATACCGTCAACGTGTGAGCCGTGCTCAGTTTTGTGGAACATGCAGGATCTTTAGTACACACCGGTGATGAACCACACCAGCTGCTGTTCCGTCATGATCGAGTATGATTGACGAGCCCGTTTAGTGCGTTAGCAGATAAGCGAAGCATACAGGATTGCCGCCGCCGACAAGACTTTGAAAATGCGCACTCGTGACATTCAACCGGAGGAATCTCGCACAATTTAGCAGTTCGCATATCCGAATTCTCGGGCGACGCTTTGAGGCCCATCGTAACGCGGGCTTTGAGCTCGCCCCTAGGGAATATGACACCGTCGAGAAGACCTGAAACGACAAGTATATTATTTATAAAAACCCAGTATCGTAAGTAATCCTAAGCGAGTCTGTGCTCCTAGACACGTTGTTAATCGCTCCATCGCTCGACCACATGGTATATAAGCGCCCACAGTATGGCCAAACATAGCAGGCCAGTATCCATTTGCGGGCAGAATGACATCACTGCTAGGAGAGGCCGCAAAGTGACGTACTGTTGGAGCGTCAGACACTCCAGTTGAAATTCCTCAAAGAGTTCATAATCCCTTCTCCGCCTGCGCTGTTCTTACAACTTTGATACCTTTCTCCATCGTCGCCACCCTCTTATACCTTGCAACCTTTCTGTAACGATAACGACTGCACTCATGGCTGGTCTTCCACCGACTATTTCTGCAGAGACCGGCACGCCCTCCCACGAGTGGGCCCAGAAGACGACCACCGCGGCGTTCGCGCGTGAAGATCCTGCGCCTGCCACGACACTTTCTGTTCCACCTGGCGTGCAAGCGCTCAGCCCGAGCACGCCCGAGGGAACAAACACTCCCAGCCGCGACATCCCCGGCGCATACCCAGAACAAACTGCCCCCCTCAACACACAGGCCATCGCCGATGCCGCGAAGACCGCTGTGGGCGCCGTCACGGCGACCGCTGCCCTTTACATCCCTGTCGCGAAGAGCGCTGCAGCACAAGCTGTCAACACCGTGTCGTCATACATGCGTAAGATGTGCATTACTGAATCGATGAGGCCAGGCACTGACCATCGTCCAGCTGGCGCATACGGCACCGTCCCGAGCACAGGTACTACTGGCGACCACACAGCCCGTGCCTCGGCCCATGACAAGACACATGTGGTCTCTCTTCCCTCTGACGAGATCAACGGCACAATGCCCAGCGACAAAGTCGGCGGCGCTGGAGCATTGCCTGGAAGTATCAACGAGGAAGCCGTGAGCCAAGCTCCCGATGAGCGCAATCAAACTTTAGGCCAGTAATTTCTTCTCTTACCTAGAGAACCCGACATTTACACTCCATACAGGGTTTCCACCCGCACCTTATCCAGCCGCTGCCCCGTCGGACGTGCCTCTTAATGCTCCTGTCATGTCGGCGGCGACCGGTGTGGTCGGTGCCACAACAGCGTTCACTCCCTTGGAGCCATCCGCCCCCTCCGCAAAGGATCGCGACCCGCACAGTGCCACCACTCTGCGTGACTCGATGCCCAGCACGGAGCCCACCGGCCAGCAGCCCTATACCCATCAAGATGGAGTAGGATCGCTTCCGGGCACTATCAGCGAGAAGAGCGTCATTAAGTTGCCCGAAGAAGCAGCCGTAGGCAGTGCTGTGGGCATGTCGCTCCCGTCGACCGAGCTCAGGGGCCAGCAGCCGTTCGAGCATCAAGATGGTGTAGGTGCGCTTCCGGGACCGAAGCGCGAACAGGGTGTTGCTCTTCTTCCGGACGAGACCGGCGGTCCTACTGGTGCAACGAATGCTACAGTGAATGCAACGGGCACACGTCCGCGTGATTACGCCGAGCCTGCAGGCGTTCCGCGCCTCGGTGAGGAGCAGGGTTATGAGAGAATTGGAGCGAGTGAAAGAAGGGTGGGGAGTGACGCTGTCGGCGGTGTTGGTTCGCCACTCGGCCCTGCAGGAGGGGAGGGCGTTTCGATGTTGCCGATTGAGCGCTCGAGGGAAACGAAGGAGCGAATGCCCACTGCGATTGCTCCCGGACAGGACACGACGCAGGGAGATAAGTTAAATGAGATGGACGGGGCAGAGCGGGCGGAAAGACCTGAGCGGAAGGAGAATGTAGTGGAAGAGATCCACACGGAGAAGGAGACCCACACGGTGAGTATTCATTTTTGGCGGTGAGGGGAGACGTGGTGTCGATGGTGCCGCTGAGAGGGATGAGCGTGCTGAGCGCGGAAATGCGGATAGCGCCGACATCGGGGAACGAGGCTCGGATGAGGTGGGGGCGCCATCGCCACCCTCGATCTCTCAATTTTTGATGTCATCTCTTCGCCGAACTTCGCTAACCTCCCATCCTCAGATTTCCGGGGGCTACGACACTGGCTATCACCCTGCCGCGATGCATCCGTTGGGGACGTACGTGGGCGACAATGCTGGTGAGCACGAGGCGAAGGGAGCTGCGACGACGGGCGACGCGATGTCGGGCGCGGAAACGAAGGGTGATGCGATGAAGGATAACAAGACTGAAGGCGGCGAGAGTGTCGGCACGCACGGGCATGAGGGCGCAGAGCATAAAACGAAGAAGGCGGGAATCATGGACAAGGTGAAGGGTGAGGCGAAGGTCCTGATCGGAAAGATAGAGGGAAAGAAGGGCGTGGAAAAGGTTAAGGAGGGTAAGATGCAGAAGGCGGGGGAGCTGCCGGAATGAGCGCCCGATGAGTACGTATTTAATAATGCGATCCCGCTCTCCTCTTCCCCGGGACTTGCTTCTTTCCTGTTTGTTATGTTTGGGTCAGCGCATATAGGCGTTGTATATCATAGTTTCTGATGTACTGTATGAGTAGTGTAAAAACATTATTATCAGACGAGCGTTGTCTGGGTCCAGCGTGGCTCGCAAGAAGTGGGTGTGCCGCAGAAGAACATTATTATCAGACGAGCGTTGTCTGGGTCCAGCGTGGCTCGCAAGAAGTGGGTGTGCCGCGGAGGTACTAGGAGGCGCAGCCTGTGTCAATCCTGGTGCGCCTTCACAGTTAGCTGCGCATATAATCAGCGGAAAAGGGCCACATGAGCGTCGAGGAGAACGACGAGGACTCGGTACGCGATAACGCCCACGTATGCGTGACAATGCGACAACTGCACGTGATCGCGTACGGCTGTCACGTAACGCGCGACCCGGGCAAACGCGTGCGTCTTGCTCGATTCCGCAAGTACGAGTCACCGTCGCGACTATTAAGGTCGTCGCACATGTATCGAGAAGGGAGCGCAATAATTGAGGCGAGGGACGGCTCAGGACGATGAGTTTCTTGGTGAGGCACTGCGAGTCGAGAAGGCGAACCCAGAGAGCGAGAGCCAAGTTGAACGCAGATGAGGGAAGTGCAGCCCGCGAGACTCCATACTATCAGGTGTGAGCTGATCGCTCATGGGCAAACGGGATGTGAGACGTGGCGGCGCGGGCGCGAGGAGCTTGCGGAGGTAATGTCGAGCTAGAACGTGTCCCGGATGACATCCGAGTCAGGCATGAGGTGTGGGGTGAGATGATAGGAGATGTGGGTGAAGAAGCAGATAGGAGACACCCTTTGTAGCAGGAGGATGGTACTTTCCCGAGGATTGATTGTCTGACGCCCAGGCTTCTGTCTGGTCCAAACACAAGTTCCAGAGACGCCTATCATCCGATAAAAGAGAGAAGCTATCGATACATGTTGGTGCAAAGCAATGCGAAGCGGAAGGAGTCGGGCTCAAGGGTGGTGGTTATAGAGACAACCAGCGGCGGTACAAATTCTCGGCGAGGGGCGTTGCGCCTGTCGTCACGTAAATAAGAGATAGGTTATATGCTGCTTCACGGGCCAATCCGTAGTCCTACATGGATCTGTCAGTTAATAGAGATGAAGCCCAGATTGGAACAGAAATCACCTCGTCATTGACGCCTGTTCGGTTCTCGGCCAACTCAAGGACTCGCTCATAGTGGCGGACAGCAAGTGAATGCAGGCCTTCGTTGGAATCAGCCATCAACCCGGGTGTTATCAAACGCAGGTACGCACCGAGCTGTTGAAACACACGTCCAAAGTTGTACTCGACTTCATCCATGCCATCGGAATCAACTCCACGGATCGCTCGGTAACGAGATAGGAAGGCCATTCCCTGTTTGTGATATCAGCAGGCATGAGGACGAGAAAGTGGGAATTGGCTGTACTTGTGTGATAAGGTGATTCCTATTATCCGCCTGACGTTGCATTGCTCGACCGAACGACGCGATCGCAGTGCACAGGCAAATCATTGGGTCGTCTGGACAGTAGTCATATGCATGCAAGAGGTAGACTGGGTGTAGGTCGGCTTGAGTGAATATCAAAATGCACAGTGAGATGGTAGCACGCACATAAGGCACTTTGATAGCTTCTGGCTGCGAGGCAGATCTGTCCATACACAGCAATACTTACCGGATTGCCTTTCGTGGGCAGCCCTGACTTATCCACAGCAGTAGGGGCACCTTCTCCGGCCACTTCGTCGATATCATCTTCGTCAACGTCCTCAGCATCGCCAGCCTTTTGGCCTCCCGTTTGGCCGTATCGACGAAGAATATGGTTCCAGCGCAGGGCGTCCTTATTCTTCAAAGCCATGTCACCGAGCTTCAGCTCCCGTAGGAGATGCTTAGTCAATGTCGACACTAGAAATGCATCGGTGGGACGGAGGCCGCTTCCGAGAGAGGCAACTAAAACACGGAGAGGCTCGTTGTTGAATTGGTAGGCATTTATGAGCTTGCGGGATTGCTCCACTGCTATTTGGTAGTTGCCTGCATGTACAGAGCAAGCTAGCAGAGGGCAAGCATTCCAGCTTCAGCAACGACTTTGAACATTGGCTTAAGGGATGTGACAGCTTACTTATCAAAGCCAGCCTAATGGCATCTTGAGCAACGCGACTTTGGTATGCATTAGAATATGTGATGTGCCGAAGAATCTCTTGGGCTTCCTCATATCGGCCTTGTTTAGTCAATTGGAACGTATACTTGTAAAGAGTCAGCCCAGCGGAGGACAATGAGCAATATAGCTTACATGCAAGAATAGTCTCAGCCATTCCTCGAAGGACACTGTGCGGAACGTCTCCACGCCGCCTGGATTTATTCCTTCGCTCTTAACCTTGTGCGCCATCATCCCGCGTCCTAATGGCGGAGGTAAAACGATCAATCTCGACATCTGATAGTCGTTGACTACAACGCACCAAGCTCCAGTTGTAGACGAGACGCCATGCTCTCCTCACTTGCTTCTGCTGTCTGCTTCCTTGATGACCGAGGAAACATTCCGCGGAAGCCTTGATGCTATGGCCAGGTATCAGCTTAGCATGCATAGACTCTGACAAAAGCTTACTCGACTGGTCAAGAAAAGAGGCCTCGTCTCCCTGAATGACTCGACAAGCTTCTCTGCCTCAACGAGCCATTCCCTTTCTGCTTCCTCTTCACCTCCTACCATCACACGTGGCCACAATTCCTTAATCCGATGGAACCCTTGCACCACCTCCCGTTCTTTCTCGGCTTCCAGCTCTCGGAGCTGTGTAAATGTGACTTTGCTGGCTGCCTTGGCTGCCTTCCCTTTAGGCTTGCTCTTCTCATCAAATAGAGAGGTCGTTGGGAGAGTTTCTCCAGCGCCTTCCGCGGCCCCCTGACGCTGGCGTCTCTTGCGAGAGTCAATGACTAACGCGCACAGTCAGCGGTGAAGAAATCCCTAAACAAATCGCGATTGACCTTGCATGACCAGATCGAAAGCCTTGCGAGTCTCGCCAGTAATCTCATAGATTTCAGCGAGTTTCATTTTGGCCTCGTTGTTGGTTGGATCAGCACTTATCACTTCAGTCGTTTTAGTCGTTTTAATCAGGTGCCATGTCATCGGTATAAAGAATGCACACGTACCGTGTTCATAGACCTCGGCTGCCTCTTTGATGTCACCCACCATCCGTCGACAAACGGCAGCTTGCATAAGAACGTATAGGCTGCTAGTCTGCACGACAAAGAAATTTAGGCCTACAGAAAAATTCATATGAGTAGCCGCTTACCCCAGCATCTCCACCGAGAATCTCATATATGCGTCCTGCCTCCGCATACAATTCCCGCTCGAAATATGCGTCTGCTATCTCTCCAAAGAGCGGCGCATATTCGGTGACGTCTTGTGAAAGTACAATATTAGCATGGATCTGCCAAACGCAAACTAAGTATGATGCTGGAGGAGCCCCACAAGAGTATGACACACCTTTCCTTCCTCAATATCGCCCATTTTGATCCTGGACACCGCCAGTCGGTGTCTTGCATTCACATCGAGCGGATACATGCCGGGCTGCAGAGCGCCTTCGGTGCCTCTCAGGCCTTCAATAACATCGTACTCCCGATCATCCTCACAGACATCCCAAAACCGCTGCTGCGAGCGTCCCTGAAGCCATCTACACCCGTTTCTAATCGTCTCGATGGCCTTCTCGTACTGGCCAAGTGTGTTATAGAGGTCGGCGAGGACCAGCAGCTGCATAAGTCCGAATCCGCCTCCAGGCACTTCTTTCTCCGCCCTGTGGTCGTACCCAAGGCCGGTCGGGAACGCAGACTGATAGTGCGCAAAGCAGGCTTCGAAGAGCGATGCACATCGTTCGAGGTCGGACAGTTCGATCAGGATCGGTCGGATCTCGTCAAGGACTGTGAGATCGTGAGGATACCGCTTCAGTATCATCAAAAAGGTATCGCGGGCCTATCTCATAATATGAGTGACTAAGACGGGGGATATAATAGCTTTTGCTCACAATTTTCAGTTCCCCGACTTCCTTGGCAAGCATTGCGCGGTCCCACAGCACATCGACCGCCGTGGCATCAAGACGATACGCCTTACCGTAGCAATACAGTGCCTGCTGGTTGAGCCCCAGTTCCCTGCGTCGATGTCAGGTCTATGTTCCTCATGATAAGGTGAACGACATACAAGGATCGCTTGGCGAGCTGCCTCCATACTTCCTCATCGTGATCCAAATGCGCAGCCATGATACGCAATTGCAGTTCTTTCTGCGGCTCGTTCATGTCGGCATAACACTGAGCGAGCACAGACCATGCGGATACGGCGTGGGGCTCGATGCGGATGACTTCCTGCATGATGCGGATCGTCTCCGGGATGTCGTTATCGACGTACGCTTGGTTGCCCTCGCCGATCAGTATCCGGACTTGCGGCGAGAGTACCGGACCTGAGCGGCGCGCGCGCTGCAGGCTCAGTTCATATGAGAATTAAGGCTATCAAGAGGCCATAAACTGACCTTTTTAACCTTCCTTCGACCGACTCCTGACGCTTCGCGCAGGTCATCCCGAAACTCGGCCTCTTTCTCTTCGAGATTGACGTTCCACATTCTTGAGAGAATACCGGTACTCGAGCCTCCATCTGCCCCGCGTATGCTCTGAACAAGCCGACTTCGAGGAATATTGACTTAGCTGTCATCGCCGGAACAAACAATAAACCGGGTACGTACTCGAAGTCTCCTTCAATCTCCACTTCCGCATTGAGGCCTCCATTATCAGCAACCGCTCCTTCCGCTTCCGCGTCTTCTTCTTCTTCTTCCTCCTCCTCCTCTTCTGATTGTTGAGACTCAGACTGTTCCGATGCCGTAACCTTGGAATCGTCGCTCTCCCATTCGAGATCCGAGCTTTTGGACTCCTCGCTCACGTCGTCCTCTGCCTCAATCGGCGACAAGGGCCAGTGCGTAAGGGCATCCGACATGTTTCAAGCTCAAGTTCACTGCAGCCAGTAAAATAGTGGAGGGACAGCGGAGCGTGGAATGTCCAGCAGCGTGTTGCTGCGCTGCAACTGGAGAAAGCGAAAGACCAGGAGGGAGGCCATCGCGATCACGTGAAATGATTTACACGCTCGAGCGCCCAAGGGAGGACGCGTTGAGTATGCGCGCGATCAAACACCAAACACTCTCTTTTTTTTGTAACATCTTTCAACAAATCAGCGAGCTCAAGTCGCATCTCCAGCTCTTCATCTATCACTTTTGAAAGGAATGCTCTAGGACCTGCATGTTCCAGCATCTATAAGCAGAACATGGACCCAGTCGACGATCGACGATATCGACCGCGTTGCTCTTTCAATCGATTGTGTGGGCAATTCGCTTCGCGGGTTGAGTAAATTCTAGGTTTCGTATCGATTTATATTCAGCACATCAATATGCTTACGCTATGCTGCCGCGAGTATGCCTAGCTTCTGCAGAGTTTGTCGGCTGCTTCTAGTTTTCTCCTCCATCCAAGAACCGCTTCCCGCGTAGCAGCTTCCTCGTGCGTTGCACTAATACCTTGACCCTTACTGTCTATTCATGGATTGAGGCGAAACTCACTAAAATTTGCCACCTTTGTGGTGCCTGACGGTATGTTTGTTTCATTGCGATCTGCATAATCCTCTTCCGGTTACAGCGAAGAACTAAAATATAGTCAGGGGCCTATTACGAGCTAAGGGATTTGCTACAGTACGTTTCCGAATAGCGAGCTGCACGCCAGCGTTTAGACGGCTCATTATTGCATTGTTATGATACCGGGTTCCAATCCCGACTGAACGGATTTGTCCCTAAGAGCATGTGGCATATGGTACCGGCGGCATCGTAAAAATGGACCGAGCGTACGGGAAGGCGGATAATTACCACAATTACAGCGCGGCGACCTGTGTCAAATGGAACGTTGACCCTTACCGGCACCTCGCGGATTTACTTCTGGTCCAGTCAGGAATGAAACTTGAAACTGGTTGTACCGTAGACCAGCCATTTCTACCGCAGTGACTCAGACAATTATCGAGACATCCAGCGGTATGTGGGTTAGCTGCTGATGTTATTGGTATGATATGCACTGAACAGTGCTAGTGAGGTACCTAGAACCAGGGAACCCCGCAATATCCATCTCGTCGCAGCCTCGTACCGGGGGCAGGGTGACTGAACTAGGAGTTTCCGGGCGAGCGGCGCAACCTGTACGTCCGGCGATCAAGCCTCCTGCATTCTCGATCAAGCCATCGAGGCCGTTTGGAGCCCCGCGTTCGGGGTATCAAATTCCGGCTGCGTGGCCGGCGGAATCAAATGCTTTCGGTGCTTCCGGGCATCTCCGTACTCAGCCAGAACATTGAATATTGAAGGCTGATGGTGGTCGATTGATGAGACCGTGAGTAAGTACTTCGTCGAGCAGAATATACAACTTGATAGATCAATATGGACAGCAAGGCTGCCCACCGAGTAGCGGGGCTTGGAGGATAGGGAATGACTCCGACTTTTCAATAATGGTCCACATAGCGTGGCATTGGCGAGCAGCGATGACCACTGTTGCTAGCATATCTAGAAATATTACCACATAAGCACTGCACTGCTCGTTAATTAACGCTGAGAGGAGAACTCCCCTAATTTCCAAGAACGCAAAGTTGAGAGCGAGATCTATCACACACTGCACATGATCATCTAAGATTTAGATCTCCAGACTGCGGCCAGCAGATCTCAAGATCTTGCAACAAGGTCACAAAATAATTGATGGCAAGCCAGTCACAGCATTACCTGCATTAACGGAGATAATGAAACATTACAATACCCACGACTTAGCAAAGGCAGGTACAGTATGCTTACCAAGGTCTGTATCAATATTGTGTATTACAAGCAGTGCTTTCATTCGCGTTAACCGGGCAATGCCCTCTTCGAAGTGGCACTATAGTCTCTGTGGTCAAAAACGCCAGATTCTAATAAATCCCGGGCACTGTGCCAAAGCGTTCCAGCTTAGCATGCATCACATCTACGCAGCGAATTGTGGACAACATGAAGTTGGACGCACTGCAGCGGCACACTAAAAGGTCATGTGATCGAGAGTATATGAGCTTCGCCGTTGCCCCGCATTCACACACCTGAGCTCTCCTCGTCGCACATCTCAACTTTACCGTCGACACCGCCGACACCGCCGTAACCAACGTGGTGGACGCCGGGGCACTTTGTGCGCTGCCCCCGGTCGGACACTTCCGATCAGCTTCCGCACGGCATTGTCACGGCACGTATGCCAATGTTGTGTTTCTATCCGCACCGCCCACCTCCAATAAATACTTGGAATTTCGCATCCTCCGTGTTCTTCGCACTTTCTGGATCGTCCAATCTTGCAGAGTCGCGGCCCATCGACACGTCTGCAACCTGTTCCAATGAACACTAACGCAAAGTCTGCTGCCGCGACGGAGTCTCCTCTATCCCCGACAAAGTCTTCTGAGCTGACCCACGCGCTTATCTCTCCTCTCACACCAGAGGTGACTCCAACACCAGCGACCGCTCCTCTCCCTTCCGTCGACATCTTCGAATCCGATCTGCCACCGCAGTCTGTGTGGGCTCGACGCATCGCGTACAATCGGTCTCGTGGGCTCTCTGTTTCCACGATACGCGCTACTCCCGATGGGAGTCAACCCGTGAACCGTATAACATCAAACCCTCTCCCTCAGAAAGCGTTTCCTTCGTTCTCTTCCTTGACCCTTGTGGATAGCTATGACCAGCCACCGCAATCACGCGGCGTTTCATCGAAGGGGCGTTCTGACAGTCCTCGACGCGGCGATTGGGGCCTCACATGGAGGATTACTCAAGGAAGATCCCAAACACCTCCTCATGAGCCCCCAACATCGTGGTGGAACGCTCGCGAGCCTATCTCACGCCCTTGGGAAGACAAGCGGCACAAGTCAGTACCATCTGAACAGACTGAGGGATGGCTGCGGACGCGTCAGGTGTATATCACTCTCTCTTGTATATTCTACTCAGTTAATCTCCATTTATTTGAACAGCGCGTCGCAGCAGCGGCTGTGAACGTTCTGGGCACTGCGGGGGAAGCGACCCATGAAGTACTAGTTGTTAGCGTAGAATTGTTGGAATTCGCTCCTCTTCCTGGTCTCCAGGCTGCTGCACGATCCCTACTCGAAATTTGGGATGCATTGCAAATGGTCGAGGTAAGTCATTCCAGATTAGGTATGGCGGAACGCTGATGCGGTATAGATCAACCGCTCAGCGTGCCTGCGTCTGACTGAGCGATGCGCAACAATCCTCTTCTCTGTGCGAGAAGATATCGCTGAGGCTGGGGATCAAGTGGGTCAGGAGTTACTGCATCCCATAGAGCGCTTGGTCGAGTACGTTCCCGCCTTTCATTTCTTAACGCAGACCAGCTAACTGCGCCGAAGTGCCTTCTCGGAGGTTCATCGGCTGTTACAGAAGCAGAACCACAGACCGTTTATCAAGCGCTATCTAAACCGCGAGAAGATTCAGAGGCACATCGAGCGTTGTGACCGAGAACTTAACGATGCGCTCAGGATGTTCAATGTATGCACTTGTCCATTAAGAGATATTCCGACACCATCTAATCTTGTGGAACTAGCTCTCAATTCAGGTTCGCATCCTGAAACAGGTCTTGAAGGTTGAGGAACAGCAGCGCACAGACCACATGGCCCTCCTCGAGAGACTTGCAGCTGGCCAGCTATCCCCGCAGCCGATCACTCTTTCAGCATCTCCGGCCAACGCGCTCGAGCTCTCCGGCGCAGGCGAAGCCCCAATCAAGTCCATCGATCAACTTCTGCTTGCTACCCCCGAGCAGATCCGTGCTACGTTGCAGCAGGTCATGGCGCAGCAGAACGAGCAGGATCTCGCGAGCGACATCGCCGATATGCGGCAGCTCATGCGAAGCGCGTTGCAGGAGAACAACGACGTCGAGATGATCAGGGTGCTCCAAGTCGGACGTGACGAGATGCCAGAGGCGATCAAGGCTCTGCAGAGAGCACTAGAGGCCGAGACGAACCGCGAGATGATAGCGTCCGAGCTCGAGGATACGGTGATGGTCGCGTCCATCAGTTCTGCTGCGGCAGGCGTCGGCGCGAACCTCACGCGGTCAATGACGGTCGCGAGCGTAGAGAGTAAGCGGACTGCCAGCGATCGCAGCAATGGCTCGTACAGGATGCCGCGTGATACTCTTGACAGGGAATTCATGGAGAGCGGGATCGATGCACTCAGGCGCATCAGCATGGCGGACACTTCGTTGCCGAGCTGGGTCATCACGCTCTATGAGGTCGACAGGGACGAGAAGATTGGGATCGGGTTTTTCTCTGATGTCTACAAGGGCACTTGGAAGGAGCACACTGTAGCCATCAAAGTGCTCGCTGAAACTACCCCTCGCAAGCTGTTCATCCAGGAGGTATGCTCATCCCCTCCTGTTCCTCATCCGAACACATTCTGATGTGATTATCTCTAAGGTCAACATCTGGAAGCAGCTTAAACACCCACATGTTTTAGAGCTTCTCGGAGCATCGTCGACGACCGCCGATCCTCCATGGTTCTTCGTCAGCCCCTACATGAAGAACGGAAGTCTGGTGTCCTACCTCAAGGGATTGCCGAGTCTGGATGCTGTGGACGTTCTCAAGATGACACAGGAGATTGCAAAGGGCATGAGCTACCTGCATGGACAGGGCGTCTTGCATGGTGATCTGAAGGTACATATCTAATTATCCATCGATGCTACAATGCTAATGTACTGCAGGGATCGAACGTCCTTGTGAATGATCGTGGCCACTGCGTTATCACCGACTTCGGTCAAAGTGAGATCAAATCCGAGGTTTATCGGATTAGTGGGACGGCTCCTCCTCGTACGAACGTTTTATCTCTCGGAGCGCTCCGGTGACTGAACCTTTCTGGCAGATGGTACTCTTCGCTGGCAGGCGCCCGAGCTAATGGCTGGTCAGGGTCTGTTGACCCAACAGATTGACGTGTATGCCTTTGGCATGTGCTGCATCGAGATCCTCACGAAAGGTGGACTGCCATGGCCACTGGCCGATGACGAGGCTGTTCGTCACTTTGTACTCAGTAAGCTCATCTCTTCATCACCATTCGCTTCTACTAACGGACTACGTGGACTAGGGGAGAACAAGAGGCCCGAGACCCCCGCGCTCCAGCGAGCATGGCTCCCGTTCCTCGTCGAAATCGTCCACAGTGCTTGGCATTGGGATCCGCAGCAACGGCCTTCATTCACAAAGATCGTCCGCGACATTCAAAAGTTGCGCGAGCGGTATTCTCCCGATATCAAGAGCTCTCCTTCTCCTCACTATTTGCCAATGTTGCTGTCTGAAGAGCAGGAAAGAAAGTCGCCGGACATGCGCCCGGTACCGCTTCCTCCGCTGCCTCGTAAGTCATATTGCCGCCTTGCAGAGCTGGTGACTGATCGCGCTTTCGTACCAGCGGATACTACTGCCACTTTCATCGAGGAGAACTCGTTTTCTCCCGATGCGTCTTTCCACACTCCCAATAACTCTTCATTTCATGTCATGGATTCTCCACCTCGTGCCTTTGATTTTCCATCTGATGGTCTCGATTTCAATGAGCGGGACTGCGAAACGCGATATGATGACTTGCCTTCGCCGCCAATCCTTACTCGCTCATCGTCTATCAGCAGTCCTGACTCTCGCTCAGAGTTTGGGGTTATGCTGGATCCTCCTGGATACTTGTCTCCACCGCCAATCGACGAGACGCTAGCGGAAATCGTCAATGAGAGGCGATACAGAATGCTGTTGCAGCATGAGTATCATCCATCCCGTGAGTATCCTGATATACGTTGTCATTCGATGTCTGACAGTTTCGCCAGTTACGCTACCCTTGTGGACCCCGATTCACGTTCCGTTGGGTGCGGTGGGATACCTATCGAGACCCTCGGGTACATTCATTCCGCTATTCGATGCTTTCAAGCCACTGGAGTCATCGGACACTGCTACCGGCGCCATGGCGTCACTTCAGGGTTATGGAAACATCCCGATGGGTTCTTCTCGGAACGACAAGCGTGGCGTCGCTCGACGTGGGATGGACATGCTGCATGCGTGGCTGGCAGCGAAGAGTGGCTCGTCATCAGCCATTGCCCGTCAATATTCGACGCCGTTGCGAGCGGGTCATAAGACTGCCCATCTATTCACGGAGGCCACGGTGTATAATTACATGAAAGACCTTGTGGCGGCGAAGAGGTGGTTCAAGGCGAACATCGATTGCATTCTAAAGCTCTACGGTCCCGAGCACCATCTGTCGCGGGAAGATGTGATTTTGGGTATGCAGTTACCTTTCTTCGACCTTGTATATCGCTGATGCATACTCGATACAGTGATCGGCACGCTCGATGCACAAGATTATGGCCTGTTCGTCAGCCACAGCCACCCAGATGGGCAACTGCACTTCAATGTATATTCTTCGCCCAAAGTTGGCCAAACCTGGGGCCACTTCTCCACGACGACCGACCCGTCGTCATCGCTGGCCGCAGGGCCTGTGTATGCGGATGAGCCTCTGGAGAGCGAACGCAGCGCCAAGAAGGTCTCGTCGGTCGGACATGGTGGTCCTTGGGACACTGTATTGCTGGCGAGGTTGCGGTTCAAGACCGATAGCGCAGAGCCGACGTCGCAGTGACCGCACAGCTATTTGTTTCTGTTTTTACCCTTCACTCCATCGGATATCATACCCACCGCCCTGCGTAGAACATTCCCTGTCGTTGCTGGGCAACATTCTCACGCATACCTACATGTCACATTAAATACCATTGCGCTCTGCATTCGGCTACACCTAACTTATGCAATAGCTATGGACGAACGGAATGTGGAACACTTCTTCGCTTGTAGCAGTAGAATTTATCAATACCAATACATCAATGTAGTTGTGTGTAGGAAATTCTGGCGGACAAGAAATGTACATGAGGCAAAGACAGCTCGATGCACCTGAGCGGAATAAGCCCTGGCAAAAGGTATGGCTCCGGCCCATCTGCCAGTCCTTGAAGCTTGAAGTAGTGCGCCATCGTCTAACCCAGGTGCGTCACGGCTGCCTCGCTAAGCCCATACAAGAAGCTGAACAAATTCGAACTCTTCCGCAGCGGCGATGCAAGGCTCGAGATCGTGACGACCTGACTTTGTGATGCCCGGCGTTATGATACGCTCGTTGCCTTGCGCAGGAGCTCGAGGAACGCCTCGGCACAGAACTGCACGCCGGCGACATTCATCTTGAACGTTTTTGCGAACGTCTCATCCATCTTGTAGTCCAATAGGAGCTTTCGATACTCTGTGATGCTCGCCTTGCCGAGCTTCGGGAGCTTTGTCTATTTGGCTTATCATCACGCCTGCGGTGTTCATGAGTAGCTTAATGTAGCCGTGACGGCATCTGCGATGGCACGCAGAGAGTCGCGGTCTGTGGCATTCCCCTGGATTGGGATCGTGTTTCGACGGTGTTCCGTGAATGAGTGATCGAGTGTTGTGCAATTTGGTGATGCGCGACTCATGTTTCGAGGAATAGCCTCAACCTGTTGAAACGCTAAACCTGTTGAAACGTACGGGTAACGGAACGACCACAGGCTTCGGAGGACTCGTTCGGAAAGGATAAGTGATCGATCGAGATAAATAAGAACAGATAGATGGGACAAAATCGGGTTACATTATCACCTGGGAGAAACCTTGCACGTCGCAAAGTATACTACGGTACAGTGGAACACCCCATACACATTGCCTGATTCCTGGGTGCTTTCACAAGTATAGGGTAATGTACTAGTACTGCGCCAAAGTCCAAATGCAGAATGATTGATTTCTGTATTTTGAGATGTCTTCGATGTTCGAAATGCGGTGGGACACGAAGGCATCCCCGGGAGATGCTTGTGGATGTTTGTTATAGGCACATGACAGGGATCACACATACTCCCACAAGCGCTCCGTAGCCCCTAACGTATTCATGGCGCCACCGCTTGACTTGGCCAAGTTTTTCATATGACTCGCTGAGGTGGATACCGAGAATCGAGGCAAACAGGCGATGGCCACTGAAATGACATCGCTGATGGCAGGCCCTCCTCCAGTCAGGTGAGGTCTACGAATTTTAGCACTCACGCTAACCGGCCACGGGCCACCATTCCTCCATACCAACGTGTCGGACTACTTCTGATCTCTTCGTTACAGGTACTTGATATCGTGCATGCATTGTGACAGAGCTTATCAACGATACCCAACGCGGAAGCATTCTGGCCGGTCTGTCGGCGCCCTGCAATTGAGAATTGAGCGTAAATTTCGAAGACGTCGGGCGTCTGTTGACGCCACTGACCCTATGCCAGCGCCACCAAGGGTATATATCGGTATGAAGGGGCCCGTCCCTCCGCATCTTCTGCGGGTATGGCGCTTCCAATGCTCTATCTGAATTTGCTGTTCGCCGGAGCGCTCTTCCTTGCATATTGGTCCCTCTCTCGGAGAAAGGGGTCACGGCTACCGCCAGGGCCGAGGGGTGTTCCACTGTTGGGAAATGTGCTACAGCTTCCTCCCGACGATCAGCACAAGACGTTCGCAAAGTGGAGGACTCACTATGGTGCGCGCCTGCAAACTCGTTGTGCATTCGCGAAGACTTCCAACTCTGGTTGCAGGAGACAATATTTTCATTCGGTTCTTCGGCAAGCCTGCGCTCGTCTTGAACTCGCTCGAGGGAGCAAATGAGTTGATGGAAAAAAGGGGCGCGAAATATTCTAACCGGCCACGTTTCGTGTTCCTGCAAGAATTGTGAGTACATCTGAAGAGTATAAGCCCAAGCCTTTTCTGAGACGTCCCTGTTGAAATTAGAGTCGGAGCGGATCCTGTCTTGCCTTTGCTTCCATATAATGAGCAATGGCGCCGCCACCGGAAGTGGTTCCAATGGGTGCTGCAAGACAAGGACATGCTGCAAAGTTACCGACCGATACAGATGAGGGAAGCGCATCGGCTCCTGGAACAACTCATCAAACGACCCGATGACTTCGTAATGCATCTCAAGAGGTACGTTATGGCTGAACCCGCCGTCGCACGATCGTCCGTGAGATCAGATGTGCTCCGATAGATTCGTCGGCGCATTGTCCATGGAGATTTCTTATGGACATACCGCACGGTCATTGCAAGATGATGAATTCATCGAGCTTGCCGACCGCGCTGTGACCGACGCTGTTGACGGAGGTGGTCCGGCTGCGACGCTGGTGGACTTCTTCCCTTTCTGTGAGCACACCGTATCGTTTGAAGATCGACATTCAGGGGGCGACTCACTTCGTCCCACCGACGATACTGTTATTACAGTGCGGCGGGTTCCCATATTCAGGAACAAGGCCCTTCAGATGAGAAGACTGATGAGAGACACAATCGAGATTCCATATAACGCAGTGAAGGAAGAGCTGGTGAGAGCATTCACAGGAGACGATAAGCAGTCCTGACGGAGACTGCACAGGCCCAAGGAACTGCGAAACAGTGCTTTGCAACGGCTCTCTTGGAAGAGGAGTCAAATGGAAAGACTCTGACAGCAGAGGATGAGTACAATATCATGGGTGCTGCAGGAGCATTTTATATAGGTACCCGTGGCACTCACTTGATGGTGCTCTATATCCGGATTGACCGACATTGTCACAGCTGCGGCGGGCACGGTGCGATTTAAGTGGGAGGCGGTTCTCACCAGATCTGACCAGATCACAGACTGGAACGGTGCTCACGACATTTGTTCTCGCCATGGTACTCCACCCAGAGGTTCGCAGGAAGGCACAGGCCGAGATCGACCGAGTCATTGGCGCCACACGATTACCAGAGCTCGAGGATAGAAAGTCGCTGCCATACGTCGAATGCGTGCTAAGCGAAGTGTATCGGTGCGTTCCTCGCCTAAGGGTAATAGATATGTTGACGATCTCTTTTCTATGGATTAGCTGGAATCCTCCCGCCCCGCTCGGTATGTTCTTCCATATGGTCTTCGATCCCGAACAAATCTCATACCTTGCGACAAGGGTTGCCACATGAGCTTACTGAAGATGATGAATATCAGGGCTACAGCATTTCTGCAGGAACGATGATAATCCCGAACATCTGGTCCGTATCCACGGTCGCATACCAGCGTGTACGCGTATTTGACGTTTGCAGGTGCATGACACGAGATGAAAGTGTGTATCCGGATCCAGAAGCATTCCGCCCAGAACGCTTTGAGAAGATGGATGCCAGCGAGTACGATTCCCGAGATCCTCGCAGGATAGTGTTTGGATTCGGTCGTCGGTAAGTTCTGGGATCCATTCAGCTGTAGGAGGACAACTGAGATAGCCTCGTGCTAGGTTGTGTCCGGCGCGTCAGTTCGCCGATTCCAATGTGTGGCTAGCGATCGCAAGCATGCTGGCGGCTTTTGATTTCGACAGGGCCCACGATGCGAATGGATGGGAGATTACTCCCCAAGCTTCGTTTGCTTCTGGGGGAATCAGGTACGCTCTGCGAGTTATTCGGAATAGGGCATCACAGGTGACCGTAGCGAAGTTATCCGAAGCCGTTCCGTTGTGAGATCCAACCGCGATCGCAGAAGGTGGTGAACCTCGTTGCGCAAATGAACGTCGGCGGCATGGACCTATAGTACATCCCTGCCTGCCTTCTAATATAGTCGAATGTATGCTGTACGCTAAACGTTCTCGATGACATGACACTGTTGGACTCAAAGTTATACTATCAACGACTCTGCTGCGCACCTATTCGGTTTCTTGCGTCTTGCCCATGTTAAATCTCGCATATAATCATGTAGGGCTTCTCTCTCCCTGCCATTCTGTATCGCATGTTCGGGATAAATTGGACTGCAGCCTGACGGCCCAAGAGTTTTGACTTTCATTCTCAATTGCAACCAAGTGAGCCGGGAATCGGATACTTCGTCCCCTCTCGCTGGCCTGTTGACACCAAAAAAAAACCTGAATGAAGATACAAAGACACGGAATTCCATTTCAGCACCGGCATGTACAACAATAAAACACAGAGCGACGAGCGACCACTAACCAAGAGGTTGATCATCGAACATTATCGTTCTTGGAACCAGCCGAGCGGGGATTCCTCGAATTTGCTATCCGAAGAACCTTCGTTCCTCCCAGAACTTTGCCGCATAAGGACTCGCACCGAAGGACATGAATCACGATCGATCGATGCCTTTCCTTCTTTTCTACATTTGTTGAGGTAGATCAGTGCAGCCATTCATGAATCTGGAGGAATTCAACGTAGCAAATTTCGATGAAGTTTGGGAAGAGATGAAACTGGTCTGCTGTCACTCGAACTAAGCAGCTGGCGACCCACCTCATATAATATAAGAACGAAACCTCTAATTTGCGCACGCAATATCCCTGACATTCGGTCAATTCGGCGCCGATTTCGGCCCTCCTCGTAAGGCTGTTGACTGAAGCAAGCAAGTGACCTTGGCGACAAACAAAGTGTGGATTAAATACTGGGGGGCTGGCCACTCACAGGAAAAACACGTGCCATCCGCCGACTGGAACCCCAATGCATTTGGCATGCTCGCCCGCCACAGACTCCACGCGATTGTCTCCTGCCATAGCCTCGCATTGTGCACGTCGCGGACCGGATTCAACTGTTCTGTTGAAAACGCGTAGAATAAGGGTGGAATCCTGCAGAATTGTCACACTGCTTTGGTGCGTTCGTCCGAGCTCCTGGAATCAGTCAAGATTCACTTACAACTGTACTGTCTCCAGTTCATATATCGAAGTCTAGCTTGACGCGTCGAACATGGAACTCGCCCCTTACATCCGTAGCCTCTCCGACACCATCTTCACTTCCCGGGTAACTGCCATCGGTGTCCGCTTGCTCAAGTATGTGCTTGTGGCCATCATACTCGCCAATGCTCGGTCATGGCCTTTCATGTGGCACAGTGAGTGTGGGTTCTATCGTAAGTGAACGGTCGATGCACTGAACACCGTCTCGACAGTCCGAGTATTCCATCCTGTCACTATGATCCGGCTACGCTTCCAGCTGCTCAGGCTAAGCCTGATCTTCAAGCCACGCAAAGTTAGACAAGAAATCAAAGCCAATTGGTTGCATGACTTGTCGCCTGTGGGCAAGCACCCGCTGGAGCTCACGGATTCGTATAAGACCTGGGCCAGTAAGTCCGACGCTCCGGGTTCTGGGTTTCGCCTGCTAATGAGCGACCGATCACTCGTCATCGTTTCACAGGTCTCGACGATTGCGATTTCAACTTGCATTTGAGCAACTCTTGCTACGCCAAGGTATGCTCGCCACAATGAAAGCCAAAGACGGTGGGACACAGCCGAATCGCTGATCTCGCACTGGTAGATCATGGATGCCGCGCGTTTCCAAGCCGCCCTGAAATGTTTCCCGACTTTCTTCCGCGCTGGTGGTTGGATGGCTCTAGCTGGTAAGCATCGCCTTTCACTACCCTACCAATACACGAGCACTGATGTGTACACTGGAGGAACCCACTACAACTTCCTTCGCGAAATCCCGATGCTCTCTCCGTACGAGGTGCGCGTGACCATGGGAGCTTGGGACCAGAAATGGGTGAGCGTTCTTCATTCGCGCTGTCCGTTCTTCCAGCACTGACGTCTCTCCTCAAGGTGTACATCATCGTACGATACGTCTCGCACCCCAAGAAGAAGGCCAAGACTGCCGCCTCCAAGGGCGAGGCTGAGCAATCCAAAGCCACGCCTTCCCCACCCTCCACCGACACCAAGTCCCTGCCAACTCCCCCAGAGAACAACATCCTCGCAGGCTTCGCTCCCTACCCGATCCTGCACACGCCCTCCGTCCCGGAAGCCTCAGACTCGCGCGCCACCACCGAAGCCGCGCCCACGCCCGCGAACCCCGTGGGCGTCCCCACAAAGGAAGACGGCTCGCAGGGACAGGCGGACGCGCTCTCCGCCGCGCTCAAGAAACAGATGCAGCACCACACCGAGCCGGACGGCGCGACGCTGCACTGCATCGCCGTGTCCACCTTGTGCTTCAAGATCGGGCGGATCACCGTCCCGCCCGCGCTCGCGCTCGCGAGCGAGGGATTCTGCTCGCCCGACCTCGAGGGCGAGCCGAAGACGTACTCGCTGGAGAGCCCGCCGCCGTTTTGGAAGCATGTGGAGGAGCTGCGCGGGCCTGGGCTGAGTTTGGGGAGGTTGCGCAGGTTTTTGACGGGTGGGTGGCGGGAGGTGCCCGAGGGCGAGCGGTGGTGGGAGGAGGCGTTGAAGGGAGAGGTGGAGCGCAGGCGGGTGGCGGCGTTGGAGGTTCTTGGGAGCTTGAGGACTGCGATGGATGGCGCTCAGAAGCTTTGAGCGATGTGTTTAGATGGTGGGGCTGGTGAGGTGTTTAGAAACGTTGATAGTAGAGTGTGTGGGAAGTCATAGATTAATGTATTCCCTATGTATTCGAAGGCGCCGGCTGTTAGACGACTAATAAGTAACAGGTGTTCAGACTACTCTTGACCCGGTGCGCATGGCTCGCAATTGATCTCCGCATACAGCAGGTGCTGTGTTCAAGCTTCGCTGTCTTTAGATCCAGGAACGGAGGCGAACAGTACTAAATCAGCAGAGAGGCCACAGTTTCGTTGCATGACCCCGACCAGAAACAAACGCATTCCGTATCAAACACCTTCGAATGCACTCTAGCAAATACAGTGCGGCGGCTACAATAAGAATAAAGACACGAATAAGCAGAAGTTTCTGGAAAGGCTGCTAAGCCAAAACCTGTCCGACTTTAATCACCGACTTTAATCACCAGTTGATTCTTGCTCCTTAGCTCGGCAGGGAAGTAGGCCTTGGCTCCTTCAACACCTTACATGCGCATACACGCGTGGGGTACGTTCTTCCTGCGGATCTGACACACAAAGTCTCGCTTGCGATTGTACACCATCAAGTCGCCGTTTTGCATATTGTCCGGGATAATCACGGTGAAGCCCAACGAGTATGGCACCTGGAGCTGAACAGATGACCATCACCTTCGACTCGTCTGCATTCAAGCGGGGCACAATTGGGCTGTGTGGGTGGTTCTTTGGCATTGGGCCAATCTTGACTCACAAAGCATGGAGAGTAGGATGTACGGTCCGATACAAGCTGGAGATGTCAAGCTGCTTGGCTCTTGAAGGCGCAGGGAAAACCTTTCACATAATAATGGAGTTACACTAGCACTTGCAGCCACACACCTGCACTGCGACCATGAATATAATCTTCCGAAAGATCGACATTGACCATCACGACGGGGATGACCCTCTAGAGAGTGAGCTTTACGGACCAGACCCCCGAGATCCGGCGCAGGTTGTGAATGACGCGAAGCAGAAGGCAGCGCAAATCAATGCCGTCCGGTGGAGCATAGTAGCTTCGCAATATCGCGTAGTCGTGTTCGCGTATCGGTGGGATAAATTTGAGTTTGGATCTTGGAAGTGATCTCAATTCATACTGATCAGTTCCACGCATCTCAGAATGGTGCATTCACTAGGATTCCAATTTCGTAAGCAGATCGCATCTAATGCACGAACAGATAGCAGAGATGAATGGTGTGAACAGAGAACGAATCACGCCTTATGGTATGTCACAAGAAGGGAAGGCAGCATGAATGTCCTCGACCAGGTACGATGAGGACTGAAGACTTGCATGGCGTGGAAATACTAAGCAATGAATCCTATCATTCATTAATGTGCCTCGTTCTCCAGCGTCAAGTAACGGCAAGTAGGAAGATGCTCACATTTACCATCGTCCTTAACTTCGGATTCTCTGGACTGCCGAGAGCGTCGCGATGCTTGGCGTGCTTTCAGCAGGGGCACGACTGTATCCCAGCCGTAAGCGTCGTGGACGGAACCCGAGAAACTATGAACCGTCTCATCCGCCTTGATGTTCGGGAATACAGCATCGAGGAAGCGTGCCACAACACCGGGCTTTTGCATGCGAAATTCAGGCTGCCCGATGATCAGACGCCGTAGTCCGTGCGAGGTATGCCTGAATTTTCGTTTTGTCGAGAAATTCGCAAAGTGTATCGCAGGGAGCCGTAGATATTCGAGGCGTGGACAGCGTCGAGCAAATTCCATAAGTGTCTCAATGGACGGGACGATTTCATGCATGCGACCGGTGAGAATGATGGTGAACGTTTTGAGTCCTGGAAACGCTTTGGCGATCTCGCGCATATCCTTGTCCGATAACGGAAGGCTGCATCCGTGGAATGTGAAGGATATATCTTCAAGGGTACGCAAGGAAAATAACGGCTGAATAACATGCCCGAAAGGGTCGAGGGACGCCACTGAGTCAGCGTCGAACATGACGTTTGTGATGATTACTCGTAAGGATGAGCCGAATTTTGTGCAGACGGTTGTCAAGAGTAGAAGGTAGGCTGCGAGATCCTCCTTGCCGTAATGAAGTTTATAGGAGAAAGACTCCACGTGTCGAGAAGATATGGTATCTATGAGGCGATTCACGTCTCTGACGCCGCCACGAAGCGCTACTTCTCGCAATGCAAAGAAGCCTTCCTCACCCTCAGGAAGGTCCTCCACCAATTTGAAGTTGCCTTCGATAGCTTCAAGGGCCGACAAAGAGGATAAAGCTCTCCACAGGGTATCATCCCCGCCGACATTATATTCATAATCGAAGTTCAATGAGCGCAGTTGAGTGCACTTGATGATTGGCATCAATTCGAAAGATGGTGGAACATTAAGCAGCGTTACTTCTTCCAATCCAGGAACGGCGGCGACAATGAACCGCCACAACATTCTGATTGTTGCTGTTTCGCCAAATGCGTCGTCCACGAAGTCCATTAAGTCAATGGTGAGGGTGCGTAAGGAGGGTGGGACTAGAGCCAAAATTAAGGTGCTGGCGCTGATTGAGGTGATTCGCCAGTCGAGACATTTCAGCCTAGGTAAGATGAATCGACCTCCGTTATGGTAGTACAACAGAGAGAGAACAGCGGGCAGAGTCGAGCTTTCGCTGTTGAGCTCCAGTACACGCACGCGTTCCGCGTATTGCTGGAGGTGAGCCCATTCCTGTGCTGTGGGTATGTCCTCTAAGTACTGATGGAATGATTTCTCTTAGTATGTGAGGGATGGACTATCAAAAGACACACACGTAAATAAGTTCACCGTCATCCGCGTCGGTATCAGTATCCTCTTCGTCGTCCGAAAAATCGATCGATTCATTGTGAAAGTGGCGTTCCTTCAGCACGAATGATGGAAGCAACTTCAAGACAGGAAGGAGGGAGTCGAGCTGCTCCCAGAGGAAATCCAAGGCGTTGACTGAAAACGTCTTGTTCACGCGAGAGCAGCACGCTAAAGCCCGCATATTAGTCCTTGTGACATCGCCTTCGGTTTCTTTAGGAGATAGATATTGTATGATCTCGCGGACGAGATCAGGATTGCTCATTGCATGCGTTGTTGCAGCAGCCATGACAATATTGGCACATCTGCGCACGACGGGTGATTGCCGAGTGGTCAACGGCGGGCAAGGGTTAAAGCATGAACCATACTCACATAAGAGTGTCTGTCTTAGACTTTCTCACAGACAGCCTAAAATGACCAAGTTTTCCTGAAAGTTGCTAGCTAGTCGACTACGATGCAATGTGGCTAAGCGAAGGCTGAGCGCTGAGCGCTATATACATAGTCTTCCTCACGTCCACGGTCCTTGTAACTGTGGAAAACATCACGTGTAATCCTCTTAATATCTGATCAATAGTTTCATAGACATCTTCGTTCCTTCCTTCTCGCTAAATGTGTTCTGTCATGATAGTCTGCTTCAGTATCCATTTGACGCCTTTCTCTTTCATACCGCCGGGCCACCGTACCACATCCTGTCGACGACACTCCGAACGTTCATGAGTCGCATCGCGATGCTAGCTTATCATGATGGCCATCCATCCACATTCTTCGGACAAGGAGAACATTTGGATGCATGGACTGTTTCGCGCTGCAAGAGCCACAAAGCCTGTGACGGCAAGCCAGATCGAGCACTTTGAGCGCACATGGGACGGGCTATTTCACGTCCGCAGGCTGGCACTCTGGCACTGGACAGCATAGACGGGGGAACAGCCTGGCTCGGTGCTCATAACAATCATGTTCTCCACGAAGCTTTTGTGACATGCATCACGATGTATTGGCTACTGCGCCATCGCGTACTCGAGGGAGCCGTATTCATTGCTACTCTCTTTGTGCTTTGCCGAGCAGTCGCACTGCTGATGTTCCGACGAGCGCGGAACTCCGAGCTTCAGTGCTTTAGCGGGTAAGCATTAGACTAATTCGAGTGCCGAGTCAGTGCATCTCGATGTCAGAGCATCCTTTCTCATGCTCAAAATTACATCAAGGGGCATCAGTTGGGCGGTACGCCCAACCGTCCCATCAAATTTCCGGACTGTTTCATGTTGACAGAATCCAGAACGACAGATGTGAGTTAGTGCATTACGCTTTGTCCTCATCAGATGACACTTCCAAGAGAATGTTCGGTTCCGCAGGCTTGTATGCGTCATCCGCAAATTTCTTTTGCGAGCGATGTCTCAGTATCCAACGATCTTAGCACCTTTGCTGAAGGCCTGATTGCATGATTGGTATATGACTCGATATTATTGCTGTCGGACAGATGCCACATCGCAAGCGTTTGTTCTTACTAATGGCCCCGGGTCGTGGCAGGTGGAACCAGATGAACACTGAACGGCGACCGCCTGCTTTGGAGCTGTGCCCGCGTTCGTTCCGATCCGGACATCGCAAACGATGCCTTGATTGGAAAACATAGCCTCAAGCGTTAATATCCGATGTGCATATAAAAATGCTGCGATGGGTCAAGCTTAACCATCCGAAGACCCACATATCCGCTTCTAAATCGTCTCAATTATGTCTCCCACTGTCCCTCTTGGCCCGGGACCTGAAGTCATCTCCCTGACAGTGTTCGTCAGGAACGGCCTCAGCTCCATCTATTCCGCTACCTCGCAGGCAGCCTTCGACAAGGCATTCAGCGATTTCTTCCACAACGACGCCAAGATCACGGTGAACGGCAAACACCTCACCCTTGCTCAGTACAAGCAACAGCTGCAGGGAGAGAAGTTCCTCGAGCAAAGCTCGCAGGTGTCGATCCTCAACTCTGTCGAGGTGACCACCGGACGGGTTGGGCTGATTGAGGTGCGCATCTTTACTCAAATGATCTTTTAGCGTCTGAATCTAAATGTTCCACAGACGGGCAGTGTTGGAATCTACTACAAGGTCCAACTCTACGAGCGATTGCTCTTCATGGGTGCTCCCGTCGAGAGTATCCTAAATTCGTCTTTGAATGCTCAGTGAGTTATCTCGAAGTCTCCATTGTTTGTTTCCACCGTCTAACGTTTGTCTTCCAGGGTCACTGCTGAGGGAAATGTAGTCAAGGTCTCCGCACTCGATGAGGTTGCATTCGACCAGGTTCCGCGTTAAGTTTGAGAATCGATTTGCATGTTCGTTCGCACTTCAAACAGGACTATGATTAAGTACTACCATGATTACACGAAAGCATGTGTTGACGTACCCATTTCTATCCCATGTATAATATGTCATATGTCCATATACATTATCTTGAAGTTGCATGATACTACAATGCAACCATTCTGTTCAGCGGTTGGTGTTGATGAAGGTTTCACATAAGTCCGCGTATTGGAATGCGTTGCGTCGCTGAGCTCTATGCTCATAATGCACGTCACCGCCGGTTGATTCTCATTTCCCTGCCGATGGTTGACTAACGTTTTACAAGTTTCACGAGCTTTAAAGGATGACTTTTGAAGTTCTGAGCCTTAATTTACCTCGACAGCCTGCATAACAACGCAGACGGTGTGTATCATCGATGCTACGTCATCGTCAACATCTGACAAGATCATTTGGGCCAGTCACGCGAGTTATTATCACGTATTGGCTCTACAGGCACAGCTGTACACTCTCGCACTCTTTTCATTATTTTGTCTCATTCATCTTCGTGAGCGTGAGGTCTCTTTCGCGCTGCAATACACTATCATCTGCATGCTAAGGGGTGATATTAGGAATAACTTGTATGCGAATCATTGTAACAATATCCTGATCGTACTGAGACTAGTACTGTTTCAGGCATCTCTTGCAATCCAACAGTCCGTCTCTCTCTAATGCACTCGTTCCTGTCGCGCCCCATCTTGATGGCACGTGACCGCGTCTCAAGCCCATTGATCTGCTTTCCACCCGCCTCCACTCACATGAGTTCAGCCGCAGCGTCTCACCTTCAAGACCTCGTCGAAATCATGATACTAATCCGAGGAGCGGGTCTTACCGTGGGTGGGCAGCGGCTGACTCAGGTGCCTGACATTACGATGCTAACTGCTCCCAGCAAGCATCCATGTCGTACCGTCTCCGTTGGTCCCACCCCTTCGTCTTCACCTTCCTGAAAGACTTGGCCAGAGATGACTCTCCTGCTTGCGCCAGACATGTCAGATATGGTGAGCGTTTATGGTCTTTGCTATTCGCTTATCTGACCATTCTGGAGCCTGCCCTCTCGAGAGGCTCGACATTGAACGATAGCTCAACGAATTCCTCTGGGGCTTCCTCAGGACTATTCACCCCGGACGATGTCGTGGACGAACCGTCTTATGATGTATTCTTCACGCCAAAGCTGATCCACAATGACGATACCCTGTCTACACCGCGGCCCCCGTATCGTGACGGCGAGCACCTATCGTCCGGCGATGGCGCCAACGTGAAGACGACCAAGCTCAACTCGTGGTCTCGCGCGGTAGCGAAGGCGAAGAAGCTGGCAGGGAAGACGCTCCAAGTACGCAGAGCGCTGCGCAAGGTACCCTTCCCGAGTCCGTCTCAAAGCGTCGGTATACCAACGACCTCTGATCAGGTTCGTCGACTGCGCACCGAGCTGACGTCATCACAAGACTTGGACATGGACATCGTGGAGACTGAGGATGCTATGGTAAGTCCTTGCTACTCGTCTTGCAAACAACGGCAGATCGGTGATTCTTCCTTAGAATGCTTCGTATGACATACCTCGAGAGGCGGAGGGTATTAATGACTCGAAAGAGAGGCCATCTGGACAGGTGAGCTTCTAATGAATGCGAGTGAGGATCGATAACTTATCGCCCCAAATTACTAGTCGGTGGTGTACGAAACGCTCTCTGCGAAGGACGAGCAGAGTGCGGCTCCAAACTCGCGCAGATCGGGCGCTGGGGTCCGCGAAGCCGAGCTTGATCTGTCCACGGAGTACCTCCTCCCCGAATTCAGCTCGCCTTCCTCCTCCGATGCTCTATCCAACGCACTGCAAGGCCCGTGGTCCGCCAGAAGAGTCGTCCTGACCATCATTCGAATCCTCTTCTTCCTCCCATGGTCCATCGCCGTCGGCGGCGCCATCCTCCTCTCGCCCAAGCACCTCGAGCTCATCACCTTCTCGCCAGGCTACCTCGCCTCCGAGCGCGGCGCACGGCGCTTCGCGCACTGGGCGGACACCGCGGTGCCGCACATCGTCATCTTCCTCGCTCCGGTCGCCGTGCTCATGTGGTGGAACCTGTCGATAGGGGCGCTCGTCGCGGCGGCGATTCTCGCTGGGTTCGTCTATGCGTGGCACGACTTCCACGTTGACCTCAGCGTGCCTCTCGGAGAGGACGATCGACAGAGCATCTATCTGGCCGTGACGAAGATGTATTTGCGGGAGGGATTTACGATGCGTGTTCCGATGCGGAGCGACGATGGACGGGCTGGAGAGTAGGGCTTGGAGGCAGTTTTCGTTCCCCCTTGTTCGACATGTATACAAGTTGCGTATCTACATGCCTGCATAGTTCGACTGTCACGAGTAGCATGCCCATTAAGGGCTTCATCATTCATAATATACCGTATCAACGCTTCGAATGACCTAAAACATTTTCAAAGCAGGCGCGCTCGTCAGTCGTAATCGTCATGGTTCTGTCAAGTATAATGTATGCTAAATGCAATAGATCTACAGAAGGCAACAAGATGAAGCTGAGGAACCATCGGCGGCTGAACAAGAGCAGCCGGGGAAGCACCGTACGTCGCGGACCTACTTCCGCGAAGGCATAAAGCAAAGCTAAACTCATTCAAACGGAGACTGCGTCAGCGTATCCTCAAAGTTCGGCTGGGGCATGGTCGGCGTCGAAGCCATAGCGACAAACGAGTTCGTGCTCGACGACGAAGACTGCAGCGAGTGCGCCACCCCAGACCTACTCGGTACCAGAGGCGGGCTCAAGTGTGCAAGGATGTTGTTCGTGGTACGCCGCGGCGGAGGTGGCGGTGGCTTCCGCGCGGGCGACGCGTCTGTCGCTCTGCGAGTGATGGCGGGCTGGTTCGCGAGCTGCGTCCTCTCATCGACATCCGCAAGGAATCTCTGGGCACGCGTCCGCGCAGCCTCCTCTTCTTCGTGTGGACTGTCTGGGCCGCTGAACGAGCCGAACCTCCCATACGTCGGGCTCCGGTTCTCCACGAGATTGTGATCGCCGAAGGGGTGCTCCTCGTCATCGCTGCTCATCAGGTACTGTCTGTCCGCGTCGTCGTTTGCGAGCAACCTTCGCTCGCTCTCGTCGTCGGGCATACGCGTGAGCACGGGCGGTGCGCTCCCGCCCGCGTTGCGGCTCATCGCAGGCGGACGCGGCGGGATGGGCGGCGTAGATGAGAGGAAGTCTGTGTAATTAGTGGGGAACAGTCCGCGCTTCCCGTACAGCTCGCCCATCCACCACCCGTCCAGCACCTCGTTCACCACCGCGATCTGGTCTCCGGCGCGGAAGCTCAGCTCGTCGGTCGAGGTGCCAGTGAAGTCGTGCGTAGCCACGACGACTTTGCGGCCGTCCTTGCCCTGTGAGAGCGACTTAGGCGTGCGCGTTGGGACTTTGGGCGACGGCGCGGGCGTTGACGAGGCGCTCTTGTTCTTGTGGTGCTTGTTCTTCCGTTGGAACGACAGCGCGCTCGAGGGACGGCTGTTCTCTCCGTCGTGAGCACTCTGCGTCTCGCCATCACTACGGTCAGAGTCATCCTTGAGCGCGGCGAAGTTCTCCTTGTCCTTCTTCCCTCGCCCCGTCACGGAGCTGACGGCATTGGCCGCGCTGGATGCCCATACCGCCACGCTCATCCGATTGCGCGACTTTTCTTTTTCTGACTTGTCGCTTGCAGCGCTGTCTGCACGGTTGCGAGACGCGCGCGACGATGGGCGAGACGGAGGACGAGATGATGGGCGTGAAGCCTGTTTGGTGCTCGCCCCGGACTTGTGCCGTGTCAATGAGAGCCCTCGTGAGCGCTTGGGAGCGAGTTGCTCTCGCTCCTCGTCGTCAGAACTTTCACCTGAGTCGCTGTGCGTGGATCGCCTGGCTGAGGATTTAGACTTGGTGGAGCGAATAGAACCTAAACGCGAAATCTCTGGCGGCTCCGTGAACATATGCATAGGTCCTCTCGGTCGAGTTGTTTCCAGACGCGTAACGGTCGCCCTGAGGAGGCAGCAGGCACGCATTAATAACGGGATGCTGTTGAAAATATTATTGGATACATACTCGTCTATCCAACCAGCCTTGACATCTCTCAGCACGTTCAGATACTGCTCGACATATTTGGTCTGCAGATCAAGAAATTCAGTGAGGGCGCGAAGCTGTACGACCTCATTCTCTTGGATGGCGTGCATGCGAGCTCGCACGTCCTCGGCCATCTTTTCGCTGAAGATAGCCGGGAGCCAGACGTTCAGCTGGCATGTCGAAAGAGATCGATAGAGAGGACATACTAGCGAGCTTGAGCATTTGCATGCTCGTCCTCAGCTTCTTTCCGTTCCTTCTCCTTGTCCTTTTTGCTGTGTGTCAGCTTCTCCAGCTTATGAATGGCAGCATCCAAGCTTAGCCTGGTACAGAAGCATGAGAAACGGCATCAGCACCGACGCTGGAAGTGACATACCGTCTACTCTCAAGTTTCTTCCTCTGAGCCTGGTATTCCTTGATCTCGTCCTCCATACGAAGTATGGACGTGAGGTACGTGTCTTCGAATGTCATTGCAAACGTCTCTTGCAGAGTGGCGATCTTGCAGTGTGCACGACCCATACTTACCAAGGACGTTCCTACACATCGAAGAACGCTGAGGCATAAGTTTCGTGCAGATGGGCCATTGACATTGGGTGCTCACCAAATGCAGAGTCCTCGCCAAACTCTTCCCCGTGTCTGATCATTACGATGCCGAGAGCATCGATCGCAAGAAGCTTGTCAGATTCATCGAGTGCCTCACACTCCTTCTTCTTGCTGAGAAAATGGTAGTAGTCCTCCGACGCGACATGTAGTCTGCGTGGACAGGCGATGAGTACTGAGCAGGCAGAAAGATGGACAAGGCGACTCGCCTCCAAAGGCCCTGCCTGCGTAGCTCAATGTCATGTTCCAACTGCTTAAACTCTTCCGTCACGACTGCTTTGTCCCGAGACGAAATGACTTCGCCGGCCCACTGGCAAGCGCTGCAACGTTATTGACTGCGCTGACCGCATTGGCTCCTTCGAAAGCGTACCTGCTTCAGCTTCCCGAGCTGCAAGTTCCCGTCAGTCCTCCATCTCGGCTGTAAGGATGACCATGACCTAAGCGCTGACCTGCTTGCTCGCCATGGCCATGCCTGCTCACGCTGATCGCACTGTCTACGTAGCCTGCTCGTCGGCGTTGTGGTGAAAGTGAGGTGGTTCCGCGTTGATGTGGACGGTGTGAACGATTTCGGGGTCAAAGAACAAGATCGACCTTGGCTATATACCCCGCGCATGCTTCGTGGTTTCAGTTGCCATTCCAGACCCAGGCCCATTTCGCTAAAGCGACGACGAGACTGAGATCATCGGGAGGCCTTTGCTTTCCTCTTTCGCCACTCAACGCCAAGCGACGACATCGAAAACCCTCTGAAATCCGCCCCGCTAATGCACTCAGCCTGTGTCCAAGTATCGCCCGTCCGTTCGTCGTCGCACCGGTAACAATGACCTCGTCTGTTATTCGGCTGAATTATCAGGAAGACCTCAGCGTCTCTTTCATTTCGTAACGGCGCGGCCTTTGCCGCAAGTAGTCTAGTATCGAGCAGACATATAATTGACATCGATTTGCGCTTTGAGGCATGATAATGATAAATTGACCTCCAAATGCGAAAACAGTCACTCGATTGGTTCTCATAGCTTGCAACAGACCGCCAGCCGAAACACTCTATAGAGCACTTAAGAGTGCCGATTATGAGTATTAACCTTAAAGGCAGAAAGACGCAGAAGTCTAGAGTTACAACGACTGTCGTAGTCACAAGAGCCCTCACATGTTCGCCTTTGCCGCGAGGCGCAGGCCCTCCTGGACCGCAACAGCTTCCTCCACCCATGGTAGCCTGAAGAACTCGCTCCGTCGGAGGTCCTCCTGCCGCACCGTCGCGCCCTCGCTTGGTCCGCTACCCAGCACGCTTTCCAGATCGCGCGACTGCGATGCGAGCCACGTCTGGATGAATTGCTGTGGGTCGTCCGCGAACGCACGGAGGAACGTCCGCTTGAGATGCGAGTTATTCAGCGATTGCACATGCAGCGCGATCTGCATTTGCCGGCATTAGCTTATGCGTAAAATAGCTCAAAAACATGACTATGCACCTCATCATCGAGCTTTGCGAGGTCCCGCATGGATTCGGTCGCCATCTGCACAACATAGGCCATGCGAGTCTTCAGCGCCGAGTCGTCCAGCTTCAGCTCAACGTCCCACGCGCTCGGCTTCTCGGGCGCGGGTGAGGCTGGGTTAATGGTGTAATGGAGAACGATGGGATCTGGTGCAAGCAGAAAGCGATTGATCATCTCCGGAAGCTGATGGAAATACGCGGCATCGCCACCGAATATCTAGCCATGAAGATAAGCGAGCAGCACGTCGTAGTTGTGCTGGGTAAGGCCCACCGGACGAAGACGGGCATCTGCACGGATCAGACGTCGATCCACTTTGTCCTGTAGCCCCTGCATCTTGACATAATTCCACAAAGCCTGAACGACGCCCACTCGGCTTTCCTCCCTAAGCCCCAAGAAGCTTCCTACAACAAGGTCAGCGGCAGATGATAATGTATAGCAATGACAACTCGCCAAGCTCCGGGTGGACCTTGAATTGCTCTGGTTGTTGTTCAAGGTGGATGATGACCCGTATTTTGACTGGGGTGTCCCCTTTCCGCCGTACTGTGAACCCATCCAGCTGGGGTTGTGACGGCCCACGTAACCACTGCGCAACATAAGTACCTACGTCAAACCGCGCATATGATACACGTACCTCAACAATGTTTCCCTCAGGGTACAACGCCGGGTCTCGTTCAAGCTCTACCACCATCTGCTTTATGAGCGTCGAGAACTTTCGTGGCGGTGGCCGGTCTTTTGCTCGCTGATTTGGCAACTGCGTGTTGATGAGGAAAATGTCAGTCTCATGCGAATGTAGAGATAGAAAAACGACGCACTTCAAGCAGCCTGCCCTCAATTCTGAACGAGAACGCGGGGATGCCCTCGCCCGTCTCAGGGTTCACCTTGCCCGCCTCGCCTTCCGTGGCACCCACAGCACCCAGACCATCCGCGCCCTGCTGCCACGTCTGTCCAGACACCGTATGGCTCAGGAAAATTCGTAATGTTCGAGAAGTCTGCACGTATAGTCGCCATGAGCGTCGACAACAAGGTCGCACATATCTGAATAAACACTGACAGGAACGGTGCGGTTGAGCGCATCTTGCACCTCTACCCGTTTTCGGGTGACCGTCCAGTCAAGGCGCCGCTCCATGTCGAGGAGGTCGCGGTACATTTGCGAGTCTTCTGAGAACTCGGGTGACTGGAGGAGCGCGTTTGGGAGGTTCTTGTCTGTGAGCTTGCGTTTTCTGCAAACAAACCCGTTCGGAGCACGGAACTGTACTTAATTATAATCCTTAGCAGCATTATAATGCAATAACATACTTCGCAGCCGGCTTCTGTGGGTCCATCGTGGACAATGGATTCAAGGACTCGGGGGGGTATGGAAAAGTGTTCGCGTCAAGAAGCCGCAGCTGAAGGTGAATCGTCCTCTACCGCGAGTACCCTCTATGAGAGGATGGTAGACCTTTACAAAGCGCGCTGACTAGATGCTCGAGTTGTTGCACTATAAGAGTGGGACACGAGCGGTACTGTGGCGAAGAGAAGTGGGGATGTGGCTGAAGCGAGTTCAACTAGGCGCCCAGGTCGCAGTTGTACACGTCTAGATTTGGTAATGACACGTGCCAATTTGTGGCCACTCGCGATCAGACCGAGTCGAACCTTTGAGTATTCTTTGACGACAGAAAATGTACAGGCTAAGACACTATCAATTTCAATACTCCAAAAAATTTCACACTCGCCAATCGCGCGGACCAGATATAGGTGGCAATGATGACACGCAGTATAGATTTGGCCACCAGTGTTGGAAGCGAAGCCGATACTGAAGAGAACATCATGGTATCAGAAAAGAACGTAATTCAAATCACAAATTCACTGAAGGATGACTAGTACCGCTGAAACACGAAGATGAAATAAGAGCTGGCAGCTCGAGTCGAGAACCTGCATAGCAGGGAATATACAGTGACCCACAAAACTGTTGATAAGATTGCTTACTTCAACTTGTATGGTGAATATCTCCTCAACCACTGAGCCAAATAAATGTTATGAGAGCTCATTTGAAAGCCTATTATCATAGCTTTTCAATGCAGTTTTGTTTATATTTTTAGCATATTTTGATCCCAAGATATTTGGTACTCTTTGAGGGCCACTCTTATCAACAGTTTTGTGGCACATATTCAGGTTCTACAAAACTCATACTTTCAGTCCTTGGTATAGCCTCCCTTTGCCTTCATAACTGCATCCACCCTCCTTGGCATACTTTCAATCAGATTCTGACACACTTCCTTCCCAATAGCCTCCCATTCCTTCTCTACCCTTTCTCACAACTCAGTAATTCCCTTTGGTGGCTCCTGATACTCTGCAAGCTTCTTTTTGAGGTGATCCCACAAATTATCTATGGGATTGAGATCTGGGGATTGAGAGAGTCATAGCATGGTGTTGAAATCATGGTCTTTGAACCAATCCTTGGCCTTCTTGCTGGTGTGCTTGGGGTCATTGTCTTGCTGGAACACCACATCCTCCACAGTTTTCCCCAATCCTCCAGGCTATTCTGCAGCTCATCCTCCAGAATGCTGACATAAAGGTCTGCATCCATCCTGCCATCGATATTGCAGGCATACCCCACACCATCCCAGCCCATACAGCCCCACATCATCAAGGATCCACCTCTAAACTTCTGAGTCCCTTTCACCAACCTATCACTGAGGCTCCCCTGGCTTCTTCCACACCCATTTCCTTCCATCTGACCCCATCCTGTTAATCTTTGTCTCATCTGACCATACTCTTGGAATTTTCCAGGCCGGAAACTATGGTAGCAGTCCGCGCCCCATCCCAGTTCCCCAGTGATCTCGTTAGAGTGCGTAATGAGTTGTGTAAATGGCTGAGGGAACTGGCTACCTAGGTATGTACTTTATACTACCTTCTGCCCCTGTCTGGGCCCGTGCCTTTCCGACCATTCCGTCTCCAGGTACCGCTTCTGACGTGTTTCACCATGGCACAACATTTGTGCTCGGCACGCCAAGCACGTACCCAAGTGCATCCCGCACTTCACTTCCAACACATACCACCCTTCTCCAGTCCTCTACAGTCCAATACTAATGAGCCAAAGTGAAGTCCATCCTCTCCTTCTGATGCCTTGCAGAGAGTAAAGGCCTTTTTCGCTTCACTACAGCCTTCATTCCTGCCTTCTTCAACCCTCTTCACATTGTCTCTGCATTGACAACCCTCCCAGTAACATCTGCAAGAGCTCTGGCCACAGCAGGAGATGTGGTAGCCTTGCCAGTCCCAATGAGTCAAGTAGCATAGTGAAGATTGGCAGTAGTAAGAAGGGAAGGATGCCCTCCTTTGGCCTTAGGAATGGTGAGGCAGTGTGTGGAGCACAGTTTGCTGATGGTAGAATAGTGTAGCCCAGTCAAAGCTTCAATTTCTTGAAGAAATTTGCCATTCTGAAGCAAAGCGATGACATGGTTGACAGTTTCAGTAGCAACAGCTTTTGGCATGATGTTGATTGAGTGCGAAGAGTTGTGTATGGCTGTTTGTACATTGTTCAAGTTGAAACATGAACATCAATCAATGTTCCCACAATGAACCCTGTCAACATGTCAAGAATCACAATATTCTGAGAACTTGTGTGTGTGCCACAAAACTGTTGATAAGAGTGGTCCTCAAAGAGTATCAAATATCTTGAGATCCAAATATGTTAAAAATATAAATAAAAGTGCATTGAAAAGCTATGACAATAGGCTTTCAAATGAGCTCTTATGACATTTATTTGACCCAGTGTTTGAGGAGATATTCACCATACAAGTCGAAGTAAGCAATCTTATCAACAGTTTTGTGGGTCACTGTACATGGATTTGACGGTGTTCCAGCTGATCGCTGCTCATTAGAATTTTATCTGTTAGGCAACAGCTCAACACAAGGGGCCTTGCTCCATGATCAAGAAGATATACCGTACCTTCGCAAGAGCACTAGTCACCTCGAGGACTCGCTGTTGGTTGCCGCTGATAAACTTTGTGTCGAACGAAGAAGATTCATTCTCATGGGTCAATCCATGCGGCGAGCAATCCAAAATGGATCTACAGTTTTAAAATGGCATGGATTGACCGAAGATGATGTCTACAAAGGATTTTATTTCAGGAAAGGCACGATAATCGTTGCAAACATCTGGTACGTGCTGTCCACCGCACACCTGTAGTTTGTTGAAAGTACTCCAGGAATATGCTACATGACCCTGAAGTCTTTCCTGATCCTATGGTATTCAACCCAGAGCGTTATGATGGAGATGATTCTGAGATGCGCAAAGTCGTCAACCTCACATTCGGATTTGGACGGAGGTCGTTCCCCGGACTTCATCTTATCGGAGGAACAACCTTCGCAATTGTGGCAACCATGCTGGCAAGATGCGATATCGTTCCTGCAAAAGATGCGTACAGCAGGGACATCCTCTCTGAGCTGAAGTATACAAGCGAAACCATCATGTTTGTTCCATACATCCTTTACCCATTCGTGATACATTTAACGTATTGATCTACAACAGATTTCCGGAGAATTTGCAGTGCGATCTGAAGGCTCGCTCCACTCGACACAAGATGTTACTTGCAGATTCAGCTCCGATGTCATGAGGCTGGGATTCATACACGATCCGCGAAATAGCGCGGAGTGTTAAGAGTCTATGTGTGACGCAGAATTTCTCGCATATGAATTCGTATACAAGCCATTGTTCTTCTTGGACATGTACGGAATGGTTCGATCGGTGGTGTTGATTCTGGTTCGATGGACAGTAAATTTCCTCACAGCTCCAGGGGGCGCAACCCTGACCCCCTTGCCATTTGACTGCGATTTAGTTGCTAATTTTACATCGCCAGTCCTATTGCCCTGTACCCAGAGTCTCTGATCCACAATCGTGTCGAACTTCATCCTCATCTGCTGAAGCAGCGTCCTTCCTACGACTCTAATCTTGATGTGCATCTTCCGCATCCGAACCATTCACAGAGCCTTTGCCAAATGCCAGCTCTGCACCATTCATCGCTACATCGACTACCGTTGCATGCGGAGCGGCATCATCGATGAAGAAGAACTATAATGCAAGCGTTAATCTGGCCGTTGCACAGTCACAGGGAGAATGCACACGTGAAAATCCAGCACGTTTTGCAGCTCATTCTCTCCAGTATCCTCAACCTCACCTTCGCCATCAGACACAGTCAGAAAGTTGGCTTGTTCCCTGTCAGGTGGACCATATATAGTGCCAAAAACCAGGTTCTCAAGTCTCCTCTCCTTGCTGTTTTCATCCGTGAGGTCCGGTGAAAGAAACCAGTGGCTTGATAGTGTTTGTAATATTTGTGGTCCTCTGTTTCTTGCGTGGGTGTTTCGCCATGAGCTGATGAGTTGTACTGTAATAAATTGAGAGGTATGTCTTGACCAGATGATGTGAGCAACAAGACAGTCAGTTCACCTGCCAGATCTGAATGGTGAGTAGAGTAGTAATTTATCAATCATCCACATACCTACCTACCTATCTATCAAAGGTGTATTCTCTTCAGTCGGCGCATGGCATATCATTCTGTGTCAACAAGCCATGAATCGCTCAACAACTCCTCTGCTGTTGCCCGCTTGTCTGGATCAAGATGCAGACATCTTCGCAGGAACGTGCCAGTGTCGTCTATGAGGTCTTCGGGCACGACTTTCCACACTCTCATTTGCGCCTCAAAGCATAAGTCCATGATCTCCGGCTCAAGCTTCAGTTCGCCTTGCAGGGGAGAATGTCGTCAACTTGAGTCAAAAGAATGGATGGAAGACGCATACATTCCTCGTTAAAGTAATCTGCTGTGAGTGGAGAGGCGTTGAGCTGCTTCACGCGAAACGGCTCCCCGGTGAAGCACATCATTTGGTACAACATGTTTTCAGTCTCAGTGAGATTGAATTTCTTGTTAATTTGGTAGCGAAATAATGCACGGCCATTTATGAGCTCGTAGGCCTGGTGAATGAATGAGGTGCAGATTAAATTGATGGACATGAATGACAAACCAAACACTCAAATGACCAGATGTCTGCACTTTTGTCCCACTCTGCACCAAGGAACACTTCTGGAGGCCGGAGAGGAGGGATGGTTAAAACGTGGTTGGGGTGTAACTTTGAATGGACAGCTACATTGGTTCGAATATGAGCAATGGTGATGAGAAACGCATGATGACATTACTTACCAGTTCTAAAATCACCGAGTAAGTACGTAGCATGTAGTGCCTCCTCCATGGATATCATAGGGAGCGGCTGGGACACTGCCGTACAGATAATGGTGCTCTGCGACCTTTCGGGGTTGTGGTGTCGAGGAGGGTCCTCAGCAATCCACCGTTCAATGTCCTCGGTTCCCATCTCAGTCGTGAAGAAGATGTTGTCATGCTTCAAATCGGTGTGGATGACCTTGCAGCTGTGCATGTGCGTGAGTCCATGTAAGATGTGAAGAATGATGTGTTGTACGAGACGGAGGGAAAAGGCTCTGGGTTTCTCCTGGCATAATGCGCAAACCAATGCCTTGATGTCGTCACTATACACGGGTGTAACGATACATAGATGATCTCCGTCCGTCACAACGCGCCTGGGAATGGTAAATTCAGTAATGTAACGCTGGCAATAAGGTGATTGTGGTGGTGCAGAGACAAGATAAAGTGCGTCTAACTCCCAACATTGTCCGGTAGGGATGAGGCTCGTGATGTAACCTGTAAATGCTTTAATTGTGACAAAATTATTCTCCCTATCGAAGCATCAGCTGCTGTTAGCTCAAAACTGGTGAACACTGACGCACACGCTGTCTCGAGCTAACCATGTACTTGAATGCATTCCCCAGCCCAATTTGTGCATAATCGTATAGCGATCATTCGGTCCAATGCGGTCACCAAAGTCGAACCTTGCCCAGCCGTATCCTCTTTCTGCGGGCATGCCGAGCGCCTCAGAGATGAACGTGAGATCCATGCCTTTGGCCTTTCCATCTGGACCAACAGAGATGCGATAATTAGTAGGCTCCTTATCAGATGACATGGTAGTCCTGAAAAAGCGGCGCTGGGAGATGGCTGGTCGAAAAGCAAGTGTTGTTGTCCTCCACCAGTTGTGGCACATGTAGTAATCGGGTGGCAGTGGCTAGGGCACGGAGAAATAGGAATTGTGACCTGCTTAATCAGCTATTTAGCAATGCAGTCAAATAACAAAGGGGGGTCCGGGAGTGCAGCTCCCGAAACTCCAGGCTAATTAACACTAATTAACCGGTCAAATTAAGCAGTCAATTTACCTAAAATGATGGTAAATTACAACTTTCTCACGCTATGCCACTAAGCTAACAGTAAATTACCTGTAATTTACAGAGGTAAAATAGCTCTGGCTAATTAGCAATTCTCTATTTCCCCATGCCCTAGGTGGCACCCAGTATGACTGGACCTAGCTAGTGCAACAACTCAGACATCTAGTCAGCGTGCTGCGTAAAAGTCCATCATCTTTGCATTGAGGATACTCGTGCTAGAGGACGGCTCATCTTTGGCTACGGCTTCTCGACGCGAATACTTTTCCATAGCACCTGTCAATCCCGAGTCCTTGATTCCGTTGTCCACGATGAACCTACAGAAGCCAGCTGCGAAGTATGTTGTCGCACTACAATCCTGCTAAGGGCCATAACTGAGTACAGTCCTGTGCTCCAAATGTACTTGTCTGCAGAACACGCAAGCTCACGGACAAGAACCTCCCAAATGCGCTCCTCCAGTCAACTCGAGTTCTCAGCAGACTCGCAAATGTATCGCGACCTCCTCGACATGAAGTGACACCTTGACTGGACAGTCACTCGAAAGCGAGTAGAGGTGCAAGATGCGCTCAACTGCACCGTTCCCGTCAGTGTTTATTCAGATATGTGCGACCTTGTCGCTGACACTCATGGCGACAATCCGTGCAGACTTCTCGTACATTACGAATATTTCTGAGCCATACAGTTTCTGGACAGACGTGGCAGCAGGGCGCGGATGGTCTGGGTGCTGTGGGTACCACGGAAGGCGAGGCCGGCAAGGTGAACTTTGAGACGGATGAGGGCATCCCTGCATTCTCGTTCAGAATTGAGGGCAGACTGCTTGAGGCACATCGTTCTGCTATTTCTGCTTTTGCATTGACTGACACTTCGCTCATCCATGCAGTTGCCAAATCAACGAGCAAAAGAGCGGCCACCACCATGGAAGTTCTTGACGCTCATAAAGCAGATGGTGGTAGAGCTTGAGTGAGACCCGGCATTGCACCATGAGAGAAACATTGTCAAGGTACATGTATCATATGCACAACTTGGCTTGGGTGCTTATGTTGTATAGTGGTTACGTAGGCCATCACAACCCCAGCTGGACAGGTTCACAGTACGGCGGAAAGGGGATACCCCAGTCAAAATACGGTTCATCATCCACCTTGAACAACAATCAGAGCAATTCAAGGTTCACCTGGAGCTTGGTGAGTTGTCATGCTATATATCTTTACCTGCTGCTGACCTTGTTGTAGGAAGCTTTTTGGCACTTAGGGAGGAGAGCCGAGTGGGCGTGGTCCAGGCTCTGTGGAATTATGTCAAGATGCAGGCGACATCTACACACAATCTTCCACGATGATAAATTGCATCATGTCTGCTGTCTGCTGTGTGGCCAGTTGAACTCTGCACACTGAGAAAACAAGAAGTTGATAGACCTCCATGAGCTATACAAAAGCACCAAAGTTGTACAGCGCACAGCCGCCGGTCTATCTGTCACCCTTCACGATCCCTCGAGTATCGTTACTCTGGTTTATATAAGAGTGGGATATGAGTGGTGCTGTGGTGAAGAGGAGTGAGAATGTGGCTGAAGCAAGTTCAACTAGATGCCCAAGTCACCGTTGTGCATGTCCAGATTTGGTAATGACATGCGCCAGTTTGTGGTCACTCGCGATCGTTGACCAGACTGGAACCTTTAAAATATTCTTTGACGACAGAAGATGTGTAGGATAAGACTCTATCAATTTCAATACTCCAAGACGATTTCCAGTCCCGTCGATTGCGCGGACCAGACGTAGGTGGCAAGGACGACACACAGTATAGATTTGGCCACCTGAGGAAATTGGAAGCGAAGCCGATACTGAAGAGAACATCATGGCATCAGAAAAGAATGTAGTTCAATTAACAGATTCATGGAAGGAGGACTAGTAGCACCGAAACACGAAGAGGAAGTAAGAGCTGGCAGCTCGAGTCGAGAACCTATGTAGCAGAGAATACTATACATGAATTTGACAGTGTTCCAGCCAGTCGCTGCTCCTTAGAATTTTATCTGTTAGGCAATAGGTCAACATAAAGTGCCTTGCTCCATGATCAGGAAGATATATTGTACCTTCGCAAGAGCACTAGTCACCTGAGGACTCGCTGTTGAATGCCGCTGACAGACATTGTGTCGCTGTCGTACTCAAACTCATATTCGTGCTCACCGAGCCCGGTGAGCATATGGCCGAAGAAGGAGGGCACCACGCTCTTGACATTTAACAGTGGCTGGCCCGTGTTTTGATCACTACTTGTTAAAGGGATTTGTTTATGTATTTTCAGCCAGAACTTGCATGAAGAGGCATGCAGCCATGGTTTTCCATGGGCGTAATAGAGGTTCGTAGAGCAGGACTTTGAATCATCGATAGACCGTCATGATTTGTAACGTGTTTTCGGAGCCTGTGATGACAGATTTTGTGTCACGCTGATGAGGACTTTCCAGCATTTTCTTCTGTACATCAGCAAGCGGTGATATATCGACGCTGGAGATGTCTCCATTTCCGGAATATCGGAGATATAGTCAGTCGCTTGATAGATAGTGTGCATAGCAGCTTCTCATGCTTCGTTCTTCCATTTGTATCGCACGGTGACGAGGAAGACGCGTAGTGGATTTATGCTGACATCTAGCATGACGGCGGCCCTTGCGAAAGCGATAGCTCTACGTACACCATACTTCATGCTGGCTTCCAGAAGCATAGTGGGCCTTCGATTTCACATTCGAGATCTCCGGGTCTTCGATAGGATAGCAAAGCTGCAACATGACAATGAGAGTACAGCTGTCCTCAGGAAGTGAGACTGTACGAAGTTTTGCCAAACGTCCTTTGTCTGGTGTGCATTTCAACGTTTCCATGAATTGAGCGGATGCGAAACACAAGATAGCAGTGGATACATAGAATCAACCGTCATCACAGGAGATAATGAGAATGTCTGCCTCGGAGCAATCCATGAACAGATGCGAAGATAAGATGACCTCAGAGGCTGGTTGTGTGACGGTAGTCGGCGGCTTGCAGAACTGGGTAATTGCACACTCCTTTGATCCTCTGCTCCAATAGGCCAATAATCTATGATATGCACCGGCGGATAACGTTTCCATCTCTGGGACATCTTCCTCAAGGGTAGACATAACATCCGTTCCTGAAAGACTGGAGGAATCGTGCGTGGCAGACGCTGCTGCACCTTCCAGTTTCAAAGAACAGGCAATCGCATAGATGCGCAATGGGAACTTTGCCACGAACCCTGTCAAGCAGCTCTCACCCCACGAGATGGCCTCGTGCATTTGATATTTCAATGCTGCTAATAAGAATGACTTCACTTCCTCCAGGTCCTTCAACACAGGGTCTTCTATTGAATAACATTGGCGTAGAAGGCATGCCAAGGTGCTACTGCCCTCTGTGATGTCAATGTGTGATGAAGCATGCAATGAATTTGAATCAGCTGGCAAAGGTTGGGGTAAGGAGAACATGTCTGTGAAGAAGGCTGATGCAAAGCAGAGGATAGATTTATGAGCGTAGAAGTCGAGACCGTCAGAAGATGAGAGGATGACATCAGCATCGCTGTAACACTGCAGACATTATGCCATTTATCACCATGGAATATGTTGCTTTGGTCCTTTGCCTTTAGAAACTGAATTTGTCACTGTGGCAAATGACATTGGATATTATGAATTTGAAGCTTGATTTGCAATGGCTTCAAATTATATTCACATATTTTGCCTAAGCCTTTTCTACAAATCCTGAACATTGCATATATCAAAATGTAGCATTGTTGCAAATGTACATCTATATGCTTTGTTCTGAGGGGAAATTTGCCAATTTGTGGTACTATTCTCAACCCTGTTATATTTTGTATGCAGTATTTATAATCTCTGGCTTGAGGCCAAGGCAAAATATGTGGCATCATTTGAAGCTATTTCAACTTGAGGCCTTAAGTAAGAATATGTAACACCATTTGTCACACCGGTAAATTTATTTCCTAAAGGCAAAGGATCAAATCAACATATTTCACAGTGGTAAATGGTATCATGCCTGCAGTGTAAGGGTTTTTGAACGGCGCCGGTACGATGGGTCGTTCTGACTCTGCCACCTTTTTCCCTTCCTTCTGTCCTGTGTTCGTGGCCTTACTGGACGAATCAGCACTATGATGGCTCAAACCTCAAGAACTAGCAGAGTGGTTGTGTGAGAGGGGACCTTTGATGACTGCCGTCAGGAAGGACGTGTAACTGCCCAGGAGAAACCTAGTATGCAGGTTGAGGTACGCCACAGCGCGCAAAGAATCTTGTACTCACCGCTGAATTAGCACAGTAAAATCAACGCGGTCAATGCAAGGGATGCGGATTGGGGGGAGGAGACGCGCAACCATGACAGTCACGACTCACAGCCTGCCTTTTCTGGTCAGCGATCTACTTATGAAGTGCCCAACTCCGAGGACCGAGGACCGCTTTGCTGAAAGCAGCAAGCTGAGCAGACCCCATGAAACACATTTCATGTCACTTGACAGATATGTTACAGCCTGCTGAATGAGGGCATGTGGTAGACGGAGCATACATGGCGCACGAGGCATTCAAGGTTCGATCAATGCCATAATAAATTTTGTCCCATAGTCATGGATAGATGCAATTGTTCTTAGTGATGACTGCACTGAAAGTGCGGGAGCGGATACGGCAGACATGATGCGATTTATCAATGTGGGAAATTGTGTGTGAATGTCGACTGATTTCTTACACATGCGACAAATATTTGCAACCATGGCATTTCATGTTGAAAATGTTTCACTTTGGCTGTGAATGTGCACTATTTGCTGTTTAAATGCTAAATTGGCAAAGCTTTGCCACAAATGTAAGACATCAGCTGACATTCCCACACGATTTTCCACATTTATAAATCGCGTCATGTCTGCCGTGGGACCCATAGTAGGGCACACAGGAGTTGCATTAGAAAGAGTTATACAGTAGCATTGTTTAAGTCTCCACTGCAAGCGAAGTACCGACTCCTCGTTGTGGAGAAGGTGTGACAACTTGCGCAATCTCTCCCGTTGTAAGGCAGTTTAGCACAAATCAATGCCCAACAAAATTGGCCCTTTTTCAACATAATGATCTTTACGTGAAAGGCTAACTCATTTTATCAATAAGTTGTTAGCAAATGTTTCCTTCGCCGCGATCATCATTGCTCTCGACGATGTGTTACGCTTAGCATCCACTACTCGTGCCAAAGTCCATTCCTTTGAACTTCTACTCTTTTGGCGTCCAAATGTCTTCTGCAGCCCGCCTGGTTTCGTCGAATCGTCGGCAGGCCTTATCTCGGGCTAAGCTTGCTCTCTACATGGATAGCAGCGTCGTTGTAATCAATAAGCCCCCGGGATTTGTTTGCCAATTTAACAGAAAGGCAGCAGAGGTACGCGCCATATCCTAGCATTCTGGAAGCTGTTCGTTGATTTGCGAGAAGGCGACAGGAGGGTTGGACGAACTCATTGATGGTAAAGTTACATGTGTCTGGGATATGCTCGATAAAAACCATTTACGTTCAGCTCAGACCTCAAACTGGATCTTGATCTGAACGATGATCTGCATCATGCACACCGTCTTGACAAGGTACGGCATTCAGTACAGCTAGCCCTCTCGTAATTCAGTGCAATTTGCTGTCTCCCAGGGAACCACAGGGTGCCTGGTCCTTGCGCGCAGTAAAGACAGTGCCCGGAAGCTTTTCCAACAATTCTCCTCCCATGAGATAGAAAAGACCTACCTAGCACTTGTCCGCGGTGGATCAGCATCATTTTCAGAGCAAGCGGGCACCATACGGGGCATTCTTTACTCGTATGATGGACGCGTCTCGACCAAAGACTCGGGAGGCCCCGGTGAAGGGAAAAGAGCGATTGCTGAAACCGATTGGGAGGTCATTGCATCCTCTGTGAGCAAGCTCAATACACTTCACCTCGCGAAGTCAACTACTGACAATGACCATCAATTCTTAGCCGATCGTCCCTCTCACTCTTGTGAAGTTAACTCCTTATACGGGGTTCAAGCATCAACTTCGTGTTCAGATGGCAAAATGCATGAAAGGTAATACTGTCTCTCCGTCATGACGTTCATATACCGAATCGTTGACATCTTGGCGTCCTCTATCAGCGCCTATCCTCGGCGACACTGTACATGCTAAGGCCAAGTTATCACCGAAAATCACTGACGTTGTCAAAGTACCTGAGAACAAGATGTACCTACACGCGTCGCAGCTCTCTTTTCATGTGCGATCTCGCGATCTCGTCCTACGCTAAGATACCTTAACTCACTCAACGCGGAACAGGATTGTCGGACAGCCGATAACAAAAAACGCGTACGGATAACGGTTGGCGCGCCGCTTCCGACATACTTCTCGCGACTATGCGAACAGATCAAAATCCCATTGATGCTCGACATGTCGAAGGGTGGACTATGGGTCAATGGACAGCGAGCGCTAACAGAAATGATTCCGGAAAAACAATGCCAACCAGAAGTCGGCCAAGGCATACCAGAACAGACCCATATAGAACAATCCGATCCGCAACACATACTTGAGCAGCTGGATGCTCGATGGCTCGCGAACTGATCATTGGGCTGGATGGATGATCGTAGGTGAGAAGATCAGCCACGCGTTCAAACTCATGAATGCCGTATGTTGATCGTTGATCATTAGCACTATCCGAACCAGCGGCTGTGGCCTACATACATAACATCATGTCAAATGTTATACCCAGCAGCCCGCTGCCTGGGCACTCATACATACAACGAGAGCCGGTATGCCTGCCGTCTTCTTGTTCCTTCATAATCATGCATGCGATGAGAACTCTCCAATCTCCTCCCTAGCGCCTTTCCGCGTCGGCGATCGCCTTTTCCCTCAGAAGCGCGCCCAAGCCGACCGCCATTGAGCCCAGCGCAGTCACAGTGGCTCCTGCTGATATGGTAGGCATCGAAGGGATGGAACCGACAGTGATGAGTACGGCGGCGAGGATGGTCATAGTGGTCGAGCACTCGTTCGTCAGTGAGTAGATCGCTTCCGACGCAGCGACGAGCCACAACGGAACCTGGGCAGTGATCTCGGTGGGTGGTGGCGGTGGTGGCGGTACGACGGGTTGTGGCTGCATGGGGCCCTTCATGACAGAGACAGTGCGAGCGATGAATGACGCCGACACCTCTGTCTGGTTCTTAGGCTCGCTCTTCTTGCCATCAGCTTTCGACACGGCAGTCGTCTTGACCACAGTCTTGACCATGACCTTCTTCGCGACTTTACGGGCGGGATTCGCAGGCGCAGTCTTAGCAGCGGGCTTGTCTGCAGGCTTAGGGGCAAGCCTGAACCATGCCAGAGGCTCTTTCACTGGCAAGGGCTCCAGCGTTTTCATGCTCTTGCCCTTATCGCTGCCTCTGCCAATAATCCACCACGTTCCTCCCGACCTTCGCTGCATCTTGATCGCCTCTGTCATCTTCGGGTCACCTGAAGATACAGGCAGAGTAAGCATGCCATTAAGCGCGTCGGAAATGATGGTGTGCCACTTACAGCTGATACTCCTCAGAGCAACCCCAAAACTCGACCACTTCCAATGCCACTTCTCTCCAGAGACGCAACGCATGACTTTCTCCACCTCGTCCAGCTTCCTCTTCACATCCTCGCTCATGTAGTGTCGTGCAATTTCGTGCCACCGCGTCTTCGGGACCTTCTGTGCAGCGCATGCCTCTGCTACCTTCGCGAGCCACGCATCGACGGGGAGATCCTTCTTGGGTTTGCCTTGGAAACGCGGAGGCGCCGCACCGGCGGGCCAGGATGCCAGCAGGGCCTCGACGGTCGGCGCCTCAGAAATAAATCGTGATTTAAATGCGCTGAGCATCCTGTGCTTGTGCGGCGCAGAGGAGAACGGTGATGGTGGAAGAGATGAAGGAAGAGAGAGTTGCTACAATAGATTGAGGCGATCATTGATATACTCGGTAACTTGTTAATCGATCAACCGGGTGGCCTTTCGCCGCGTTGCCGTCCTGGCCACTGGCTCGTCAGTCGGGGTAATCATGCCTCTGTGCAGGCCTTTCCCGAGGTGACAACAAGAAGTCAGGTACAATTCGGCTCAGCGACACACACGTGTTGCGCTCTGCAGGCAGGCGCTGCCCAGCCTATCTGTTCCTCCATAAGTCATCGTCAATCACAAAACTGCAGTGGTGCGTCATCGTTTGCATCTGGCCTACGACCTGGTAGCTGTGTTCATACAGTCTGGAAAGCCCGTCCCAAACAGTGGTGGACGCGCCCGTAACGTCTTTAAGCGGACTGCTATACAATCATCCGCATAGCAGATTGCCGATTGATCCGCCTTTCTACGACGCTGCTTCTGTGATCTCAGGTTGCAATCATGCAGTCTCTCCGTTGGACATGGTAGTACATGTCGACGATTGTAGTTGCGCGAGCGTTAGCGCAGTGGTTACATTTGGACGACACTGCTCTTTGAGTTCCGATCGCTGCCGATACACTGACTTCGCGATCATTTGTCGCGTGATCACTGATTAGTGCATCGAACTCACTACGTAATGACTAGCACAGCATTTCACATATCGCAAGGCATCATAGGTCGGGTCAAGCCAGATTGTGTCCGCGTCTGGAGTGGGCGAGACCAGGTAGGTAAGTATATGATGATCTCTCATGGTCTGTCATCTCACTTTCCTGCTATGTCGCGAGTCTACCGTCCTTGTCTGCAGTTGCTTACTTTTCCGCTTCAGAGCAGCGCACTATTGCGACGAGATACATCTCGATGGTTTGGTGTGAAACACACACAAATGCAGCAGCACTCCCAGTATGTCCTCTGCTCGTACTCATCCCCCGCTGTTAACGGAACATTGATGAACTGTCGCTTTTCATCGTGCATTTGATCACATATGTTCTGCCGTATCGACAGTTCTGCCTGGATACTCTAAAGGCGTCAAAAACCGAAAGCTCATTGAGACGAACTAGTCAGCAACTCTGCAAGAGGCGATGAGAGGAAGTGTCCGACTGTCCTTCAAGAGGTGCCACTCCACTGTTGACGCCCACACGTCAACAATGCTGTGCCTACCGCGAGCTTACGCGTTTCATTATGAAGAGAGTTTAGCCTTGGGGGCGTACGTCGGTGAGTTTTCCCCGAAAGAATTGCGCGCAGTCGAACAAGTGATAGTACATCGCCACCGGCGGGGAGCGTTTGTTGTTTCAGATGATATGTTTGCTGACATGTGCATGGACAGCTGCTACTATGGCGGCGCTTGTTATCAGGGCTGCCGCCGGGTTAAGCTATTCTGTGCGATCATTTGTTTCAAGTCTCCTAAGTAGTGCATCACTGGCTATATGTGCACATCGACATAGCCATTGATGGATATCATTGCGTGCTACGTCAGGGCTTCAGTGAGCGAAGCGCTGACGCCGGTTCAACGGGGCTCGCTATAAGGCTACATGCGTTCATGTCTTGGACATTGTAAGCGCGTCTCCTCACTAAGCCCTTGCTAATGATCCGAATTTCACTTCGGTCTCAGGGTCCCACATCCCATCGAAACCTATACGGGTCAAGCGCGACCAGTCTCCGGCAATTTCATTCGCTTCCACCATATAAATCGCGTCGTCCAGGAGCTTCTCTCTCTTTCAGTACCACCCACAATCTCCAACATCGAAAACCTCAGCATAATCGAACTATCATGTCCGTACTTCTAGGACCAGGCCCCGTCATCATCCCTCTCTCTGCTTGGGCAGAGGACAGCATCTCCGCCATATACAAGGCTTCCTCACAGTCCGCTTTCGACAGCGCTTTCGATGAATTCTTGCACAAGGATGCCCAGATCACGTTCAATGGAAAACAATTGACGAGGGATCAGTATCGAGAGCAGCTGCTGGAGGAACGAGTCCTCGAGCAGTCTGCAGACATCTCCTTCACCGGGGCAGTCGAGGTTCCTGCCAACAAGAATGATCCCGTCGCAGTACGTCCATGGTTCTCGACATCATTACGCGAGGCTGATATTTTTGATGCCCCAGGCGGGAAGCGTCGGCTTGTTCTACAAAGCCACGGTATACAAGACTATCAAGGTCTTCGGTGCATCGGCTTCCAGCACCGTCAACTCCTCGTTGAACGTTGTGTAAGATCATGCTTTATCTTTGAACAGCGTTCTTGGCTCACTCGTGTTTTCATGTAGAATCACTGACTCGAAGGGGGAAATTGCGAATCGCAAGGTTTTGGTGTTGAACCAAGTTTTGTTGGATGAAGCCAATCCAGTAACGCCACCTCATGGTGTCGTCAAGCCTGCGTGAGGAATCGACGTCAGTTGACTGGACTCTTGAACTCTTCTTGAGCCTCTGTAGCTGTGCTTCACAATTTTGCCATACTGTATGTATCGTTCACAACTAGTTGGAGTAGCATCGGGATTCGAAATGACAGCTTACATTAGTACTTGATGCCAATATCCGAGATTGGATGTGCCCATCAAATCCTGGTTGAGTCTGTCTATTGACAGCTATGGAAATGCGACACGCACACTCAGTAGCTGATCATGCGAATAAGCCGCAGAGGAGCGTGTCTCTTGGGTATTGGCAATTGCCAATTCTGCCTCCGAGAGTCGAAGCTCATTGACGCTGCTTTCCTAAAGGAGCATTCAACCCTACTCTCATGATAGCCGCCAACGCCATCATCATGCCAAACATTCATCGCTGCTCGTTCATCATCGAACGTATATGACACGGTCTGTGTCAATCTGTTTGTCACTCAGCAACAGGTTATACGCTCTCGGACCTTTCTATAGATTTCAAAATTGTTGGATTGTACTAGGTCCTTTCAGGATTGTCAGTATCTTATGATTCTTATCATCGCATTCGAGTCGTGCGAGCCAGAATTTGACTGTAACTGATGTCATTCTTCGTATTTACAGGATTCCAAATCTCATTGAGACCGATTGTGTCCATGAGAGGCCAGCGGACACCTGTTCTGCTATCAAGTCTACCCACAGAGCTATGCGACAGGATCATCGACTTCTTAGACGACGATCGGATGGCCCTCAGAACTTGCGCACTGACCTGTCGTGCATGGCTTTCATCCGCGCAGTACCACATCTTTTCTCATGTTCTCCTCGGAGAAGCCCAGATTCTCCAGGCATTCCACAGCCTGCTGCTTATATCTCCTCACCTCGGTATCTATGTGCGGTGTCTTGACATCGTAGCGCCGATCAAGAGCACGCCAGCGACGAGACTACGTGGGGTCTGGCTTGCTATCTTCCAACATCTAGGTTCTGTCAGGAAGCTGACAGTGAAAGGTTTCTTGCCGCACATGAAGGTGGAGGAAATTGCAATAATAGGGCCGGTCGTTGATCTTCACATCGTTGCCGAATCTGTCGATTATGCCATCTCCTTGCTGCGCTCATTTTCCACCGTTCGGACCATGACGATTATCCGCACTATCGATCGGCGAAAAGGGTCATTGGTGCAAGACGTTGTAGCATCATCCGCTTCGAGCCAACTCGACCTATCCGCTGCATCGACATTGATTGCGCATGATGTACCTTCATTGGTGGAGTTGAATATCTCTCTAGTATCCGCTGGTGCCGCCACGGCATTTCTCAATTTGATGCGTACTCAAAGTGCGTCCATCGAACGTTTACGTCTGGAAATCTGGTATCAGATTGACGAAGGTGAGTATTGAGCGGACACCTTTGAAAGATGCCGATGATGTAAATATGGGCATACCAGGAGACTCGTGGACATCTCTCCTATGCGATGGCCTATCGGCTTCTACATCGCTAGGCACTGTTCATTTTGTAGCCCCCGAGTCCCTCGCATGGGTCATCGAGGCTCTATCCGCCATTCCGTCCGACGTTACTAATATCACGGTGGATGGATATCCCACAAGCGAGACCGAGCTGGACGCTCTAGCGCGGTGCATGTCACTTGCGTATTTTCCAGGCCTGCAGAAGGTTGTTCTGAACATGTGGAACTTCTCCTTGGTGTCCTCAGCCATCACTAACATTGATTTGAGTGTGAAAAATATACAAGCCATGTTTCCAGAGCTACACACCCGCGGCATCCTCTCTGTGTCGGGTGGATGACTTGGAGGCTAGTGCTTACGCTGTCACTGCAGCCCATGAGGCTACTAGCCGGAAGGACTTGATGAAAGCCGCCAGTACCTGTCACGGATCGTTGCCCGTCCAGCTCGCTCATCGTGTTGTCTAGCTGGTTCGTTGTTTCACGACTGCTTCTCCTGGAAGCCGTTGTATTCTATACTGCTAGTATACAAGTGATTGATGTTCGACGTCCTGTACGTTATAGATAAATACGTGTGGATCATCGTAAAGCACCTGGATGTCGTAGATATCCTGCGTTCATCTAGACATAATCCCTCGACTCCTGGCCATCAGGGAGATGTGAGTGCTACGCTATGACCTCATCGGTGCGATCTCCATTTGCCCTTCGCTCTGAGCTCTTAGCCATGTCCCGAGGCCGACGGCCACAGACCCGAGTGCGTGAGCAGTGCTGCTCGCAAGGAAGGTACCGCCAACGCCAGCGGAAACAACCGGGAGAGCAGGTAGGGAGCCGAGGGTGATGAGCACTGCTGAGAGCGCAGTCATCGCTTTCGGGTGCTCATGGGTGATGGGAGCGAGGGACTGGCATACGTTGATGAGCCAGAGGGGCGCATGTGCGACAGTCGTCGTGACTAAGATAAGGTAGACGTTAGCATCCGCAGTGATTGTAAGTTTTCGGGTACTCACTCTCGCCGGGTGTCCCTACAGGTGTGAGGGGGGGAGTCGCGTCTCGTGGCGTCTTTGGTATACAGCTGTGCGAGGAGAACACAGATGATGTCAATGATGAGATAGATTGGATGGAACCGGTCGTGTTCGCGCGCTTGGGTACGGGTTTGCTCTTTCGAGTGGGGACATCCGTCGAGGATCTCGACTTCTGAGGCCTAGGTTTGGGCGGAGTAGCGGTCTTTGGTTCTTGGGAAGCTGAGTCCCCGCGCCGCCCTACTATCCACCAGAACCCGGATGGCTTGCTCTTCACTTCGATGGCCTCCGTCTTCGATGGGTCGATGTCCCCTGTGCGGCCATTTTAGCATTCATGATTGAAAGACGAGATTACGGCGAACACTCACAACCCATGTTACACATAGCGGTCTTGAACGACTTCCAGTTCCACCTGAACCTTCCGCCGTGCATGTTCTGCATCACTAGCTTCACGCCCTCGAGGCGCGCCTGTGCCTTGTCGCCCAAATAGTGCTGGCCAACCTTGTGCCAGTATTCCTTTGGCACCTTACGCTCGACACATCCCGCCTTGATCTGGGCTAGCCACTCGTCGACGGGAGGATCTCTCTTGGGTTTCCCAAGAAAACGGGGAGCGTCCTTCCAGGACGCGAAGACAGGCTGGAGATCGAAAGGTTGAATCTTGAATGCGTCAAGCATCGAAGAGAAGGTGAACGAAGAAGAACGAGAAGACTGTAGTCACTTCAAGGCGAGTTGTCGTACGCATTCCTTGCCTAACGAGCAGTCTTATATAACCGTTCAGCCGCCTCGCCTGTACAACGAGCCCCCGGCTGCTAAAGGATTTAGTATGGGAACCCATAAGGTTTGATGCGACAAACAATCACGGGAATTGGATCCACACCATAGTGGTTTCAACGAGATTCAGACGCGCCGATCTGGAGGTCTGCCCAGTCGCAATGCGCCAGAGCCGTGTTCGGAGCGAGCACCGCTGTACGCCTCGCTGTAAACACGCGGTCTCTCTGAAGGTACGGATGGTTCTCGGCTTCGCGTGTTGTGAAGAGCAGTGACCCCAGAACATGTTATCGTAAGCACCGGACACGAGGACGTTGCGGAACCTACCGCAGCTGAAGCTGGGTCTCGGGCCAGATTCGCGGAAGTCAGGGGACCTAGAATCAAGTCACCGACCAAGGTTGACGAGGAGAAACCAATGCTACATGACTGATCTGATCGTGAGGGAGTGTCCGCATTACTTACTTTGAGGATCGACATCACAGGAGGATGGATGATAATAAAGGAAAGGCCCGCACAGTGAAAAAAATCATCATCATCGCCTGCGAACAAGCGCCAATACATTCTTGGAGATATCCGACAGTCATGCGAGTCTGATTCTTTGACGACTGTCGGGACAACGCCGTCACTGTCTACGGACATTCGTTCGTCTAAATCAAGTAGTCGTGAAAAGTGCATAGACGTCCAAGATCACCATGATGTAATGCCGGGTCCTGGCCAGATTGGACGCAATCAGACATTCTCGCCGCGACTTCTCGCCTCTGCCAGACTGAGCTCAATTGCAAACTTTAACTCTTCGTCTTCCTGGTCCTCGTGCAGAGGTGCCTGAACGCCATTACTTGTCTGTCGCCCAAATCCAGCTGCAATCAATGAGGGACCAGTAGTGGACCAAACGACATTGTCAGGGGCCATGTGATCGCTAACATCGCCAATGCTTGAGGATGTATTCGTATGAAACGATGCAGACCTCGAAGAATGCCGCGAACGTAAGGGGATGCTCCATGCACTGCGGTAAGAACTGGGACTGCCCGAGCCGGAGGCCGAGAAATGGGTGGCGTCAGGACTGTATGGACTGCTGGGAACTGAGACACCAGCAGAGGATGGCGTGCGGCTTATGGCGGGGAATTGATCCGGGTCCGATGGGGGTGGTACTGACGTGAAACCCTGTGTGTTGAAGGAAGAGGACACAGAGCCGCTCGAGGGGCTAGCGCTGAAGCCAGCTGCCATCGGCTCCGGGACCGGACGCGGTGAGACACAAACTTTGCGGTTCATAGGGGCTGGCAGTGTCGGACCCAGTGAGTGCCCGCTTGCCGTGACACTTGAGGTGTCGCGTCCCGGAAGTGAACGCGTTCGGGAGGACGAAGCAAGGTTTGAGTCGTTCGTCAGAGAAGCATCAGATCCTGAAACGGGCATCTGGGCGTCGTCAAAGTCGTCCATGAACACACCATCAATGTATGCCGCATCGGATGATGCTGAGGCGAGGCTTTCTCTACGGCGCTCTTCTTCATCCCGGCTGAGCATTAGCACATATTCGACTGCTTCTACCTCGCTCAAGCCGAGATGCTCTAAGGTGGACCGCTGCTCTCTTTCTCGCCCAAATGCACGGCGCATGTACGCTTGTTCCTCCTCGAGGTCTCGACGTGACTCCGCGATATCGTGGTGCATTTCCAATTGCTCTGATGTCGTCGAGATCAGTGTGTGGGCTCCAATTGCACGCATAAACCAGCACTTACGTTGCCATTTTGCCAGCCCCGAATGCCTTGCAGCCTTGGCTTGCTTCCCCTTCCCATGGGCTTTATCCTCCACGCGACCTGCATGAAACGCCGTGACCTTGCTTCCGATAGACGCCAGCAGCACATCTCTCTCCATTAAAATTTGCAGAACGCCGTCATGCTCGACATTGGGCGCTGGACGAGGCGCTGACGATGCGAAGGTGCGAAGAAGGGCAAACGAGATTGAGTCCCAAACTTTTAGACTCCCGCCCGACGAGCCCGATATCAGCACAATAGGGTTCCAAGCTAAAGCGGTGACAGCGCCGTCTTCATGCGCCTCGAATTTCTGGTAGGGTAAAACAGTGCCTTTCACTGGATCAGGTCGAGCATCCCAATCGAAGATACTGATGCAGCCGAGCTTGTCGCCCACGATAACAAAACTCGACTCTTCATCTTGGGTAGCGAATACTGGATTGAGAGAGGTTATGTATCCGGAAGAAGTGTCGCCAAACGCGACATACTCCACCGCGGCAGTAGACAACTCCACAATGATGCGTTCAAAGTAGCATTCATTCTTGTGAGATGTCAAAATGGAGAGCTGCCCGTTGCGGGAGAACGTCAGACGTAACTCGGATAGTTCCCTACTAGGGTGGACCTCATTGCTGGGCACGGATACTCCGTTATTGCGCGTTCTTGAGATGCAGACTTTGTGAGGGTGATCGGAATGGGCAACCTTCCCCTGTTCATCGGATACGCACGAATTGACTCCGGACCACACGACAATTTCGTTGCTTTCCATCACACCAACGACGACTCCGTGAGCGCTGTCGATGGCCACCTTGATACACGGATCAGCGATGAGAGATGGGCTCTTCTCCGACGTCCACAGACAGTTCACCCTCTTCGCGTCCCATAGCTTCATGCGCCCGTCCGTCGCGCCCGTCACAAATGCCGTCGGACATTCCGTGCTTGTCCACGCGATATCACGCACTGTTCCCTCGTGGCATTCGTCTAGTCTGCAGCGCACATGTTGTGCCGACGACGGACGCGCCTCATCCATCGCACGGTTTGCAACCGTTACTGCCACTTCGCCGTTACTGAAACCCCAGGCAACCCGGGCCGTGCGACCTTCGCTCGCAAGCGCAATTGCACTAACAAGCGGGGAGAACTCTGCGTTCGGGTTGCCGTTTCCCACCCCATTTGCCGTCCCCGCTGCGTCTAGATAGCCGCGCAGGACCTTCCCACGTAAGGGATACGAGCGCGCAACAACGCCATAGTGAAGTGAGGATGTAAGCAATGTCGTTGATGGCATCAGATGCATGGCGGTGATGCTTGAGTGCGCAGGGATGTGCGTCACTGGTTGATTACGGGACCGCTCCCAGCGTCTGTTCAAAATGGTTTGAATATGTAAGCCAACGAAGTGCGTAAGCAGCAGCAACGAAATATGCAGCTGTCTGGAGTGACGCAAAAGTCGCCCATGAGATGTTCATTACCATATACCCCTTGCCCAAGAATCGCCGCAGTAAATGCACTCGTGAATGACGAGCAGATGTCAGGTGGTGCATTACAGATTGCAGAATGAGATCCCATCAAGTGCTGAACTGCCCCACATACGTATTCAGGGAAGTGAAGAATGACTTCTGATATCCGTTGATCATTCAGATAGACACTCGCTGAAGCATACGCCATCATAGCGAGAAGGGAACCTGTCACACTGTTAAGCTCGAAAGGCATAGATTCAAGCTTGCGTGCCGAAGCTCACAGTGCACCCAACATGCGAGCATTCTAACGTGAAATGACTCGAGCTCGACGCTCTTGACGCATCGGAACCCAGATATAAACGCTGTTATCAACATGAAATACGAAGAGAATGCTTCATTTCCGGTATCAACAGCTCCGTGGATCCAACAAGAACATGATAGGCAAAGAGATGCTTTAGAATGCAAGCATGACGGATCAGAATGGAACAGTTCAGCGATCAGCCGTGCCATGAGCGATGGCTTCGCCCATGCTTGACACAACGGGAAAACACCGTCGGCTTCTGGTCGCGAAGCAGAAAATTTTCTGCAACGCTAAAGCCTCATTACACTAACTGCCAGGGATCACGCATCACATAGATGCATCGGGCCCGAAAAGTGCAGGAGAAGCTGCGAAATAAACGTACCGCCTCAAGTTGAACCTCAGCACGAATTCTCGCCTCCAAGTGCTTTCTTCACGGCGAAGCATAAGCGTCCTTCCATCGCGAGCGTCGCGCAGGTCGGTTTCAGGTGAGATGCCGAGGAACTGGTAGACGTAGGCACGGCGCCATGTGTTGTCGTCCTTCACGTGGGCGTGTAGTTGCTTGTTCGCCCGAGAGAGAGCGAATAGCGCAGCGGGATCAAGCGAGGATGTGATATGAGTGAGTGATTCCGACGGAATACGGAGCAGCGGGCCTGTGCCATTAGGGGAGCCGCCGAGTGGTAGTGCTTTAGATTTTCCATGCTGTGCTGTGCGGTGAGTGTGCGAGGTTGTATGTCTTGTGCGGGCTGCGTCTCTTTTGTTATGAGCTTCGCTGGACCTACTGGGCATAAAAAGAAGTTGCGAAAATGGTGTGGATGCTGTCGCAGACGATGGCCTGCGATGGTGGTGGTTGAGGAGAGAGATCTGTGTTGGCCGGATTTGGCAATGGCGGCTCTAAAGATACGATGGAGGCGTCTTGAATGGTACATCATTAACTCATCAACTAATGCGAGCCAGCTCATTGTGGATTTTGCTCTTTTACTGGCAGACACAGAACCTAACGGAAATTTATGACGTGCAAAGAGAAGTGCGAAATCCGACTGTCATCATATCAACTTAGATATTTCAAGCTGCCAGCGAGCAATTAATTCCACTCCGATGAAGACTACGGTATGCACGAAATGAGGGCTAGAAATGAGTTCAGGTAGAATTGATGGGCCTTGTCTTATGACCTGTTTATACAATGCGTCTGTCCGTCATCGCTCGTACAATACATCCAGTCCCAGCAGCTTCCGTCAACTGCAATAGAGTCAGAAAGGAGAGTCAGCGACGGTCATAGAGAAAATGTAGCAGAATCATGCACCTTCTCATGCCAACCTAGTAGTACGCTGCCACTAACATCGCCCCAGCCGGGCATCGCCATGCCCTTGTACAGGTACTTCATGAGCGTGTCTTGCGTATCCGTCGAAAGCGACTTGACGACACCGGGTATTTCAGTAGCTTTAGTGCTGTTCAGAATGGAGACTAGGGTCTGTAGTGTCAGGTTCTGCATCATGTCAGCAAGTTCCTGCGAGGCCGATGGATAGCGCATCGTAACAGTTGCGCATACCTTCGCCTCCTCTACATTCGGGCCGTACGGGGCATTCTCGAGAACTGTAGTCAACGCCCCGGTGATATCTCCTCTATATGCATGGCAGAGTGAGGACCTACAAGTAGGCAGCGAACGAATACTCACTTCGCCAACGAAGTCCGTACCGCAGCTGCCTTTTGTTTCGCATCATTCACAACCTGCGCCGGATCCCGCAGGTCGGGCTCGTAAAGCTCACTTTCCAGGAGAACATCCTCGTCGTATTGGTCAATGTCGATCTTTCGGAAGTTGATATCCATGGTCTGTGTGGCTGCAAGTTGGCTGCAAGTGCTAGCATTATCATTAAGAGGATCACACGTGATGGTTCCCACAGTTACAATGGTTAGCTCGCCACCGGAGACTCAGAAAAGAAGGCGCTCAGCGGCCTTCGCTTACTACTACATAGCCTTCTGTGAGAACAGTCAACGACAGAGGCTCATGCGTGAGTCTCGTTTATACTTAAACCCTTGCCGTCCGTTGACCACTCGGCAATCCGTCGTACGCAGATGTGATATCATCATGGCTGCTGCAACAACGCATGCAATGAGCAATCCTGATCTCGTCCGCGAGATCATACAATATCTATCTCCTAAAGGAACTGAAGGCGATGTCACAAGGACAAATATACATGCTCTAGTGTGCTGCTCTCGCGTGAACAAGACGTTTTCAGTCAACGCCTTGGATCTCCTCTGGGAGCAGCTCGACTCCCTCCTTCCTGTCTTGAAGTTGCTTCCATCATTCGTGCTGAAGGAACGCCACTTGCAAGACGAATTGACCGACTTTTCTGACGACGAAGAGGATACTGAGACCGACATGGATGACTATGAACTGATTTACGTGCGTGTCTTTTGATGGTCCATTACTCAAATACTAAGAGAAATCATTCCGTCAGTACTTACAGGACATACCCACAGCACAGGAATGGGCTCACCTCCAACAATACGCGGAACGTGTACGCTTACTCGAGCTCAACAGCGAAAGCTCGACCCTACCCGCTGTTCTCTCTCTGTTGTACTACCATAACGGAGGTCGATTCATTTTACCTAGGCTGGAATGTCTCGACTGGCGAATCACCTCAATCAGCAGCAGCACCGTAATCCTGGCTCTAGTCCCAACTTCCTTACGCACCCTCACCATTGACTTCCTGGACTTTGCCGTTAACCTCGTGGACGACACGGTTGAGGGCGACCCGTGCGAAGCAGCAACAATCGGGATGTTGTGGCGGTTCATTGTCGCCGCCGTTCCTGGATTGGAAGAAGTAACACTGCTAGATATTCCTCCATCTTTCGAATTGATGCCAATCATCAAATGCACTCAACTACGCTCATTGAACCTCGGTGACGGACAACGTATCGGCGTGGATGGTATCCTGTGGAGAGCTTTATCTTCTTTGTCGGCCCTTGAAGCTATAACAGGCAACTTCAACTTGCTGGAGGACCTTCATGAGGGCGAGGAAGGATTCTTTGCATTGCGAAAACTAGCGCTCTGTGGCTGCGTCAGAGACGTGAATTGCCTCATAGATACCATATCTTCTCGACACTTGGAGTATTTCTCCTATGAACTTCCTTATGACGAGGAGAATCTCACGGCCTACCTTCTACTCTTGACAAACGTCTGCACGAAGTTCGGTGCATCGTTACGAGTGTTCATGACAAACATCACATTCGATGCTGCCTCAGTGGCATCCCTCAACTCTTTCGGGCGTGTTATGCAGCCGTTATTTTCCTTGCGCACCCTTGAAGATATATCCTTCACATTCCACGGATGCAGCCTTCCGTTATCGGACAAGGATATGCGCGAGATCGCCAAAGCGTTTCCAGAACTCAAAGCGTTCACCCTCATTGTCACCGATCGCATGCATGAAACCGTCCCGTCCATCGAGGCGTTCATGGAATTCGCGCGACGCTGTCCCCGCCTCAAATATCTACGGCTCCCTGCGATACACTTTGCGAATCTCTCGACAAAACGAAAATTTAGGCATACCTCTCACGGACTACAGCGTCTGATAATCGGGCAGCCTGGATTTCGCATGCAAAAGCCCGGTGCTGTGGCACGCTTCCTTGATGCTGTATTCCCGAACATGGAGGCGGACGAGACGCTTCATGGTTTCACGGATTCCGTCCATGACACTTACGGCTGGGATACAGTCGTGCCCCTGCTGAAAGCACGTCAAGCGTCGCGACGCTCTCGGCAGTCCAGAGAATCCGAACTCAAGGACGATAGTAAACGTGAGCATCTTCCTACTTGCCGTTACTTGACGCCGGAGAACGAAGCACATTAATGGATAATAGGATACATTGCTTAGTATTCACGTGCTATGCAAGTCTTCAGTCCTCATCGTACCTGGTCGAGGACGTTCATGCTGCCCTTCCCTTCTTGTGACATACCATAAGGCGTGATTGATTCTCTGTTCGTACCATTCATCTCCGCTATCTGTTCGTATATAAGGTGCTACCTGTCAAGTTCAATATATCGCAACATGTTGAAGAACTATGGGAGCGCTGGTCAACGTGTAATCGGTTCGAACCTGTTAGAACTTACGAAACTGGAATCTTAGTGACTGCGCCATCCTACTGATCGACCTTTGAAGAGAGCTCGTTACCAGCAGGGAACAATTATTCTGCTATCGTGCGGTGCGATCTGAGACGCATGGAGCTGATGGGCATGGATTGACATCGCTTCCAAGGTCCAAACTCAAACTTATCCCACCGATGCGCGAACACGACCACGCGATATTGCGAAGCTACTGTGCTCCGCGGGACGGCGTTGATTTGCGAACATGGGGCTAACGTTGAGCATTCACATGCATCGCAGAGTGAGGACCTACAGGTAGGCAGCGAACGAGTACTCACTTCGCCGAAGTCCGTACCACAGCTGCCTTCTGTTTCGCGTTATTCATAACCTGCGCCGGATCCCGCGGGTCGGGCTCATAATGCTCACTTTCTAGGAGGACACCCTCGTCCTATTGGTCAAATGTCGATCTTTCGGAAGTTGATATCCATGGTCGCAGTGTAGGTGTGTGGCTGCAAGTGCTGGTGTAACTCCATTGTCTTTGAGAGGATCACACGTGATGTTTCCTACAGTTACTGTTGTAATCTGGGCGCGGAGCCCGGATAAGTGAGGCCCCGGTGCGACCAGCGCCACCGGCGTGGGAGCCTAAGTAGCGCGCGTGTATATAGTAGGACGCGGCTACAATGAGACGGGCCATCGGTTTGGCCCCGTGGAGCCATCTTCTAGAGAGCGGGCGACTCCCGAACTCCTGGCCGCGCAGCGGGCTGGCCGGGAAACTCAACAGTTACAAAGACCGTGGACGTGAGGAAGACTATATAAGGCGCTCAGCCTTCGCTCAGCCGTCGCTCAACCGCATTGCATCCAGCTCGTCGACTAGCTAGCAACTTTCAGGAAAACTTGGTCATTTTAGGCTGTCTGTGAGAAAGTCAAAGACAGACACTCTTGCGTGAGTCTCGTTTATACTTTAATACTTGCCCACCGTTGACGACTCGGCAATCATCCGTCGTTCGCAGAAGTAGTAATAGCGTCATGGCTGCTGCTGCAGCAACGCATGCACTGTGCAACCCTAATCTCATCCGCGAGATTATACAACATCTATCTCCTAGAGGAACCAAAGGTGATGTCACGAGGAGTAATATACGGGCTTTAGCGTGCTGCTCTCGCGTGAACAAGACGTTTTCAGTCAACGCCTTGGATTTCCTCTGGGAGCAGCTCGACTCCCTCCTTCCTGTCTTGAAGTTGCTTCCATCATTCGTGCTGAAGGAACGCCACTTGCAAGACGAATTGACCGACTTTTCTGACGACGAAGAGGATACTGAGACCGACATGGATGACGATGAACTGATTTACGTGCGTGTCTTTTGATGGTCCATCCCTCAGATACTAAGAGGAATTATTCCATCAGCGCTTACGTGACATACCCACAGCACAGGACTGGGCTCGCCTCAAGCAATACGCGGAACGCGTACGCTTGCTCGGACGTATCAGCGAAAGCTCGACCCTGACCGCTGTACTCTCTCTGTTGTACTATCATAACGGTGGTAGACCTATTTTGCCTAGGCTGGAATGTCTCGACTGGCGAATTACCTCAACCAGCAGCACCGGAATCCTGGCTCTAGTCCCACCCTCTATACGTACCCTTACCATTGTCTTCAGCAACGTCACCATCGACTTCGTGGACGACACGTTTGAGGATGATCCGTGCGGAACGACAACGATCAGAATGTTGTGGCGGTTCATCGTCGCCGCCGCTCCTGAACTGGAACAATTAACGCTGTTTGATATTCCTCTATCTTTCTAATTGATGCCAATCACCAAGTGCATTCAACTACGCTCGTTGAAGCTCGGTTATAGACGACACATTGGCGTGGATGGGACCCTGTGGAGAGCTTTATCCTCTTTGTCGGCCCTTGAAGCTATCGAAGGCAACTTCAAATTGGTGGAGGACCTTCCTGAGGGTGAGGAAGGCTTCTTTGCATTGCGAGAAGTAGCGCTCTGTGGCCGTGTCAGAGACGTGAATCGCCTCATCAATACTATATCTTCTCGACATTTGGAATCTTTCTCCTATCAATCCCATTTTGTCGAGGAGAATCTCACGACCTACCTTATACTCTTGACAACCGTCTGCACGAAACTCGGTTCATTCTTACGAGTGTTCAAAGCAAGAATCACATTCGATGCGGCCTCCGTGGCGTCCCTCGACTGTTTCGGGCGTATTATTCAGCCGTTGTTTTCCTTGAGTACCCTTGAAAATATAACCTTCATGTTCTACGAAAACAACCTTCCATTATCGGATAAAGATATGCGCGAGATCGCCAAAGCTTTTCTAGGACTAAAAACATTCACAATCATCACCTATCGCATGCACGAAATCGTCCCGTCCATTGAGGCGCTTATGGAATTCGCTCGACACTGTCCACGCCTCGAATATCTACGGCTCCCTGCGATACACTTTGCGAATCTCTCATCAAGACGAAAATTCAGGCATACCTCGCACGGACTAGACGTCTTATGATTGGGCAGCCTGGATTTCGCATGCAAAAGCCCGACGTTGTGGCCCGCTTCCTCGATGCTGTATTCCCGAACATGGAGGCGGATGAGACGATTCATGATTTCGCAGTTTCCTATCACAACACTTTTGGCTGGGATACAGTCGTGCTCCTGCTGAAAGCATGCCAACTGTCGCGACGCTCTCGGCAGTCCAGGGAATCCGAAGTGAAGGGACGATGGTAAATGTGAGCATCCGAGTCTTTCTACTTGCCGTTACTTGACACCGGAGAACGAAGCACATTAATGGATGATAGGATCCATTGTTTAGGATTCGCATGCTCTGCAAGTCTTCGGTCCTCATTGTACCTGGTCGAGGACGTTCATGCTGCCCTTTCCTTCTTATGACATACCATAAAGCGTGATCGATTCCGTGCTCTCACCATTCATCTCCATGGCCACTATCTGTTTGTACAATAGGTGCTACCTGTCAAGTTCAATATATCGCAACATGTTGAAGAACTATGGGAGTGCTGGTCAACGCGTAATCGGTTAGAACCTGCTAGAAATTATGAAATTGGAATCCTACCGACTGCGCCATACTACTGATTTCTTGAGAAAGATCTCATTAGCAGCAAGCTGAACGCACTGGCATGGTGCTGATGCGTATGAAATGAGATCACTTCGTAGGCCCGAATTTAAAGTCAAGACATTGCCAAGCCGCCACTCCGTGGGAGTCCACGGGACGGCGTTGATTTTCGAACGCGCGGCTAACGGCGAGCATCCTGGTGCAACTTACTTGGGTGGAGTTGGCGCGGCCGCGCCGGTTCCAAATAACAGGTCGGAAGACTGATATATGTACATAATAAGTATAGAAAGAAAACGGTGTGGTGATCTGTTGTATAGTAGAGGAAAAAGCGACGGGACCTGTAGCAACGGAGGTTACGATGGCATACAAAGATTTTCGCGGAGCGGTATAAATTACGCTGGGCAGATTGCCCCAGAAAGTGGGGCAGGCGATGAAATGGCGTATGAAAGTAAATCATACAGATCCACGGCGACACGCCTCGAGGAACCGAGTCACTTAAGAACAAGAGAGAAACGAAAGCATCGAGTGAAAGCGCCAGGGAGGTGGGCGGTACTAATTTAATGGTCTAAAACATAGAGCAAAATGGTGGCGTCTCTGTCATGCGCGTGCAGCAAATCCACGGAAGCGGCGGTCGTGGATTCTAGGTGGCACGACCGCCCGGTTTGTCTACCATCGTGGTACCACACACTGCCATCACTGGCGATGAACTGGCAGGTGAAGTGGAACCCTCCGGCGTAGACGATTCCTGCGAGCGAGTAGTTAGCATCTCCACGATCAGTTGTTAACACACACGTTCTCTGTACTTGAATGATTGGCTGGCCAGGTATCGATCCTGACTGTACTTCCAGGGCAAAAATGGCAGGGGCCCGATGAATCACGATCCGACTCTCAGTGTACCCATGACAAGCTTGACAACGGGAACCACGTCATGCACGGAAGAGAGTGTGCATGCATTGGGATGTGGTCTGTGTGGATGGTCGCGGTTCGACGTCGTCCCAATGAAAAGGATAGATGCTGAATGAGACGTTCGCAATCGGCTGGAGCATATGATTTAATGGGGTGGCTTCCGGGCATGTAAGGCATGTAGACACTAATGAGCAGGTAGTTGGATCGACGGTGAAGAGACGTTCCACGAGGTCAGATGCTGCGCACCCGACAGGGCCAGAGCGAGGGAAGGACTGCGGCTCGAGAGATGAGAGACGGTCGCGGAGAGCATTTCGTGCTAGTTCCAAGAAGCGACGATCAGCTGCGCACGATCGAAAGCTGACCTCAACGTGCTGCAGCAGGGCACTGGCTGACGCAATGCGGGAAAAAAACTGTCCGCCTCTGTTGGCATAGATGTTCCACAGGACAGTTAACACCGAATCGTAAGCGCAGCTCCAATTCTGCCGGTCCCAGATCAGACCGGATGGAGGAGTTGCAGAGGGAACGCGATTCGAAGGCGTAGCACGTTCAGACCCGAGCAGTACAAAGGAAGATCCGTGTTTGGCAGAAGACGAAGTGGTAGGAACAGAGATGGACGTGATCGTTTTAGCGCGCTTCGCGGGGAGCGATGAGGGAGGAAGCCAGTTATCTTCGGTACGTCGTTTCGAACGTTCGGGCCGGTTACTGTCCGCTGCGAGATCTCTTTTAACCTTTTTGCCCAGTAATTGCCAGTGCGGAGGTTCAGGGGGAGGCAGGAGAGACGAGATGGGCTCTTGTGACCAGTCAAGAAGCTGTTCCACATTATAAGGAACGTATTGACATCCGTTTGTGGCCTGAAAAGTCTTGACTAATGATGCCCGCGTGCAACCGCTGATAGAAGGGGGAAGCGCATCTTCCAGATGCAACCGAGTGATTTCATCCAGAATCTCGAGCTCTCGGAACTCTCGTCTAAGAGCACCATTCAAACCGCCAGTGATCTTGGAGTCATCGATGCCATCGAGAATCAGCATACCTTTTAGAGATGCACTGCATGCCAGGCAAGTGTACAGTGACTGGTGCCCCTTGCAAAAGCGAAGATGGCACGGATTGTGTGAACGTGTCCGCCCCTGGCATCCAAAATCGGTCATCGCGAAATTGGGGAGCACGTTTGCCTGCGAGCGATCAATGTAGACCACACAATCGTTGGGAAGCGTACATTTGATATGTGTCTTTGCACGGACCAGGGGAATTACATTCGGTGGGAGATCGGGAAGCTGAACTACCTGAGGAGGATTCTTGAGACGGACGAATAACGTGTCCAGTATGTCATGTCCATCTGCATCCTGGTGTGAATCCCAGCTGAGCACATAAGCCTCCGCACCATTGGTTGCACATAATTCGGTTGCCTCGTTGTTTTTCAGCATAACCGGCATGTCTCTGCACAGTGTCAGAATACCTGCACGGTGAGCAGTAAGGGAAGGGGGCAGTGCCCAGAGCATTTCCTGGATTCCTGGTAAGACATCACCAGAGGATCGATTAGGATCGACAGCTCGTTGTTGCAATCGCTGAGTCTGTCGTAGTGAGTCACTCGAACGGACATTGGACCAGGAATCAATGGAATGAAATCGCACCAGCTGTTGCCCATTCTCTGTAGCAAAGCGACGTGAGCTCACTTCATTGATAGCGTCTCGGTGACTGTTCAGGGCAGTGATAATAGATATGTTCCGAGAATTGGGATCGGACATTAAGTGATGTAAGCCGGCGGAAGTGACAACACGCGTTCGCAATAACGCGATGTCTTCGGGCGTACAGGCCTTCAGCCTCATGTTCTGCAGCGCTTGGCGAAAAGCACAGTCTTCAGGCGTCAATCCCTGTTGACGCATGTTACGTCTCAAAATAACAACCGTTGTTACTTGATGCCATAGTGCTTTACCTAACACAGCCTGCTGGGCATGTAATGAATGGGCAGATGACCATGCACCAATGCTGTTTGAATACAATGACGAGGCACCCCTTCCGGCAGGGGGTAATTGTGCAAAATCACCTGCGAGAATGACCCCCAAGCCACCAAACGGTTTGTCGGTCACGCCGAGCGCCTTAGAGATTTGAGCACTGATACGATACATATCCGTACATGAAACCATGGAGATTTCGTCAATGAACACCACATCTACGTTATCTAGACGCTCACGGACCTTGGACAACACAGCGGCGCTTGAACATCCAGCATGGTCTGAGTTATGGTTGAAACCAAGGACAGAATGATAAGTAGAGCCAGAGATTACACATGCAGCAGAGCCTGTGGGAGCAAGAAGCATAAGACGAAATGATTCTCCACGTTTAGTCAGGAAGGAGGACACAGCTCGTATGACTTGGGATTTTCCCGTCCCACCAGGTCCTTCGAGATACATTTGCAATGGATGTGTCTCTCTGTGAAGGAGCCAGCGAGAGATAATGCGAAATGCACGTTCCTGTTCAACATTCAGACTAAATGACTGTAATATGCGAATTACAAGAGCGATCGTACTGTCCTCAATTGACAGCGGGATTGTTGCATGGCCCGGAGGTGGACGTGGTGATGAACTGTTTGTCAAGACGATGACGGAATCAGGAACGAAGCAGTTTAGCATTTGCCCATTAACGGTGACATGGTGGGAAGAGGACTTATCCACAGGTGTCACCCGAGATGCCGCAACAGATCTATTGCGAATGACCTGTTCTCTCGCCATCGACAACGATGCTTTCCAGTCAGACATGGATCTACAGGGAATGATGTCATGGGTCCCAGTATTGTCAACGTGCTTAGGAGCGATGGCGAAGTCCATGTTTAATGCGTGAAGCAATGTATGCATGCTGGTCATTTGAGACTTGATCCTTGCAGTTAATCGACCTTCGCATGCCAGCGAGTCATGCAAGGAGTTGAGCAGCTGCTCCTCAGTAATGTTAGAGAGAACATTGTTCTCGAAGTGCTCCGCATCCAAGTGGGAAACGACTGTAGGATCGAGAGCATCAACACCGAAGGAAAGACTGGCATCTGCAGCCCGCTGGGCCGCGAAGTCATCGCGAGCATCGCGGCACTCATACAGAACGTTCATGTTGGCCATGATCTGCAGATGTTCAGGTGCGAACGTAGTGCGATGAAAAACTGCGTCCCAGGTCTCTGTGGGTAATTTGACATCGTTCGCACATCTCCAACCTCCGGGAACGAAAAATGTCAGCATAGTCTGGCAGTACTCCTCACGGTCACCTTTATCATGCCGAGGAAGTGGTTTGCCGATAAAGTCCAGCACATAATGCTTTGAGAGTTCAAGGAAGACGACGGCATGCGTCTGACGCAATGGATGGCCTCGGAATAGACGGTGACTGCTAGCGTGAGTTTGTGAACATCGAGTGTCGTCTTCATCGATGCAGTCGTTGTCCGAATCAGCACTTGAATCGTCCGATGAGGGAGGAGACATTGCAGCAGAGCGTCGTGGAAGCTTGACAACATCAGTCATGGTAAGGTAGTCATACAGACAGTAATGACTAAAGAACGCAGGGCGGTATACATAGTCGTATATCTTGTTTAGTGGAACGATATTGTTGCCGGCTCGACCTATAACCACACGATCACTATCAGCACTGACATTGTGCTGTTCGTGCTCACCGCGGGGTGAGGTGCCGGACTCACTGAAGACGTCGCTGGTCCTGGTTGCACTGCCGTCAAGAAAGCGGACATATGGGGACCAGAAGAACTTTTTGAATGAGATATTTGTGTAATGGTCACCGAACCCAAGCAAATATGCACATACCATTGGAGCACCGATTTCCATCTTCGCAGTCAAGTTGTTGACCACTTTCGTCACAAGAGATCGAGCAACGTCTTCTCGAGGGCCAGCATTACTGATAGCCTCTGTGTTGCGGTCGAGCACCGACCGGACACTTTCAAAAATAGAGTGTGTATTGAGCGGACTTTTTGTTACATAGTCTGTTATGTAGGCAATTATCGCACGCACTTGTGTGCCAGACAACAGACAGGTAATGTCAGTGTTACACCTCAATGCAGAGGACAGAACTGGGTTGAACGTATTCAGCCAAGGTTCGGTCTTTTTAAATCTGATGGCACCGGTTTCCTCATCTACGACTGTTTCGGGCCTCGTTTCTCGAGGAAACCGGGCACGACAAGAACTTTGAACATCAGCTTTGCATCCTTTGAAGCGTTTGGTCTGCAAATGACAATGATGACGATTGGAAAGGTACACGACGTCATCAGAGTCGAGTAACAGCTGTTGATAGGCAGCATCAACGTCTTCGACGGAGGAACTCACGGATGGACGAGGACCGAGGACGGTGGTTGCGTTGCGATGTTCTGATTCATCACAGTCTGCATCATAGCCACGTGCAGGCATACGGGAGGCTACATCTGATGAAGTCCCTGTAGAAAAATCACCCTGATGACAGCTCTCAAGCCATGCAAGCAGCTCGTCACGAAAAGTGGGATCTTCCAGCACTCGGGAGCGCACCTCGGAAGGGCTCAATGAGTGAGCTATCCAAAGTAAAAGATGTAAGTGTAAGGTTTGTCGCCCTTGCGATTCGACAGTACCGTAATATGCGGACGTTGGTCCGAACAAGCCGTTGCAATCAGAATCCGCACGCAAGATCTTGGATATGAAGGTCATGACCATGAAATGGAAAAATCTAGCGCAAGCGACAGGATTGTCAGCTATCATCCAAAGACGGGATGCATAGTCAGGAAACCGACTGTCCTTGCTAAAGACATCGATGTTTTCTCCGCAATAGTATAGACAGAGAGGATGATTAACATCCACTGGTGAAAAGGTGATGAAAAACAGTGGAACGTTCCGTGCAATTATAAGAGACCTGATCTCGCTCCGAAGCTGCTTCCTCTTAGCTGACGATCCATCAACATGTCCGGCGACGTAGTCAAGCACGTTAAGCAACTCGAAGCATCGTCTTTCGTCATCATCCTGGGGGGACAGATGCCTGATGTTGGTCGAGCGATCAATTAAGCATTGCAGGGTAGAGGGGTTCAGCGACAGGATAAGCTCAGCGACAGACGAAAAATTCTTGCGTTCCGTTAGCAAGTAGCCGCCACGGGAAGATGACCTGATCTGATCATGATTGAATGCAACGAAAGGAAAGAAGTAATCAGTCTGAAATCGTCGGTCAGCATAATGCAACAGGTGACGAACATGCACCTTACGGTCGATTCGGGTCCGTTGTGACTCGTTGTCGAATCCGCCCAGCCCATAAGGGAACAGCCACGGGAACATACCCGGAAACAGCCGCGGGTTATGATAGATGCTCTCAGGGGTACCGCTGTGACCAACTCCTAGTACACCTCCTCCACCGGAGAAAAAGCTTAACGCAGTTGCTATACGTGCCTGATAGGACATAGTGGCCAGATCAGCAGACGATAATCCATGAACGACGAAGGGACACGGGCCAGATGACGCACCACGTTCGTCATCGAATTCATGCACTGACAACGCTTCAGCAGGGGTTGTCCCATCCGATAATCGGTGGAGGACGGTAACGGGCGGCACCCCTTCTGGATACTCGTGGAGGTTCGACATTGAAATGTCAACATCGGTGTAATCTTCATGATTCAACGTCAGCCATTGAAGCGCATCCAACACTGCACGATGACGCACCAGTAACGGTGTACGTTTAAAATCTGCCTCGACCGGCCTGCAAGGGCCCGTAAAGAGTATGGCCAGAATGTCATCCAAATCCTCACGAGGGGGTGGAAGGACATTGTACACTTTATGCACAGGCTGCGAGAAGCCCACCGCATTGGCTATCATTTTTCGCTGACCTTTAGAAACCTTCACAACAAAGGAGTTGTGACGGACCTTAGACACCAACAGCCGTTCCACAAAACTAAGGCTGGTCAACACGTCGGGAATGTCACCCACCCACAGTCCGTTAGCCAATGCCTCTTTAGGAGTGCTTTTTTTTCTATGGACCGCGTTATAGCATGTAGAGCATATGTCCAGCGAGCGCACGCCATCAACGATGCGCACCGCAGGAGGATAGAGGATTGGTCCTGACACGCTCGAAACTGGGTCACTAAACGACCTTCGCTCAGACCTGGTGATAAGCTCACCCTCACGAGTTAACGGCGTGAGATCTATGGAATCGAACTTCACGGTTGACACCGACTGACAAGAAACTAACGTCGCACACACGGCACATGGAACTTCATAGATCGATGGCAAATCGACGGCGTTGTACCATGATCTGAAGATATCGACCTTCTCGGCATTGGAGAGGGGCTTAGGAGGGAAGCGGGTGGACGTAGTTGACCGCAGGATGTGAGACGGCGCGATTGAGTACACGGCAGGAGCGAACGATCCGTCATCGCGTTTTGTGGGAGCGGGGATGAAGACAGGGTATCGTCGAGCACAAAGCCAACACTCGTGAGCCAACAGTCTGTCAACGACATCGTCGACGGAGCACGTCTTATCGGAAGGGATCACGCCATGCTTCACAGCAATGTCCATCAGGGCGTCAAAGGGCAAACGAGTAACTAAATAAGGAAAAGGGATATCTGACACCACATTGGTGCCACCGTCAGCAGGTGGTGAACGTGTGCAGTCAATCACGCCTGCAAATGCGTACAGCACTTCAGGATCAGCTCGGCGAACGGAAACAGTAGGAAACCGCTGTAGAAACTTTCCAGACACGAACGAGTCTCGGCTGCTGAGTCCAGCGGTGTGAAGACCATCACACAGGAAATCAAACACCGACAGCGTAGACGGGCAAGCCACTGAACAGCAATGTGCTGCACATACTGAACTCAACCCATTCAAGTTGCGCTGGCCACGGCTTACAGCGACACCATGAACCCGCGCTAACTCCTGAAGACCACGAAAAGGTAATCGCGGGACAAGAAATGAAAAGGGCAGCTCAACGGCAATGGAACGTACACCATATTCCCAGAGCGAGGTAACATTCTCGCGACGAAGCTGACATCGATACTTGACCGACGAATGCAATGCGAGCAGAGAGCGGGAGCCTAACACGACGGGAAACGCCCGCAGCTCAGACGTCGAAACAGAATCTGACCGTCGGGTACCGCCCCCGACGAAACTGTGACCAGTAGAGGAGTAACGCGACCATGCATTACCAGTCGACAGCGCCTCGGTGACCGCACCGGGCAAAACAGTATAACGCGACCGCACGCTAACAGTGACCAGCGCCTCGGTGACCGCACCGGGCAGAAATGCACACAGTATGACACATAAAATGTCATTGAAAGGTGCTGGAGAATGAACATCAGCAGACAAACAGGGATATGTGTCAGCACAGACACTCACGAGTGCAATGCATCACTGCTAACATCACGCAAACGCAAAACAGGACAGCTTGAAGCAGGAGTTCAACTGTTGCAACGCCGAAAGCCGTCGGATTACACGGAGCATAACAGAGGAGGTGAAAAGCGACGATGCAGACACGCAGCATGTCGTTGAAACGCACTGACGGATGAATCTCAGCAGAGAGACAGGGGTATCTGTGAACACAGACACTCACAGCTAAAACGTGTCACCCCCAAGATGATGCAAATGCTGAATAGGACAGCAAGCACCAAAAGGCAGACTATGAAGATGCCGAAAGTCATCCGAGTACGCAGAACGTTACAGAGGTGATGTCAATGAAAAGCGACGTGGATGAAAAGCGACGCAGCTGTAGCTGAACATAACAGATCGAGCAGGTGGCGTAGACCGTGGGCAACAGATACCGAAAAAGGGGTTTTGTCCAGCTTAAGGCTGACGTAAGCAGGTCTCCGCTACCGCTGCAGCAATAGCCAAATCCATTCTGTTATTTGGAACTCACGATTGACACCTATCAGCCTCAGTGGTCTGAACGCCACTTTACTCGCTCAGTGCCTACGTGCAGTGTCATACGGTACTATGACCATGGTCACGATGGGCTGTCATACTGCTTTGCAGAATCCCGATGTCGTGCGGGAGATATTACAGCAATTGTCCCCGCTGGACAACAATTGCTCATACGATCGTCTTCGAGAGATACGCATGGGTTTAGCTGCATGCGCCCGCGTTTGCAGGATGTTCTCGGAACCCGCACTCGACTTTCTGTGGTGGAAGTTAGGCGACATTACTCCCGCTTTGCGCCTCCTTCCCTCAATTCGAGTGGATGAAGACAATCAAACAACATCCAGGATATCCGAATATTCTGTGAAATACGTATGTCTCTGTGTGTCTTCATCATGGCTGATGTTCAAATCCGTTCTGTTCTGTAGTACCTGACTGGGGTGCCATCCATTCAGGAGTGGGCGCACTTCCAAGAATATGCACGACGTGTCCGGGTGATTGATTACTACCGCGCATACTTCGGTCTGCCAGCCATATTGTCCCAGCTTTCTGATCAAAATGACAGACGTCCCCTCTTCCCGCTACTCCAGCGGATTTCGTGGAATCTTTCATTGACCGAAGACAATCCAAGCATCGTTGCCCTTGTCTCTCCCACTCTGCGACAGCTATCCGTTGACCTCCACGGTTACGATTGGACAACGCCTGTGGCGGCGATGGCTTCCCGTGCTTGCAGTGTCGTCTTACAGGCAGTTCCGGACCTACGTATTCTGCAGCTGGACACATCGTGCCACGGCTTGATGCTTCCGGTCAGATTCTGCAGAAATCTGCGCGAACTCCATAGTTATCACGGCTTACTGAGGTTGGATCCCAATTTTTGGCAAGACTTGTTTCGATTGGAGCACCTTAGTGAAGTCCAAGGAGGTTTTGAGCTTCCTGAAAACGTACCCGATGATGGTTTCGTCGCCATACAATCATTGTCTCTCGAGATTATGGATGTAGTTCATGCAATCCGTTTCCTGAAGGTAGTCCCTCCTCAGCAGCTGCGACATACGAGTTTACCCCCGTACGAGGATCTTCCGACCAGCTCCTCGAGGCGATGACATTGATAGCCTCCAGATCTTCCACGTCGCTACAAACGTTCGATGCCTACATCCCATTGGATTTGGACACATCGTTCACGAGCATGATTGAGCCTCTCTTATCCTTGAGGGGATTGCAGAAGATGTCCCTGCGGATGGACGGCTCAAAGACGTTCACGATATCGGACAAGGATGTCGAGCGCTTGGCAATTTCGTGGCCGGAGCTGCGAAAGTTGAAACTTGATTTTATGTGCGACACAGTTGGACTAACACTTCAGTCTTTGGTTACGCTCGCCTCCTCCTGTCCTCATCTCCAGAGTTTGCAGTTGCCCATTGTCGCAATTGATTTGAAGGATATCCCCGCGGAGGCGACGTTTCTCACTCCCTGCAACACCTTTGCGTCGATAGGCATTTTTCGGACTCCGGAGAGCATGCATCCGTCGCGCGCTTCATCGATACGCTCTTCCCTCACTTGCATGTGCAGGAGATGTTCAAGGAGTACTGGGGAGAAAGGAAGGACTGGCGGAAAATTCTATCCTTACTACAAAAATATCAGATAGGAAGAAACGGTGGTGACCATGCCGCGGCGATGCCAGAAACTGAGGATGAGCTGAATTGGCCCGAAATGTTGGAGGTGATGAGTGTTGAAGCGGAGGAATCGAGCGAGACGAGAATGACAGAGCACGCAGTACAAGAACTAGACAGTGCAGAGCTTGGTCAACAAGGGGAGATCGGCATGGCTGGCAACCATTGGGGTCAAATTCGTTCCGTACTAGATGCACTTGTTCATTGGTGCAAGCTGCTCTTCTGGACGTACGCTAGACTTCTCCTGGGATGGTGAAAGTCGACGGAACGTTTGGCCTCATTGTTGTATGCAGATGATCACGTTCAAAGCTCAGAATAGCGAAGAATGATTACTACCTTATCTGTAGTCGATGTGTCCCCCATGCATGCACGAAGCATTGAATGGAATGCATAACCTCATGCTTGAGAGATCTGGCCTTGCAGTGCTGGGGATTTCAGAAGATGTGGCCGCTGTGCAGAGCGGCTCACGTCGCAAGCCATCCTTCACTTGTGAACATACAGTGCCTGGCCGACTATGACCTTTGCATAGTAACTCTAACTTGTACTATCCAGCCAAATCCTCTCACTCCAATCCATATCCCAGCATTACGCACTACAACCAGCCAACCCTATTTATTGTCGTCTCCGGAACACGTCTGTCAGATTAGGAACTTCCTCCGAACTCAAGCTTATACCGCCAATCCGTAAGTACGACCACGTGATATCGCGAAGCCGCTGCCGGAGCGAACAGGCGGCTAACGCGGTACGTCGAGCATTCAACGTTCAACCTGGTGCAACTTGCTCACGATTGACGCTTATTGGCACCGTCGGCGATCTACTAAACCCTGCTTTTCCCCACTCAGTGCCTACGTCCAGTGTCATACGATAGTTGTCAATGGTTGCGACGGGCTGTCATCCTGCTTTGCAGAATCCCGATGTCGTGTGGCGCATATTACAGCAATTATCCCTGTCCCTGCTAGACGACAGATGCTCATATGATGGTACTCGCAAGATGCACATCGGATTATTTGCATGTGCCCGTGTTTGCAGGATGTTCTTGGAACCCGCACTTGACTTTCTATGGTGGAAGCTACGTGACACTATTCCCGCCTTGCGCCTCCTTCCCTCAATTCGAGTGGATGTGGATACGGGCAAACAAGCAAGATTCAGTACATCACCTTCTGTGAAATGTGTATGTATTTCTGTGTTATTATTGCCGCTGATGTTCCAATCCATTCTATTCTGTAGTACATGACTGGGATGCCATCCGATCAGGAATGGATTCACTTTCAAGAATATGCACGACGCGTCCGGGTGATTGATAAATGCTGCGCATACTTCGGTCTGCCAGCCATATTGTCCCAGCTTTCTGATCGAAATGACGGACGTCCCCTCTTCCCGCTGCTCCAGCAGACTTCGTGGTATTATTCGTTGACCGAAGACAACTCAAGTATCGCTACTCTTGTCCCCCCTACACTGCGACATCTATCCATTGATTTAAAGCCTGGATATAACGAATATTACATATATGGGATGGCGGAGAGGGCTTCTCATGCTTGCAAGATCATCTTACAGGCAGTTCCGGACCTACGCGTTCTGCGGCTATACACATCGTGCAACGGCTTGATGCTTCCAGTCAGACTCTGCCGAAATCTGCAGAAATTCGATGCTTCTCATTTCAAACTGACATTGGACCCTAAATTCTGGCACGATCTGTCACAATTGAAGCTCCTTAGTGAAGTCAAAGGAGGCTTCAGGGTTCCGCATAACATACCCAATCACGGTTTTGTCGCCCTACAGTCATTGTCTCTCGACTATGTGGAGGCAAAGTATGCCAACCGTCTCCTGAAGGTCGTCCCTCCTCAGCAATTGCGAGATATCACTTTTACCCTCGTACAACCCACTCCCGACCAGCTCCTCGAGACAATGACATTGATATCCTCCAGATCTTCCATGTCACTGCAAACGTTCGATGCCGTCATCCATTCGGATTCGGATCGCCCAGTCGATATCTCCGTCATGAGCATAATTGAACCTCTTTTATCCATCAGAGGTCTACAGAAGATGTCTCTGCGAATGAGTGGCCGGGACACCGCGTTTATGTTATCAGACAAGGATGTCGTGCGCTTGGCGATTTCGTGGCCGGAGCTGCGAGAACTTAATCTTGACTTATTGTGCATCATGACTGAACCGACACTTCAGTCTTTGACGACGCTCGCCTCCTACTGCGCTCACCTACAGACTTTGCACTTGCCCATTTTCAGAATCAGCGTGGACGATATCCCCATGGAGGCGACTTTACCTCACTCCCTGCAACAGCTTTCATTCGATAGGCCCATTGAAGTCTCCGGAGAAAATGCATTCGTTGCGCGCTTCATCGACACGCTCTTTCCTCATTTATGTGTGCAGAAGATGTTGAGGATGAGCCGGGGAAGATTATGCGACTGGCAGAAGATTTTGTTCTTGCTGCAGAGATATCAGATAGAAAGAAACGGCGGCGACCATGCCGCAGCGGTTCCAGAAGACGAGGTCCAATTATCAGCTGCATTCGCCTGAGACAGACTGAGGAAGTGATGAGTGCTGAAGCGGGGGAATCGGGTGAGGAGAAAACGTTGGGGCATGCCATGCAAGAACCAGACAGTGCGGCAGTACTTAATCAACGAAGGACGGTCGGCATGGCTGGTAGCCAATGACCATTGTGGTCGAATTCGTTCTGTAGATGTCCTTGCTCACCGGTGCAAGCTGCTGATCTTCTGGACATACGCTATGTTTCTACTGGGATAGTGTTGACGGAACAGTTTAACCTCGTTGTTGAATGCAGATAAGCACGTCGATGGCCCAAGAAACGATGACTAGTACTTCTCTGTACCCGACGTGTCCCTCTCCATGTACGAAGCATGTAACGGCGTAACTGATACTTCGAACATTTGACAGATCTGCAGGAGCAGTACCGCCGGCCATCGAGACTGGGGAAAAGAAAGAGCTGAGAACGTGTACCAACGTTTCGTCGGGGAAATGCGGTTAATTTGTTCAACACTCAGTGAAAGCTGGAATATATATTTTAAACGAGCCATCGACGTATCTGGCAACCGTTGGAGCTTGGTAGGATCTATAACGACGCTCATGAAATAGTACAATCTCGTGCTCTGAGTTGCGACCCATATTCCACTGGTACGGCGCGCACCATCCGTAGGAGCCTCTGGAATCTTGTATTCTGACATGGCTATCGGATTGAGACCAACAAATGTTTTTCACTTGACTCAGCATCATCCGCCTAAGCAAACCATGACCATCGCAATAGTTCATGGGTGGCGTCCCATGCTCGGGCAGGCCGCACTCATCCTGACCTCCTGCCCGTGAATACGATTCAGAGCGCGGCACATACGAACGACGGAACATCGCAGAAGATTACCCACCTATGAGGGCCAAAGGTGAAGACCCGGCACCGCGGAGGCTCGAACGCTCCACATAGGTTGCACCGCACATCCATGTAACTGCAGATCCGCATGCCGGAAAAGCTCGGGAAAGACCCGACAGACGCAAGAACCGTACAGCACTTCGTTGAATAAATGCCAGGAACGAACAAGCAAGGCAAGGATCGATGAAGACCGCACAGAAGGGACGCCATCGATTGTGGTTGTAGTCGTCCGAGGATTCCCCGTCGATGGCCTTCGTAGCCGTGTGGTTGCCTCGAGAAGGAGGACATGGCTTTCCGACGGTAGAGCGTGGAATATCGAGTCTGGGACCTGTGCGGCCAGTGCAGAGCGGACCGAGAAAAAAAAGCTTGAGGAATCCCGGAAGAGACGTCCTGAAGGAGACAACCAATTCGCAATGCGGTTGGAACGCCGGAGGTTCTTAAAAACCAAGTATATACATCCTCAGGGATCATTCACCGTCTGATATACGCCCGCTGTACGCCCGACTACAATCACCGGCGGGAAAGCCATAGGCTCGTCTAGACTGTCGGCTGACAGATTGAAGCAAGTACCTAGTTATTCCGAACGGGGATCCTACCTTCGATCGGCCACCGCAAGAGGCTGAGTGTCCAGTAGGCAGCACGAACCGTTCTTCCAAAACCCACATTCAGAGTGGTCGTGAATGTAAGAACGACCAAGCTTCGAGCACGGAAGCAATCGCGCTTAAACTTGGCACGTCCGGTGAGCCATGTATATTCTTGTTGCAGCGTGAGTTTGACCGCGCAAGCAGAGGACAAGAAGAGTCATCGCCTGACGAACGCCGTCCTTTTTTCAACGCAGATTTGCGTGCCGAGTGAGTCCGACAAGAGCCGGGAACTGAAACCGCGAAGAAGGAACACGAGAACGTGCCAATTCAATCCGTAGAATCAGAAGCGAATCGCAAAAGCCGCATGAGATCAGAAACAAGCATCGCCCGACGAATACCGTCCCTTCTAGATATACATAGCAGCAAATCTCAGGTTTGCGCGCTGGACTGGACCCGACAGAAGGGTCCGCATAATCCACAGAAGCAATCCTAACCCTCGAAGGAGCCCGGCACGCGAAAGCTGACGGTAGAGGATTTGGCATTGAAGGTATACATAACCGCTCAGGTCCGTGCGCCGGATTGGGCCCGACAGAAGCTCCTGCATAATCCGCAGAAGTAATGCCAACCTTCGAAGAAACCCAGCTCGCGAAGTCTGACAGTGGAGGATTTAACATCAAGTGTGCATCTCGGTCTCGAATGCACACCTGGAGCTCAAAGCTGAGATGCGTTGGTCGCCGCGCCAGAGCCAGTCGGAGAGGTGTTCACGACTGGCAGAGGGCCAAAGAATCCGCATATAGCCCACACAGCGCGCCGGACATCTTGCTCAGTAAACGGCTGCCGCATCGACTCCGAAGAGCCCCACACACCTCTCCGACCACCCAGCACGACCCACGCACCGAAATTTAAAATAGCCCGACAAAGGACCACGTAAAAGTCGCAATGTACGCCTCGTCCATAGAATCCAAGCGAAACGAACGTGATTGAAGCAGATTGCGGAGAGCGCCTCGGCACGAATCCGACGATTCGCCGCTGATAGAGGCTGATGCTTGCATTGTTTCGAGCCTCGAGCGCGCGGATGAGCATGCCATGTGCAGGGTCCGAGGACAAGCACAAATGCGAAGCGAAGGAGGCAGTAGGACGTTTCGATATCTATATATATGTCTTTCGAGGTGATTGAAGAGCGTATGTCGGCGTGAGCTGGGTGAATCGTGGAATCATGAGGTGTTTGAGATATTTTTCGTGTCCATTCATTGGCAGGGACGCGAACGGTTTGCAACGTCCCCTCTTGATTTTCGCCCATTCGCGCGCCAGACATCCTGCTCGGCAAAAGGCTACTGCATCGACTCCCGTGCCCCAGAAGCCCGACAAAGGACCACGTATAACTCGCATCCTACGCCTCTTCGATCGTAGAATCCAAGCGAAACGGACGTGCTTGAAGTAGAGTTTGGAGAGCGCCTCGGCACGAATCCGACGGTTCGCCGCTGATAGAGACTGATGTTGCATTGCTTCGGGCTCAATCCTCGAGCGCGCGAATGAGCATGCCATATGCAGGGTCCGAGGACGAGCAGAAGTGCGAAGCGAAGGAGGCAGTTGGACGTTTCGGTATCTATACATGTATCTTTAGAGGCGTTTGGATAGCGTAGGTCGCCGTGAGCTCGGTGGGTCGTGGATCAGCGAGCGGTTTGAGACATTAATCGTATCCATAGGCAAGAGGCAGTATTCAGATTGCTGGATGACTGAGGACGACAGTATCCAGGACGCGAACGATACGCAACATCCCCTTTTGATTCTCGCCAACCTTGACAAACTCGAAGCGTCTGGTAGTTCAGCCGAACGTTCGCATTAGACGGCACACCCCACCCGCTGCGAAATGCGCCGCGCACCATGAAATATTTGTGCATCCCCAAAGCCGACGAACTGCATCCGGCCCGACCGCCGGCTCGGCCTAAACGATCCCAGTGCGGGGAACCGATCGCGAGGGCGCCTTCCCCTCCCCGGACCCGGACTTGGCAGATGAGGGCAGATGCGACGCGACACTGGCTGGGCGGTGGACGATGGACGGGCATGGTTGTGGTTGTGGTTGTGATCGCCGAGTTGTGGCATGTGGTCAGTCGGGTGTAGCGCTGTCGGTAGGCAGGGGGTGTCAGAGTGTGCGGTGGCCATGGGCGCGTGCGAGCGCTGTCTGAGATGAATGTTGTGTCTGGACGTTAGTCGGGAAGGCGAATTTTCGAGATGTTCGGTTGACTGGCAGAGCGTGGGTGTCTTTTAGCGTGGTTCTTGATTGCATTCCGCGTCGAGACCTTCTAAGGTAGACCGCGGATGCAGCCTGATCTGAAGCTAACAGAAGATCGTGAGCTAGGGAGCAACCGCGGCAGGTAGCGCCCTCTTGCAGGGATCCCGATCCTAGCATGCCAAGAGCGAACGTGCATGGAAGGAACCGAGAGGTGACGCGTTGACGTTGAGCGCACTCGATGTGGGTCATCTTCTTGGTTCTTCACCGCAAAATCTGATGGACAAGGAGCCTGCATGCACGACCCTGTTCCCAGAACCACCAATGGTGGAAAAGGTGTTTGGCTGAACACTGCGGCGTAGCAATCATTATTGTATTGAAGCAGGCACAAGAAGTCGCGCACTCTCTGTGATGTCCGACGAGAGTCGGCCTCAACGTTCAGCAAGGGTCAGCAGACTGCACGCTGTATGGGCGCGCATCTATCGTGTGTGTGGTGATTTACGGCAGTGACGTGAGCGCAGATGGGGATGAACGTTAAGCCTCGGACGGCGTACGCTTATTCGAGGGTTTCAATCAACCACTTGATGGCAGCGGTTACGGTGATTGTGCGAAGAGCGGTTGTTCAGCGTCACGCTCGCATGGTTCTGCGGATGTGGAGAGAGCCAAGGGCCGGCGAACGGTGGCCGGTAGCGAAGGCCGTGCGTCGTGCGCGAGAGGGAGCGGAGATGGACTCGCTGCGGAAGGGAGCAGGGAAGAAGGGTACGTCTCGGAAGGCCGCGTCTGAGCAGGTGAACAACGCACGCACGCCCGCCGACCGGGGCAGTGTCTGCAAATAATGCGCGGGTGGTGCTTGCTGGCTGTCGCTGGGCGAGGACAGTCGCGGGCGCCATGGGTGGGGATCACCCAGATCTGGATCTCGCTAGAATTGGTCCCCGGTCAAGCGCCCCAGAATAGCATTTGCCGAACACACCCATGCACTCACCACGGCCATCCCGACCGTCGCACGCGCCACCTACAAAATCCATCGCCGTCGTCTCCGAAGATGCGCCGAGCAACCCACACCGTAGTTACTGGGTCTCCCAACCAGGTTAGCCCAGCAGGTAGCGCGCCATGTTCCTCAACGTGCGCTTTGCGGGCCTCTCTGCTCTCCTCCTTGCCCTTGCCAGTGCCGCGCCCCAGGACGGTGCTGGCGATGCCGACTCTGGTGCGCCCCGAGTTCTCTGGACGGTCTCTGCTGTCTCGTCGGTGGCAGTCTCGTCCACGCCGGTCCTTTCATCTGCGGTGTCCTCTGCTGTAGCCTCGTCTGTCGCGTCCTCGATCGCTGTCTCCTCAGTTATCGCGTCATCTGTAATCTCTTCGGCAGCGGTCTCCTCAGCCATTTCCTCAGCCGCGGCCTCCTCGGTGATCTCCTCAGGTGTCGCGTCCTCAGCCATCTCCTCAGCGGTGGTGTCCTCGGCCATATCCTCGGGTATCGCGTCCTCAGTGATCCCAACAGCGACAACACCCTCTGCAGTCTCTTCGGCCATCGCGTCCTCAGAGATCTCCTCCGCAGCAGCCTCCTCCGCCATCTCCTCCGCCCTCCCCACGAGCACCATCGGCGGCACCGTCGGCGAGGTCTCTGGCGTCTCCTACACCGTCTCCGGCACCTACACCATCTACGGTGACCCCGCACCCACCAACCCCGCCTCCCTCGCCACCAGCCCCTCCTCCGGCGAGCCACCCTACAACTCTGGCTCCGGCACCGAAGTCGGTCAGTGCCCCCTTCTCTTATACTCCCTCACAAACACTAATGACGCATGCGCACAGGCTGGCAGACGCTCTCGTTATCCTCATACGCATTCTCCTCCTACCCGGTCGCCGCGCCCTCCGCGGTCCCGCCCATCTTCCCAGACGTCTCCCCGCTCTACCCCCCGCCACCGCTCAACCCCGGCAGCCCGATCGTGCCGGACTTCAGCAGCGCATGGGACATCGCGTACGCAAAGGCGGAGGCGTTCGTCGCCGGGCTCACGCTCGAGCAGAAGGTCAACGTCAGTACGGGTGTGTATTGGGAGCAGGGCTTGTGTGTCGGGAATATTGGGCAGGTGGGCAGTTGGCCTGGGCTGTGTCTTCAGGTGCGCGGTTGCGTTTTGTGATTGAATGATGTGGGTGGGCTGATTTGGCGGTTGTGTGGGTAGGACTCGCCGTTGGGCGTGCGGTATACGGATTTCAATACGGCGTTCCCGGCGGGGATTCAGGTGGCTACGACGTTCAATCGGACGATGATGCGTCTGCGAGGGTACGAGATGGGCCAGGAGTTCCGCGGGAAGGGCGTCAACGTTGCGCTGGGGCCTATGATGAATATGGGGTGCGCGTGCTCGCTTGTTTGCTGCGCGATATGTATCTGACGTGATGGTTTGGACAGCCGTGTGGCGCAGGCGGGAAGGAACTGGGAGGGCTTTGGGACGGATGCGTTTTTGAGCGGCGAGGCGGCATATGAGACCGTGCTTGGACTGCAGAGCGCGGGTGTGCAGGCGTGTGCGAAGCATTATATTGACTAGTGAGTTCTTCCGCTCCTTTTTTATGGAAGAAACTGATGGGGCGAGGTAGTGAGCAGGAGTACAAGCGCACGCAGGAGAGCTCGAACGTGGATGATCGGACGAACCATGAGATTTATTTGAAGCCGTTCTTGCGAAGCGTCATGGCGGGGGTGGCGAGTGTGATGTGCAGCTACAGTGCGCCCTCTCCGTTCTCTTCCTCATTGTGCTGCCTTTGCTGAGGAGTGCGCGGTGGACAGATATGATCAACGATACGTACGCGTGCGAGAATGATAGGACGTTGAACCAGCTGCTCAAGCAGGAGCTCGGATTCCGCGGGTACATCATGAGTGATTGGGGCGCGCAGATGAGCACGCTGAGCGCGATGGCTGGGTTGGACGTGCGTGGCCTTTCTCTCCCACTTTTCTCCCTATCCCTTCCATTTCCCCCCATATATCCCGAGTCCTTGGTTCACACTCGCTAACGCGCGTCTATATAGATGTCGATGCCGGGCGACATCACACTTGGCTCGTCGACCTCATGGTGGGGCCCGAACCTGACCGCCTTCGTCGAGAACGGGACGATCCCGCTGAGCCGCGTGGACGACATGGCGACGCGCATCATGGCCGGGTACTACCTCCTCGGGCAAGACCAAGGATACCCCAACGGTGCGTCGCCCTCCTTAACGCCTCTACAACATCGGATGCTGACACAGCGCAGTGTCGTTCAACGCATTCAACGCGTACGATACCGTGCACAACCTGCACGTCGACGTGGAGGGCGATCATTACAGGCTCGTGCGGGAGATCGGCGCGGCTGGGGCGGTGCTGCTGAAGAACACGAACGGCGCGCTGCCGCTGCAGGCCCCGCGGAGCGTCGTGCTCGTCGGCTCGGACGCGGGGAACGGTGCGATGGGCGCGAACGGGTATACAGACCGCGGTGGGGACGATGGGATTCTGGGGATGGGCTGGGGCTCGGGGACGGCGAATTATCCGTACCTCGTTAGTCCGATGGACGCGATGCAGGTGAGGGCGAGGAGGGACGGGACGAGTTTGACGAATTGGTATTTGGATTGGGATACGGAGGGGGCGGCGGGGGCGGTTGAGCAGGTGGAGGTTGCGATCGTGTTTGTGAATTCGGATTCGGGGGAGGGGTATATTACCGTGGATGGGAATTTTGGGGATAGGTGAGTGGCGCTGTACGTCTTTGTGAAGGGGGGGGGCTGATGTGGTGGGGTAGGAACAACTTGTCGTTGTGGCATAATGCGGATAACCTCATTCAGGCGGTCGCGGCTGCGAACAACAACACGATCGTCGTTGCGCACTCGGTCGGGCCGTCTATCATCGAGCCGTGGGTTGAGAATCCGAACGTCACCGCGGTGCGCCTCGTCCCTCCCTCTCACATAAACTAAGACTGATGAATGGCGCAGATCATCTGGGCGGGCGTCGCGGGACAGGAGGCAGGGAACGCGATCGTGGACGTGCTATACGGCGATTACAACCCAAGCGGCCGACTTCCCTACACGATCGCGAAGACCCTCGAGGACTACGGCGTCTTCCTCGTGCTCGGCGGCGAGTCCGACACTCTCCTCAGCATCCCGTACGACGAGGGCCTGTTCTACGACTATCGACGGTTCGACCAGTACAATATCACGCCGCGGTTCGAGTTTGGGTATGGGTTGAGCTATACGACGTTTGGGTATTATAATCTGGCGGTGGAGGTGGTGCCGCAGTATGACCCGATGTCGTACGATCTCGAGAAGGCGTGGGCGGAGGGGTGTGCGACGCCGCAGGGCGAGGGGTCCTCGACGGCGCTCTGGCTTCACAGGCCGTTCCTCTCCGTCCAGTTCATCATCCAAAACACGGGTACGCGCCCGGGGACGGAGATCCCGCAGGTGTACGTCCACTTCCCCGCGGGCAGTGGTGAGCCGCCGAGTCTTTTGAAGGGGTTCGACGCGGTGTGGGTGGAGGTGGGGGAGGCGAGGGCGGTGAGGGTTGTGGTGTCGAGGTATGAGTTGAGTGTGTGGGATGTGCAGGCGCAGGGGTGGGTCAAGCCTGGGGGGGAGTTTACGCTTTCGGTGGGCGCGAGTAGCAGGGATTTTAGGTTGAGTGCGGTTATTCCGATTTGAGAGGACTGATTTGAGCTACTGAGACTTGACTACAAAATGACGTTCGTCTGCGCTTTGATGTTCAATACTGACACGGACTGTAGATCAACATTTTCAAGGATTTTGTTACCGTTGTTGCTGTTGCTACCGTTGTTGTTGTTGTTGTAGACGTCGTTCTTTGTATGTAGAAATCGTGCAATACGCGATGAACGCGGATCGCGACTTGCTCAGTATGGTGCCCAAGGAATGCGATAAGAAGTGTATGTACAGTGTGTCGGTGTAAAAGAGTAAAGCGCTGGAGGCTAGAACTCTTATGAGAGGTTCAGAACAGGTTGTCAACTAAGGATAGTTGCCAGAGAATCGGATAAAGAGTTTGAAAGTTGGGCCGTCGAGTTTTCGAGCTATCACGATAGAATCTAGTAGTCACCAGTTACGAGTACGCGAGATTTCACAATATACACGAGTCCACGAGTGACAAGGCTTAAGGTGCGCTTCAGAGACTTCAAGGGGGGGAAAACTCCTCCATTCTAGGCGGGAGGACACCCTTTATACATGCGGATGCAACATGAACCTTACAAGACGTGAAAAGAGCCAACATAGAAGTAAACGGTCGCATGACGGGAACATCGACAGAAATGGAGTACTACTTGCCAAATTTGGTTAAACGAGTGAAAAAGCTGGGGAGCTGTCGTCCTGGGCATACAGACTCTTCCCCAAGCCATTCCAGCATACGGAGTCGAAGCGCATTGTATCGGCGAGCTCGGTCATCACGGGAGATCGTATTTTCGAATGGCAGCCTGCCACCCTCAAGCGCGCGATCGTCACCGTGAGCCTTACTTCCGCCTTCGCGTCCTCATCCGCGCACCAGTCCGGTCCTGTGGTTGACGCTGGTAGAGTCGAATGTAAAGTAGTAAGTTTTAGTCCAAATGAAACGAGTCAGAAATAAAAACTGATTATTGTACGGCACCGTCACGAATCTCTCCTACATCGGTCGTATATCTAGAGGGTACATCGGCAATGCATATACTACAGGCGCGACCAGTCTATACTAAGGTGCGGGCAATCCGTACACACCAATGGAAAACAAGCAAGCACCACATCAAAAATCAATCAGGTGAGTGACAACGCCGTACGCGTGTACGCCCGCGTAGAGCCCATCACCGACTCATCTCTTTCGCCTTCTCGTGAAATACGCGATGAATGTGGATCGCACCGACTGTTGCGTGGCAGTTGCTCAGTACAATATCCAAAGAGTGCGATAATCAAGTCTATGTACAGTGCGTCGATCGTCTTTCTAGAGGGTACATCGGCGGTCTATATCCTACAGGCGCGACCAACCTATCCTACACCAGCGGAAAGCAAACAAGCAAGCTTCACAACAAAACCAACCAGGTGGGTATCAACACCCGCACGCCCGCGCACAGTCGTATAGCCAATCACCGACTCATCTCCGTCACCTGCCTCTCGGCGTGCGCAAACTCCTTCTCCCACTCCTTCCACCACTTCGGGTTCTCTTTTCGGAGGACGACACACTCGGCGCAGTAGATATAATACGCTGCGCCCTTCGCGCCGTACCCCAGCATTTGGCTAACGATGGACGATCGTCAGCATAACAGGTTAACGCACGAGAGCGAGAAGAGAGTATGCACAACTCTGGGAGCACATCCCCCACGGCGTTCAGGTCGTCCGGAGGCAGACAGTCCTCGCAGAATGCCTTCGGGCACGTTCGGCAGCTAATATATAGCGACATGTGAGAACGGAAGCGCGATAACATGGAAATAGAATGAACGTTAAATATGAACGTACCGGAAGATCATACCGCCAGCATCGGCGGTATTGCGCGAGCACGACGCACACACGTGCTGACCGCAGGCAAGGGTCGGAGCTCGTCTGACCTCCGCCTTGGTGAGGCCCTGACATGCGCCGTGGAACACTGTGAGAGGTTAGGACGCCAGCTTTCACGAAGCGACATGGGGGATTGGCGAACCTCTAGGACAAGTTGCACAGAGGACGAGCTCGCCGCCGTCCCGACAGTATATGCACCAATCCTCGTGCTCCCACTTCTTCCTGCTCTTCTTGGGCGCCGAAGCTAGCTTCTCGTGTCCGCTGGACGACTGCATACAACTCCCATCAGGACAGCTCACATACCGCTGCATGTGGAACACTCACCGCAACGGGCCCCATGTAGTCCGCGATCATCTCCATCCCGTCAACCTTGACAATGCGGTCGACACGGCTGCGCTTCTGCAGCTCGCGCCACTCCTCTGCGATCTCGACGTTGCTCGCATGCTTCGGACGCTCGATAACCTTTCCCTCGAAGAGCCGACTCTGCACCTGCGCGACGCCGCTCAGGAGCTTGCGCTCTTCCTCCTCCGCATCAGCCAACAGTCGCTGATCGACTTCGCTCGCGTCCGCGCCCTCCTCGCGCTTCAGCTTGGCCGCACGCACGTCATCATTCTCCCGAGAGGCGTCCAGGATCTCGACAATGGGCGCCTTCAAGAACTGGGGCAGGTCCATCTCATCGATGTTGCACGAGAGCGCGCTGCTGCCTTTCCGGAGGATGTCCATGAGCTCGGACATCTTGAGCGTCGAGTTTTGCTCGTCCTGCGATGCATTGTCGGAGCTCATGACCTTGACGGAGAGGAAGAGCTTCCTCCGGATGCGGTCGAGCATCTGGTCCTCGACACTGCCGCGGCAGATGAGCCGGTACACCTTGACGACCTTCGTCTGCCCGATCCGGTGCGCGCGCGCGATCGCCTGCAGGTCATTCTGCGGGTTCCAGTCCGAGTCGACCATGATGACCGTCGTCGCCTTCGTGAGGTTGATGCCGAGGCCCCCGGCGCGCGTTGAGACGAGGAAGACTTGATACGGCGAGTGCTCCTGCTGGAAGAGCTTGATGTCGAGCGTGCGCCGCGGGCGCGTGGTGGATCCGTCAAGCCGCGCGTATGGGATATCCCGTAGGACCATGAAGTCCTCGAGCAGGTTCAGCATGCCTGTGAACTGGCTGAAGATCAGCACTCGCTCGCCCTTTGGCAGGATGTTCGCCAGCAACTTGTCGAGGAGCATCAGTTTGGAGGATGATGCAACAAGGTGTTCGCCGATAGAGTAGGGTGTTGGCTCTGCGTCATCGATCAGATACGGGTGGTCACAGATTTTTCGTAGCTGCATGAGCAGATTCATGAGCTTCTTCCAGCCTAGAGGAAGCTTGTGAGTCTACTATATGCGGCACGACAATTGCATACGAACGAGCTCCTGAGCTGTTGTCCCTGACGTGCGCGGCCAGCTGCGCATGCACTTCTCTCCGTCCCTTGTCCAACGTATCATTCTCTGATTTAGCTGGGAAGATATCCTTCAAGTCGACCGCATCTAATTTAGTCAAGAAGCGATACGTCCAAAAACGCTGCGCCTCTGTCATAGGCACGAAGACGGTCAACTCTTCGCGCGGCGGGACGCTCAATTCGACCGTTGCCTTGGTCCGGCGGAGCATGATGGTCGAGAGCAACCGTTCCGCAGATTTCAGGAACGCCAGCGAGTACACGCCCCGCGTGAGATCAAAGGAGTCTTTGAAGAGCCGTTCGGAAGCGGCGGTAAAAAGAGCAGGGTACAGCCAGTGGAGGATGCTCCACAACTCCACCAGGTTGTTCTGCACCGGCGTCCCTGTAAGTACTGCCAAGTCATGAGAACATATCTGCAGACAGAAATAAGCCGGTAACCTTACTCAGTCGATAAAGTGAGCCGATGCCCTGCAACTTGCTTGAGATATTCGTATCCGTGTTTTTGATCTTGTGGCCCTCATCCAGCACGCAGTAGGTCCACCTCCGCGACTTGAACCACGACTCCTCCGCAACGTACGCCTCGTACGTGGTGATGCAGATATCAAATTCAATCTCGCTGTACCGAATCGCTTCCTTCAGACGCTTACGTTCCGACTGCTGCCCATGGAATCGTAACGTCTTGAACGATGGGATCCAGCGTGCGGCTTCCTGTGCAACCGTTAATATTGTATCGCTTGATCAGCCAGCTCGTACTCACCGCTAGCCATGATGGCAGGACAGATAGCGGGCAGACGACGAGGTGAGGATCTTGTTTGCCTGCAGCGGCGTTAATCCTTGCAGACGAATGTCTAGCAATAAAAAAACCTATACCTGTTACATTCTCCTTCACGTAGGCAAATAGTGATAGTGTCTACACTGACATAAGCAAGTGTCTCGTCAGCATCAATGTCAATACCATTCGCACCTGCAGTGTCTTTCCAAGACCCATCCTGAATGCCAATTAGTGACGAAAAACTCGACAATGCAGGATTATCGCGGCATACTCATCACCCAAGATGCAATTCATTCCTAGATTTCGAATGAGCATAACAGCATACAGTAAAATAGAGATTCTCTACCGTTCTTGTACATCCAAACTAGGAATGAAAGACCGTGCAGCTACGACAATAATCAGTCTGGTATCGAGCAGACAGTGTGCTACTCATACCTGATAATCCTTCATTGTGCCTCCTTGCACAAGTTTTGGTTGCTCGTCAAGCTCGTGCAAGGGCGTGTACACGCCTTTATCGGTAGAGTTCTCAACGTCCTTGCGGACCGTGTCCAATAGCACGCTGCTTGCAGGGAGCAGTGGAGCAAAGAGATCAGAATGCCGACTGAACCATCGTTTGCGTGCGGCGTCCACGGACGCTCGTGCAGCGTTGATCACGATTGTAAGCTGAGAATAAGTTATGCATCAGCATCAAGGTCGAACGTTGCCAAGGATGGAACGGAAAATATCGTGGCAGTCCCCGTTCTAAGAGCATCTACATGCGCATGAGGCTCTCTGCGCGACATTGAACGACGACTTGTACAACGCGTTGCATGAACAGCTCATACTACCCAAAGTCGCGCGCAGGGACCGTCTAGCTCAGACAACACCTTCCTGGATACTCACCGCCTTCTTGCTCTCTCTTTTCACTCTCTTCTCGCGTACTGGTGTTTCTTCCTTCTCAACATCATCAGCTACCGCCCTCTTCCTTTTGGGGCTCCTAGGCGATGCCACAATCAGCGCATGCTCTCGCGACTCGACAACATCGGCGGCGGACGCGTCCACGTCGGATGCGACCCATTCGGAGGGCGTAGAGTCAGACACGCCGGACCCGCAATCAGTGGTCAAAGGAGGAGTAGAGGCAGTGCTCATGTTTGATGCGAGCATGTCGTCCACGAGGGAGCGCAAGAGGTGGAAAAAAAGCGAGGACCGCTTCGCGGCGCGCCTGTGGCATCGAACAAGATCCGCGCGTCTAAGATTTAGGGCAGGTCAACACGCGCCGCGTCGAGCCTGCGTCCTTGGACCATATTTGTGGGCCACTGCTAACAAGACACATATTTGCATTTAAATCGCTCCCAACTTCTGTAAATATGCACAACATCAGGATACTGGTGTCTTTCATAGCTTCACACTACAGCATGGCATGACTCGTGGCAAAGGATCTCCTGCTGCCACTTAATCGAGCACCACATATGGCTGCTGTACATCAATCTCAAATACTAGTGATCATTTATTTACACGTCGGCGTCAAACTCCAGATCTTTGGCTACATCTTCCCACTGGTCCATGACCTGTAACAAACGTCCACAATGCGCTCTTGCGGCCTCGTACGTTGGGCTACCCAGAATCAGATAAAATGGTATTTCCCTTCCCTCAGCCTTGCCTTCTTTCTTCACGACATCAATAAGCAGTTCCATCGCCTTGACCGGGTCGCCAGGAGCCTGACGCCATCTCTCGTGATAAATCGCCAGCTCTGTCTCACGGAGATCATCATACGCGCTCATCTGGTGCTCGCTGATGATGGGAGCCGTATGAATGTTCTCTGTGCGAAATCCACCTGGGGCAGCGAGCACGACGCGGACGTTGAAAGGCTCGAGCTCTGCTGCATATGTCTCCGCGAGAGCTAGAAAAGCACCGATGCGTCAGGCACTTCGTTGGGCAAGACATTCGTGAGATGATACCGTGAATCGCGCCCTTCGTCGCGATATAGTGTCCCGTTAACTGAAGATGCGATTTAAGCACGTCAAATACGCGTTAGAAAATCGCCACTCACAATGGTATCCGCTTTCCAAACAGAACGGCTTCCAAAAAATACGACTGTACCGGATTTCCGCTCTCTCATGTATGGCAGCACCGCGTTCGTGAGGTTCAAGACTCCGAAGACGTTCGTTTGGAACAGGTCAAGAACGAACGAGGTTCTGGAAATGGTCAGAATTCCAGATAGCGGTTCTTCACTTTATCGTACATACATACCCTCCTTCCTCCAATAAAGACTTCGGCGCCCAGGCCGCATTGTTCACTAGGACGTCTATGCGACCCCAAACAGACACAGCCTCTCTGACTTTCTCTTGCATCGTCGCTTTCTCATCTTTGAGGTCAAGGACGATCACATGCAGACGGGTTCGGTCCGTTTCAAAGACAGACACTTGGAAGTCCTCGGCTCGCCGGACAGTTCCAATCACATAGTCACCCCGTGCGAGGACCAACGTCACAAGACGTCTGCCGAATCCCGATGATGTTCCTGCATGATTTCTTGTAAGCGCAAGATCTTGCTCGTACCGAGTCGTGAGTGTCGACAGACTACAGCAGGTGCATGGACTGGTTACACTGCGACAAGTCCGAGGGTGCTTCGTGACGACGTTGCCGAGAACGCGAACATTAGAGAGTAAGATTCTGCTCACCTGTAATGAACCACACCTTTTGTTCAGGATCTGCCAGTGCGTTCGATGTCATATCGGATCTTGCGATTCGGATTAAACAGTCGTTATACTTCGGCTTGGTGATCAGACCCGACGGCTGGACCTATGTAAGTTGCGACGGTAGACGCACCCCTCTTGCTAGCAAGCTGCTGCGCGGTGATTGTTGGCGAGGATCAGGATAGATTCTGGGCTATAAGATTGTCTTTTTGCTTAGCCACATAGTGCTAATCTTCTCCGGGCCGGGACTCTCGAGCGGGCTTTCTCGGTCACTATAAAGGTCGACCTAACATTCGCCATTATTTGTGTCCTACATCAACAATATTGTCATCCTGTATAAGGGTCTTGAAGTATAAGCACAAAACGAAACGGTTAGCATCATCCGCCATAGTGAACTTTGCAGAAGACATATATATGTACTCAACAAAGTAGCGATGCGTGCAGCAAGTTCAGGGCAGGCTGTTACGCGACGCGAGCCCCAGAGTCATGGTCCTACTTATGACCTGCTCTACTTACACTTGCGCCACAACATTTCAGGCCTGCGATGGCAGTACAAGTTCGTATCGACGTGTTAACTGATTAATGAAGACTGTCATCGACTCTGTGCAGTTCCACAAATCCTCAACTGAACAGCGAGAATTGCCGCACCATATCGCTCTAAACTCCACCGAAATGCTCCGAGTAGCCTGCTATCACATCGATATTTCAGGTATCGACGTCAATTGATCCTGCTTCGAAGGAGCGTGCATATTTCACTCAAAGCTTGTTCGGAGACGAATGCAGATACTGCATCTCAAGTCGCGTCCGTTCTCTTGTTGACGTGGCACTGCAGAGAATGTCGGCCGGGAACCTGACGTTGTAAGCCGTGGACTACTACTGTCCTGCCAGCCCAAATGCTCAAGACGGACGCCTCTGACCATCTCTGACCGACGTTTGGAGCTGTTGCAACTGGCCATCACCGCCAGCGAGCACTTCATTCGGACTTTCAGCGATTCGCTATGATTATGACGACCTCGCAAGACGCGCAAGAGCGATTCCGAGGTCTCATATCGGTCAGGGATGTCTCCTCCGGTGTTATCAAGGGGCGACGGCGGTGGCTCAATATAGTCACCAGGGACGGGAATGCCGTCGGCTGTAAAGCATCCGTGCTGGACTTGGCGGGTAGTGCACCTCCTCAAAACCTCTACTTTCGGTAGTCTCGAGCTGTCTTCACTGATGCTCCAATGCTGTCTCTTCATGAATGTCCTTAAGAGGCAATGTGCGCGTGGCTAAACGGTCTGTCTCGCCGTGGTGGGCACATAATGCCGGCATGCCTCCGATCGTTACGTTCAAGCTCACAGCCCTCCGGTATGACCGACGCGCCTAGGCACCCGAGCAAGACAGCGCGAGAGCGTCAACAGTCCACACACCATTTAAGGCGCGCCCTGGATGTGACCACGGCGACTGCTGTCACTCTCTCCTCTGGACCCTGCGCTTGCTCTGTCTTGCAACTGTCACTCTTTTGTACACTCGCTCGCTGAAATTCTCCGATATTCCTAAGATGTCTCGCTTTGTGATGCTTTTCTTCTCGCTCTGCTCAGTCGGAATCACTGTGCTTGGTTTCCCAATCTCCACCAGCATGCAGATCAGCGGGCGGGATGGGGAGACGCACTACGGCGATGTATGTCCGACATGATGCTTCTCAGATTTGGCTGCTAGACTTTCGTCGCAGGGTACTTACTACGACACCGGCACCGGTGCTTGTGGATATACTGACAGTAACAATGACCCTGTTGTGGCCATATCACATCTCATTTACGGCAACGGCGAACATTGTAACCAGGTTCGTGCCCGCCGTATGCTAGTTGCTCCCGGCTCTCAGCACATTTCTTCACAAATGCAGTGGATTCAGATCACGAACCAAGCCAACGGCAAGGCTCAGTACGGAAAGATGCGCGACAAATGTGAAGGATGTGCGGAATACAATCTCGGTAAGATTATCCGGTGGCTTTTTCGTAAAGTTGGCAGTTGCTCACGCAGAGTGCGCAGATCTGAGTCCGTCCCTGTTCGAATCGCTCGGTGCGGACTTGTCGCAAGGAGTCATTCACATCGATTGGCAATTTATGGACAAAGGCTTCTCCCCGTGAATAGTGGACGGTTCGTCATGCGATCATTTCTGCCTGCGCCCCCCCTGGTGTACCCATCCTTCATGCGGTGATCGATTTCTCCCTCGTGTCGTTTCATTCTCGTGGCTGTGAAATGAATGTCGAAGCGCTCCTTCGGCTGCATTTTCACACGACCAAACATTATGCTATGTCTGTTTGTTTGTATGCACTTGACTCACAGCGATGCTGAATGAATGGTCAGTTTCCCTTACATTGCCATCTGAGTCCTCAGTGAGAAGTACCCATTCATGTCCTCCATATGTTTCTCATTCTTTTTGCGCTTCCGCGGACTTTTTTGCTTGTCATTCTCCAATGCCTCGCCTTCGATGATTCACATGCCCACAGTAGGGTTGATCATGGAAAGGACAAAGGTCTGATCAAGATAAACTCGATGTCCCGCAATGTCCTGCTTGTCATCCTTGCCTGATTTGCTGATGAGAAGTGAGATAATGGCCTGCCATATGACTTTTACAGGACTGATAAATGATGATACTCAGAGCTGAAGGACCATGTTCAGAAGGATGCGAGAAAATGACATGAGTTGCAGAACAAGAACAGATGTACATTATTTTTAAATGTTCAAAAATAACATATGTCTGTTTTGTTTTGCAGTTTGTGTCATCTGTTTTTGTTCTGCAACTTATATGTCATTTTTCTCGCATCCTTCTGAACATGGTCCTTCAGCTCTGAGTATCATCATTTATCAGTTCCTGTATAAGATATGTTATTGGACAATTCATTATCATGACATCTATTCAAATTGTGAACACTTACATTCCAATCACCTTTTTTAAAATGCTGACAATGTTATGAAGCGTTCTCTCAAGAACCTTCCTAACCACGTGCCCTTACAGCACGTGCTAGCTTCCCTGTTGAATGTTATAGTAGGGTCCAACCCTAGGAGTGTGTAGCAGTGAGGTTTGGTCACTCTGCTCTTTGCTAGGTCACTGAGAGGCTACTGCACATTCACCTGCAGGTTACTAGGTTCGCCCTCTGATCTCTAGACAAGTGCACGAGCTTGAATACCCCTTGAGAGCAAGTGCAGATCCCTTCTGATCGGTTAAGATTAGAAGTATCGAGAAAGCTTCTTGTCAAGAAGGGTTCTGTCACAGATTTTCACGTTTTCACCTCTGCACATGACCAAGACATCATTTGACATCAGCGCTAGGCTGTTCAGAAAAGAACGAACTGGTACACGAAGTACTAACAGTCCTAGACGCCCCGAAGGTCCAGGTCTAGTTACGTGACATATCACATGATATCCATGTGACAAGGAGCGCTGGTATTAGGTAAGCCTAACTTATACAGTAATATCATCTCACCTAGAAGCAACGGTCGGACTCCGGAAGAATCCAACGAAGGGGATATGCGCCACCGGAGGTATGTCCTTAAGGGGATACTAGTTCACATGCACGAGGTAGATAGATACCACGCCACCGGAGATGTAGCCATCACAGGCAATACCATTCCCATGGTCTTACTAAGTAGTTCGGAGGTTCGGCATGCATGACACACGTAGTCTGACAGGTAGTGGTAACCAATCAGACAATGTCCATTAGCTAGTGGTTCTGGGGTATCAGGGTACCAAGGGTCCCTCTGCTCATGTATATAAGCCAGAGCTCTGAGACGCATAAGTCCCCCAGACTTATTCTCATCTCTGCTACGCCTATCCATACAGTGTCACCAAGGCTCACTTGAAAAGGCCTTGCTCTACCTTGATAATCTTTGTGTCCATCCTTACCTCGACAACAGTCAGTAAGTGTCTGATCATTAGGTCATAGGCTTAGTCGGCGCTCTGCGTCCTAAGTTTGTGATAGAAGAATAAGTCTGCTTATCTTACCTGCCTCGAGTGCCGGCCCAGCATACTCGCCACAGTGTTGCGTCTTCGCACGTCCACCCGCATGTTAGCGGTGTCATATCTTCACCTGACGTTCCGTCAGTCACTGACTCTACCAGCGTAAGCCGCACCAAGGCATTGCGCAGCATCGACGGTGTCATCCGTCGTCTTCGAGCAAGAACTCCAGAAGAGTTCTACGAGCAGCGGCCCATAAGACCCCTGCCAAGGCCAGGACACATCTCTATGGGAGGTCGGCCCCCTCGCGGCACTAGTTCAGTTTCTATTATCCAGACTCCCTCGGTCAGGTGACTGAGACTACCTGCAGGACCATCTGGTCCAGATCTCAATCAAGGGACATAGGTCGAGACCGCTACAGGGTCTCATTTCATCTATCCTCTTGCCGTTTCCATCATCTCGACTCAGCGCGTCGAAGGTACCCTTCGACAGATTTGTATTCTACTCACAAAACGATACCGTCGTCAGCTTGATGACCACGACATCTTCGACCTCAAGCATCTCATACTCAAGCTCGAATCCATCCGCACTGACATCGCGGAATTCAAGCTTTCCTTCATTCACCAACACGTGGTTCGCGACTTCTGCAACTACGTTCAGGAAAGGAAGCATCAGGGCGGAGAGGCTCGCTGGATAATCAGAGATATTATCCAGAAGTATCGTCTAGGAATACAGGTCACAGGTCGACCTTTGCTGTAGATACGAATATTCATTTTGTATATGTCTTCATCCGGCGACTCGAACAATCTTGATAACTTTGAGCAGTTAAATCCAATCGGTCACACCTTCGATTATCTTTGGGATTCAATTCCACGTGCTCTTCGAGACAGAGCAGGCGAAGCGTTTGCTACATATGAGGACACGTTCGACATCGATTACCATGACGTATATCATATCTACGCCCTCCAAATCTATCCAGAATTTGATTGGAGGAACGTCGCAGTTCATATCTGCTATATTCCTATTGGATCCGAAGATCGTCTCACCGAAGCTTACAATAGCTTCGTCGATTGGCTCGAAGAAGTCGAGCGTATTTGCGAAATTCATCATAATCATCAGTGGCCCGCAGTCAGGGACAAAACCAGGTTTTTGTGGCAACCCTTCGTCAAGGTCATCCATCGAGACCTTTGTTTGCTGCGAAACCAACGCTCAGGACGAGTAATTGCCTGACAGGCCACGATCGCCAATAGCCATATCGTCGAGTTCGAAGAACATCTTCGAGAAATAGAGGAAGAATTGTAAGATGACGACTTCCACTCCAAATGATTCCAGCTTCTCTCGTGCTCCATCTCCGGAGCTTCCCGCACATCTTAATATTGTTTTGCAACTCCCGAATCCTATCATTCGTCAAGCCCTTGCCAACACGGTGCCCCCAAATGTGAACATACCCAAAAATGTGAAGAATTGGGTAGTCGATCTCGTCACAAATGTGGTGGAAGAAATGCGTCAACAAATGGTGGCGCATTACGAAAATCTTATCTAGCGCCAAGCGCATACAATGGAACATAACACCACGGAGTTTCACAATCGGACGATCTTCTTAGACCAACATCGTCAACAATCTGAGTCTCGAATCGCAGACTTGGAGAAAACCTCATCAGCTTTACTCGAGAAAAACAAGACCACTAACGAAGCATTTGTGGCAGTTGACGATGAAATCAAGGATCTCCAAACGAGAGAAGAAGACCTAAAGAAATCACATGATCGACTTCGCACATGGGCATCTACGCAAGGATGGAAAGCAGGGCAAGGCGGTAACAATGTCGACGACATGCACGACGACGATGAGCCGTCGTTTGGTCGCAAGGGTAAAGGCGTAAAAATTGACCAACCAGAAAAATATGGTGGCAATAAGGACAGAGTCAATCTCGATGATTGGCTCGAACAAGTAATGCTCTGATTGAAATATACCGGACATACCAAAGACGAGTCCAAAATTATGTCTACCCTCTTGCTCCTGAAAGGAGGAGCACACGAATACATGCGGCATTGGATTACCGAAATAAATGAAAATAATAAGGCACCAGGAACTTGGGCGGAGTTCGTCGCTGAACTTCGCACGGCATATGAATCATTGGACAAGGATGATAAGAAGTGAACGGAGTTAGAAGCCTTCATCAAGAAGGATCATCGAGACTTCTGAAAGTTCGCGGAAGACTTCCATCCAAAGGCAACCGGTACAGGCTTCTCAGATCAAGACTTGATCGAAAAAATCAAGAAACATATTTCGGAGAAAACGTGGCTGCTCATGCTGGCAGACACGACCAAGGACAACTGGCCCAAGAAATGGACCGAGTTCCTTACATTCGCACTCCAGATATTCACATCACTACAACGAGAAGGCCACCATGCCAAGGCCGAAACCAAGGACCCGAATGCTATGGAGGTTGATGCAGTCGAGAAGAAGGGAAAGAGTAAATTGGGCAAAGCGCGAAGCGTGCAAGACGACAAGTTGGTCTGCGCCAACTGCAAGAAGAATAAGCTGACATTCTTCAAATCGTCGAAACGCTTCGGCAAGTATTGCACCGACTGTTTTAAATTGGACCATGTCAAGAGGCAGATTGAGAAGGAGAAGGAGACAGCCGTGAAGAAGAAGGACGGGAAGAAAAAGGATGATGCCAGGAACAAATCCAAGTCGTCCAAGACGCGACAGGTAGTATCTGATTCCGCTTCATCAGATGCAGAGAGCGAAAGCTCTGATACCGAAGAAGAAAAGAAGCTGAAGAAGAAGAGCTCTTCCTCTAAGACTAAGAGGAAGGGTAAGGAGACAGCTGCGCATATCAGCGACCGCAGCATCCACTCGGAGAGCGAGCCTGATGCATCCGAGTCGGACGAAGATTTCGCCGCGATCCTCTCAAGGCTCAGGTGCCTGAGGGGGAATGGATCCAGTTTATCAAGGAAGGCGGGAGAGGGCTCTTCAAGAAAGGATCAGAAGGGTTTTCTCAAAGGGGATCTGTAGACAGCTCGTCAGAGTCCCCAGAACATTATATAAGACCTGTACATTTAGCACCCGAATCAGACACCTCTGTAGATCGTCGCAACGCAGAGGATGATAATGTAACAATAAAGAATTCGTCTCCAAATTTATCATATTTACCAGTTACATTATGGGTGTACGGCAAAAAATCGAGCGCTGAAGCTTTAGTCGACTCAGGAGCATATTCCATGTACATCAGCAAGCAGTTCGTAAAGAACAATCGAATTGCAACCTCCAAGCTTAATACTATGTACAAGGTGTACAATGCTAACGGATCCCAAAACAAACATGGAGAAATAACTGACTATGTAAAAGCATACCTCAAAGTCGGAGATCATGGTTCCACCCACCGTCTGCTAGTCACGGACATCGGGAAATTAGACATGATCATTGGGATGTCATACTTACATCAGCATAATCCAGAAATCAACTGGCAAGCTGGAGAATGGAAATACTCACGATGCCCGAGTACGTGTCACCACCAGAGGCTTCGTAAAAAAACAACAAGCCATTGCGAGAGAGGAAGCTGAAGAAATCTCACAATGAGCACAACAAGTGGCAGATGAGGAGCCAACTGCATTCCAAATGTTTAATGGACACAACATTGATGCAGTAAATCCTATCATCTCGTGGGGTTGAAATGGACGACCCTGAAGCTGAACAAATAGCCCGCATGATACTTTCTATAGCAGAGTGCAGCTATGCTGAACCAGAAGAAGACCTGAAAGAAGCGACACCCCAGTCAAACACTGGCAGCTCAGAAGATCAGGTTATTAATGAAGTAGAATCTTGGGAAAAACTAGTACCAGATTATCTACATTCATTTGGTGATGTCTTCTCCAAGAAAGCGTCTGAAAGGATGCCAACTCGAAAGCCTTATGATCATGCAATCGAGTTTGAAGAAGAACATGAATTATCACGACCAAGCAAACTCTATCCTATGAATCTGGAGGAAAGAAATTTCCTAGATTCGTGGATCAACGAAAATCTAGCAAAAGGCTACATTCAAAAATCGAAATCACCTATTGCTGCCCCAGTATTCTTTGTCAAGAAGAAGGATGGCACACTAAGACTGGTACAAGACTACCGAAAACTTAATGCCATAACCAAGAAGAATCGCTTCCCTATTCCACGAATAAGCGAGCTTATCGATCAGCTCAGTAACGCGTCAATATTCACCAAGCTGGATCTCAGATGGGGATACAACAATGTTCGCATCCACAAGGGTGATGAATGGAAAACAGCTTTTGTGACGCATTGCGGTTTATACGAGGCTACGGTTATGTTTTTCAGTTTCTGTAACGCATCAGCCACCTTCCAACACATGATGAATGAGATTTTAGATGATCTTATTCGGGAAGGTCATGTGATCATCTACCTCGATGATATTCTAATCTTCACTAACGATTTGAAACAACATCGGAAGATTACCAAAAAGGTAATTAAAAGATTACGGGACAACGACCTTTTTGCCAAAACAGAAAAGTGCTTTTTCGAACAACCCTCGATTGAGTACTTAGGGATGATTATCTCTCAAGGTGAGGTTCGTATGGATCCTCAAAAGGTCGCAGGTGTACTCGACTGGCCTGAACCCAAGAAGGTTAAGCAAGTACAAGCTTTTCTTGGGTTCGCAAATTTCTATCGTCGATTCATTGAAGGATTTGCCAAAAAGTCTCGACCACTCAATATCCTTACACGAAAGGATCAGAAATGGGTATGGAGTGAAGAGCAACAACAATCATTCGATGCTCTCAAGAAAGCTTTTATAACAGCTCCAATTCTGGCATTATCAGATGATACTCATCCATTCCGGTTAGAAACAGATTTCAGTGATTTTGCCACTGGCGCATGCCTCGAACAACTCAAAGACGATGGGTTGTGGCATCCAATCGCATTCTATTCGAAAAGCCTCAATGAGGCTGAGCGGAACAATGAAATCTATGACAAAGAGATGCTCGCAATTATTCGAGCGTTGGAAGAATACCGACAACATCTCGAAGGTCATCCGCTCCCAGTCGAAATATGGTCCAATCACCAGAACTTAACCTATTTCAAATCAGCACAAAAGCTGACGAGGCGGCAAGCTCGATGGTCGCTATATCTTACACGGTTCAACATCCAACTACATCACAAACCAGGAAAATCAATGCATCACGCAGATCCTCTGTCCAGGAGGCCAGATCATGAAGAGGGGGTAAATCTCGATAATTTTGACAAGACTCTGCTCAAACCGGAATATTTTGCGATTAAAGCTATTCAACATACCCATCTTGCAGTCGTCACAGATCATGATTTGGTGGACAAGATCAAGGAGGCGTTACAGGACGACAATGTGAACAAATCATATCAAGACCTACTCAAGAAAGGACAACGAGAGTTCTCGAAAGGACTCAAAGACTGGAACTTCGAAAGTGGGATATTACTATACCGAGGCAAAGTCTATGTGCCGAAAGCAGATAATAAGGAATCACTTAGACGAGAAATCGTCCAGCGTCATCATGAAGCTGCCAGTGCAGGTCATCCTGGAAGATAGAAGACATATGAGATGTTATCTTGTAATTACTGGTGGCCGGGAATGTCCACTTACGTCAAAAAGTATGTTGGTTCTTGCGACCTTTGTCAACGCAACAAGAACATCAATCAGCCAAAATATGGAGAATTACAGCCAAATGAGGTTCCAACAGAACCTTGAGAAATTATCTCTGTCGACTTAATCACTCAATTACCAGAATCCCATGGATTCAACGCAATTATGGTAGTTGTCGATCGTTTGACCAAACGAGCGCATTTCTTTGCAATCACCAATGAGTTCTCAGCATCAGACCTTGCTCGTACTTTCTATGAGAGGGTATGGACACAGCATGGTCTTCCGAGAAAGATTATCTCAGATAGAGGTACTCAGTTTGCAAGCGCATTATTTCAGGAAGTATGCAAACTCCTTGGAATACAATCAACAATGTCGTCCGCATATCATCCGGAGACCGATGGTCAAACTGAAAGAACAAATCAGTCACTAGAGCAATATCTTCGTATTTATACTGCTAAGCGCGTGGAAGACTGGAGTACTTTACTTCCAACTGCCGAATTCGCCTATAACAATCCGGCTTCTGAAGCCACTAAGAATTCACCATTCTTTGTTGAATACGGTAGACATCCACGTGCAGAACCAACAATAATGGACCCTATAAAGCATAATAC